CATATATTATATTATTTACAAAGCAACACTGTTAACCGAATTCTGCTCAGAATCTTTTTTCGTTAATAATGGTTAATCGTTGCGTACAGATATACATTTAATTTCCCTTCTGAGTTCCCAAATTTTCCCAATAGTGGCCCACCCACGTGTAAAGTATTTCCGTCATTTTTATCAACAAATGTAACAATTAAATATTGGTAATATGTGATTTGACAAATATCTTGTTAGCTAAATAGCTATTATGCCTTTAATCGTTAAACCAATATAGATCTGTCGATATTCTAGGATTTTTTTCGCAAATAAGTTATTATTATGAACTGTAGATAGCTGTTGGCAAATGTTTGTTTTTGTCGTTATAAATCTAACACAATTCACAACCAACAACAAATATTATTAAAAAAACACATGTTATAAGTCATTTCGTATATAATAAATCGTAACTAATAATATGATAAAAAACAAATATAAAGGTAACAAAAAATTATTGTTTCATTGCAGTTCAGTTCTTAAATAAATAAAATACATAGGTGCCTATAAATCAGTATCGTAACCAGAAAAAAATTTCAGGAGAGGTGGGAGCACTTAATTTTTTATCCAGTTTTTATTAAGCTAAAATAATTATCATCTATTATTTTATGACTCCCTTATTCCTTTATCACATATAATCATAGGTTAGGCCAGACTTTTTTAGAAAGAAGTGCATGTAAAATATTTGTTAACCCACCCCCTAAATTTCTCTCCTACAGTGTTAATTTTAAAAAAGAAAATATACATTTACGAAAAAAAATAAATTCTTTTAAATTTTGTCATAATATATTAATATAATACTATACACACCTATTAAATATATTTATTTTTTTTGGTTAATTTTAAATCTTTAATGACAGCGTTCCGGTGACGGTCGGCAATGCTCAACGGTATACACTGTGGGACGTAAAATAAACTGTATACAGACTGATGTATTGATGTAGTGAGGCGCCCGTTGTACATTCACGTGCGGGCTTAATTTTTAATATTGTATTATTTTATTTGCACTGTGGCAATATTATAAAAATGAATGCCAATGAATCCATCAATGTGAACGAACCTGTCACACATGCTGTTCAACATGAGAATGAGGAATTGTTACACTTTCAATCGGGGACTGGAACCTTAAAATACCGTACCGAAAAAGACCGGTCAAATACCAAAACTTTTTGAAAATTACAAGACTGGAACCCGACCAGAACCCTTAATCATTTTTTTTTAAGAACCGAAACCTTTAATTTGATGTAGAAGTTTTTTCAGTTTCTGTTTTGGTTCCAAATTCCAATTTGTGGTTTATATATTTTAAACAAAATAGTAGTAATAATTCGTTAATTCAATAATCGTAGATCTATCCACTGGTAATCAACACCTCCCTAATCCATCCCCTCGTAGTTTCGTAATTGTACTGACTTCGAGCGATCGTATTCCCCGTGCAATCTGCGAGTTACTATTATGTATTATGAATTGTGTTCTCTTATGCTGGGTTGCATAAACAATCGTTAAATATTTAACTGATCATTAACGGTTTTAATGACTCATTAAAAATATTTCGTACCATAAACATTTTTTAACTTTTAACGGGATATTTATGTACAGTCTTAATGGTCCATTAGTTAATCACCCGATTTTGGCTCATTAAATTTCAATTAATCGTAATATTTTAAAATCAAAAATATTGAATAATATTTTTAACAACACAAACTCAGAAATAGATCGACTAAAAATAAAATCAATAAATAATGGATGAAAAATGTTTAGCTGTTAACAATAAGATTATTAAGATCTAAACAAAAACCTGTGAGTGACTCTAAATAAAAATCCCGTTGTCATAGTAATTTATTAAGATATTAAGCTCAGAAAGGAGGCATTGTTCTGGACTTGTCCACTTTCTACACTAAACACTAACTTCAGTTGTTGATATTTGCACAATGGTTTTGTAGACTAGTCCCATTTTTACATAAAATATATACCTATTCAAGGTAAATATAAATCCGGTAATAACTCAATTTCGTTAGTAATTGGATAAGTCCTCTTTCTACATATTACAGTGATTAATATATCATATATATATCTATTTATATACAAATGTCTGTCTATATGTCCTTTATAGACTCAAAAACTACTGGATCGAATTTAACCGGGGTTTTTCAAAATGTCCCGCGTGGTCCATAGAAGGTTTAAAGCTATTCAAATTTCTAAAATTCAACCCCTAAAGAATAGCTGACACAGGGCTTTTAGTAATATTATGAATACTATTATTATTTTTGTTGATTATGTAGTATATATGGTCAAAACATATCTATGGTATCTACTGAGTATTGTTTTTAATCTTCATTGTAATTTTGAATTGCTATTGCTATTTTGCCAAATATCACCCACTAACTGAACACTATTTTCAAAAACCACACAACGTACACACTTGAAATTCGGAACAGTGGTGGTTTCTCTAATACTCTAAATGTGCAATAAGAAATGATTTTAAAAAATATTGCGTTCAAGTTGATTAATTAATAATAATAATTCATCCCAATACGTATTAACAGTACGTAGTACCTATATAAAGGTATTATGTATTTATTGTTATGGATTACCATAGTAACACAGATGAAATAAAAGCAAACTTATAATTAAATAGACAGTTGTATTAAATACAATATTGATATTTACCAAGTATTTGTGTTTATTTACGACCGGTTTCGATTTTAAAAATTATAAAATAGAACAACTGCAGCTAAACAATAAAGACGAAACTACATACATAATTACTTATACTTTTTCTTTGCATGTATATATTTATTTTTCATGCATGGTTCTTATTATATACAAGTAAATTGATTAGGTACAAACATAATAGGCATAACATATAATAAATATAGTATTATGCATTTTACATCATATTATGATGTTTTAAACACCTAGTTATTGAATATCGATATATTATAAATATTGGTTGTTATATCATTATATCGATAACAAATCTATAAAAATAGAACATTAGGAAATGATCACCCCATCAGACGTGTTATGATATAATAAAAATTCAAGGGGCGGCCAAACGATCGATCGCGATCGACCGGTAAATCACGCTCGATTTCAATATCGATCTCTCTTTGTCAACATTTATTTACATACAATTAATAAATAAATCAAAATTGCCGATAATTTTTAGATATTTTATTAGATAATTTTGTTGTCAGTTTATCAAATAATACAGTTTAACAGTTTTTGTGCGACACGTTTTAATTATATTATTATATTAGTGTCTTAATAAAAATGTGATGAAAAACATTATTTAACTATATATTTTAATTTTATTATATTTTGTTCAGTTATGTTTATTATAAATACCTATTGGGTAATTAATAATTATTTATTATACTATTGAAATCGATCCTCAAATGAAAAATATATTCATAGTTGATGTTTATTAAAAAGTGTTTGGCAACCACTGAATTATATATTCTATACAGCGAAAATCAGTGAAATTGAAATAATATTTTTAATGGATATCTACATTTTACACATGAGTTATTTTAAACAAATTGTACAAACAAGGTTAGTTAAACTTTAACTTAACAAAAAAAAAAAAAATAAAAAATGACATTTAAAATATTATTGCACATAGTTTAAAACGTCGGTATTATTATTATTATTTTTTTTTTATCAACCTTGACTGCATAAATAGTCCAATTTAGGATAAATGGACGAAGCCGTTTGAATGTTGGGACAATTAGACGTCAAAATATAAAAATAAAATAAATAAACACAAATGTTATCAAAAAAAAAATTAAAATATAGTATCAAAATAGTGCTATCTATTTATTATATGCCAAAAATGTTTAAAAAAAAAAAATTTAAAAAGACGGGCATACTTCACACGTGAGTAGGCCACTATTTTGGGTGAGAAGTTATGAAGGTAGAAGGGGAATTGAATATAAATCTGTACGCAACGATGAATCATTGCAAACGAAAAACGATTCTGAGTGGAGTTCGGTTAATAATGTTGCTTTGTCAATAATATATATGTCACATTATGGTAAAATAATTACATATTATGCATTACGTATATATATTTTCATGTTTACATGTTATCCCCGTTCATTGGGAAAATTCCTGGGAAAATCCAAAAATGACCTCCTTAAAGTGCATTCCCAGTCTAATTTACTTTTAGAAAGTATGCTACACTTAAAAATCGGAGCAAGATTTCTGGTAGAAAAGTTGTCCACAGAGAAAAAAAAACATCTTTGTAAAACCAACACATTCTTTACTACACTCAGAATCTATTAATATTAGTTAGATATTAATTAGGTGAAATATTTTATGTGACTCCGCGTAAAAGTGTTGTTTTAGTTCTATTTTCATACTTCTGAACAATGCTTAAAATTCGTTCATTAGCATCAATACATTTCTTACATTTCTTATATTGACTAGTTTTATAATTCATAAATAAACTAGAACAATTCAATTTATTACGTGGGAATTGACTTTAAATTTGTATTTTTCACTCAAAATATTTTTAAAAATATTATTTAAAATATTTTTGACTTTTTAAAATTTGTTTTATTCGAATATTGTGTAATCCATACAATTTGTGTTTATTTTTCTATCATCTATTTTTTTAAATCAAAATAATAATAATGACCTTATTATATATAATAAGATTAGAATAATTATATTGATATTTTTTTCAGTCAACCTCGTACTACAATTTTATATCAAATGACCCTGCCAAACAATATTATAAATAATATAGCCGATATAGATAATAAATTAAGGCATACAAACTAATAATGGATCACGTAACTTACCAAGGTGTTAAAAAATAGTGACAAAAACAAAAAAGGTTAAGTTACATTATATATATATAAAGAGTGATTCATTTAGAGGTACTTTTTTCAAGAATTAAAAAATAATAAAAAAATAAATTTTTATTGGGTAAACTTTATTATTATAACAAAAACTATTAGTTACATTTATTTTTTAAGTATTATATCTTTTAAATGTTGGCCGTAACTGCACCTAACACGATCCATTCGGAAGTTCCAATTTTCAATGACCCGTCCAAGCATTTCGACTGGTATTTGGCCTATGACGTGTTTGATGTTGGCTTCAAATTCATCTATCGTAGTCGGCTTGGTTATGTAGACTTTGGACTTCACGTAGCCTTAAAGAAAAAAGTCGAGAGGTGTGATATCGCATGATCTAGCTGGCCAACTAATCGGTCTGAATCGTGAAATCAATTGTTCACCGAATTGTTCTCGTAATAAAGCCAGGGTTTCAAGAGCTGTATGGCATGTAGCACCATCTTGTTGAAACCAAATGTCATCAAGATCACGGGCTTCAATTTCAGGCAACAAATAGTCTGTTATCATATTGCGATAGCGAGCGCCATTCACAGTTATGTTCTGCCCGGCCTCATTTTTAAAGAAATATGAACCGATGATTCCACCAGCTCATAAACCACACCAAACGATTATTTTGTCTGGATGTGATGGCAGCTCTTGAACCTCTTTGGGTTGCTCTTCAGCCCAAATACGGCAATTTTGCTTATTGATGTAACCATTAAGCCAAGAATGAGCTTCATCGCTGAACAAAATGTTGGTCAAAAACAATGGATTTTTTCAATCTTTTCAGGAACCCATTCACTAAAACGGTGACGATTCAGAAGGTCAGCCGGCTTCAATTCTTGGACGAGTTGAATTTTGTATGCTTTTAAACCGAGGTCCTTTCGTAAAATACGCCAAGTTGTTGCATACGACAAGCCAAGCTGTTGAGAACGGCGCCGGATCGATTCATCACGGTCACCGCGTACCTTTCCAGCTACCGCCGCTATATTTTCTTCATTACGTGTTGGATGCGGCCTATTTGGTCGTGTGTTATCCAATAATGAAAATTGGATTTCAAATTTTACAATTGTATAGCGAATTGTGTGTTCGGTAGGCCGATCATGCGGACCATAAGTTTCTCTAAGCTTACGAAAATCAGCGTTCTACAAGGACTGTTTTTCGTAATAAAGTTGAATAATTAATTTGGTAAACGCTGTGCCGGGCTAAGTCTTTACATGATGAAATGTCAAACAACAATAAAAAAAAATAACATGATAGTTTGATACGACTCATTCGTTATCTGTCATAAAATCCCATTTTAAAATAATACCTCTTAATGAATCACCCATTATATATAATTAAATGATAAATAATACAATATAAATGTAAATGATATAGGAATTTTTCGCTCTTGAGAAAGAGAGAGAAAGAGAATACATTTTATTGAAAAAAATATCCAAAGCCCGTCCAATGAATTGCCTATACGTGATTAGTGACACATTATACAGTATATCAGTTTTTATGTTTAATTAAGTTTCATTATTGTAATTACCTTTACTTTTTACTTGAGTATTTCAGGCGTTTATAATAATAAATAAATAATAAATATCAGACATAGTTATGTTATTGGTTTTAATATAATTCATAGAGTTTAGGATATAAAACGAATAATATACATTTACATTTTGTATTGAATTGTATTTTGTTCACAAAATGTCCATCAATAATATTTATTTATTTTTTATGATTTATGACTTATCTACTTTCTATAAGCAACGCTTGAGTTAGAAGTAGAGTGCTATTATGATGCTTAAGTTAAATTTCTTAACACTGTTAAAATCTAGTATAATAAAACAAACATAACAGCAAAAACAAAGAGGAAAAAATAAAATAAAAGAACGTCATTATGTCTAATTATTAACACACGAAAACAATTATTATATAATACATAATATACAGTTTACAAATATTTTACAGATCACATAATAATGTTTGACTTATACATCTATTAACATTATTGATAATATGATATATTATAAAATATCCGTATATTTTATAATTTACTAATATTTTCATACTTATTATATGAATAAAAATGTAAAAGTAATGGAAGTTTCGTTTTCACTAATGATTTAAATTATGTAATTTGTATTTTACCCTCATTTACTCAAATTATTTCAATTTCGAGTGTTTAACGATGTTTTACCGAAAACGTGTCGATTATTTGTGGACTCGTATAATTTGTTGTTTAATATTATAATAGGAAGCTTTTTGTATACAGCTTCTGTGCTCATATTTGTTGTGTTATTCAAATATTTATTTATTCAATAAAAAAAAACTATAGACCCAAATGTAGTAAACATTTTACCGCAGAAGATAAATATGTATTATAGTATATGAAAAACAAAATTTGCATACAAATTTGCCATTTTAGATTCTGAGAGGAGCTAAGAATGTAATAGTTTTACAAAGATGTTAATTTTTTTTTTATGTGAACACTTTTAATACTAGAATAATTACTCCGATGTATACGGTGTAAAATATTTTGTGAAAGTAAATCTCGTTGGGAAGGTACTTTAAAAAAGTTATTTTTGGATTTTCCTTGGAGTTTTCTCAACAAATGGGGAAATTGATAAAATATTAAACAAATATTATTAAAGAAAATATATAACGCCTCTTTAATTATTTTACCATAATATGACATAAATATTGTTGAAAAATCAATACTATCAACTGAACTTTGCTAAGAATCGTTTTTTTTTTGTTTTCCAATCCAGAGATTGGTTTTTTAACAAATGAAAATAATTTTCACAGTAAATGTCTTCTCCATCTTTCCTTGTCACTTGCCATGTCCTTAAGCTCCCTGTAAGTAGTGACTCCTGCATCTTGCATTATTTGGCTAATTTATTTAGTTCTTGGTCTTCCTCTTGATCGTGTCCCCTCTATCATTCCTTCAATTATTACCGTATAACTGTATAAACTGTATAACTCATCTCCATACCTCAACGTACGAGTATGTCTTATCATCTGTCATCTACTTCTTCTTAGAGTATCTATCAATGTTCTTTTTTCTCCTATTGTTTTCAGGATGTCTTTATTTGTTCTTCTCTCAGTCCAGCTTATTCTCTGAATCTTTCTCCAACACCACATTTCCAGCGCTTCTAACATGACTCTTTATTTTTTGTTTACTGTCCACGTCTCACTTCCGTATAAAACTACGCTCCAGGTGTATGTTTTTATGAACCTTTTCTTAATAGCTATGCTCATATTTTTGGATGTTTGCAATTTCCTCTTTTTAAGGAATGTATTTTTTGGTTGGCCTATTCTGCTTCTGATTTCCTTTGTTGATTTCCCATCATTTGATATAATGCTGCCTAAGTACTTGAAATAATCTACCTGGACAATTCTCTCATTGTTTAGTGTTATATTTATACATGGTATGTTTGTCTTGTAGCACACTAAGAATTTGGTCTTGTCAGCATTTATTTTCAGACTATATTCTTTGAACGTGCTGTTCATTATATTTAACGCTATTTGTAAGTCATCCTCAGATGTTGTAATAACGATAATATCATCAGCAAAACAAAGCAATAGTATAAGTACTCCACCTATTTTGACAAAAATTTCATTTCGATCTAACCTAAACTTTATTTCATTTATTGCTTTTTCAATAAATAAATTGAATAATGCAGGTGGCAGTGGGCACCCCCTTGTCTTACACCTTTTTGAACTTTAGCGGTTGATATTGTTGAGTTTATATTTATTATGACCTTTTGTTCTTCATAAAGTTTATGAAGAATACACCTATCTCTAAAATCGATTTCTGATTCTTCCAGAATTTTAAAGAGACACGCCCAGTTTATGCTATCGAAAGTTTTTTCTAAGTCAACAAAGGCCATGTGAGTAATTTTTTGTCTCTCGATTTGTTTTTCGAGTATAATTCTCAGGCCCGAAATTGCTTCCCTAGTTCCTTCGTTCTTCCGGAAACCATATTGATCATTTGCTAGCCTAGCTTCTATATTTGTACTTATCCTTATGTTTATAATTATTGTTAGTAATTTAGTTGTATGCGATATCAAACTTAGGGTTTTAAAATATTCACACTGGTTGGTTTTAGGTTTTTTTTGGTAGGATAATTAATCTACTATAACCAAAGTTACTCGGAATTATCCCAGATACATATATTTGTCATGACAGCCCATACAAAATGTTCTTTATTTCGTCCCCTGTCTGTTGAAGGAGTTCTGCGGTTAAATTGTCTGCACCCGGTGCTCTGTTTTTCTTCATTGCTTGAAGTGCGTCCTCAAATTCTAACTTTAGAATTCTTGTACTTGATACAAAGACATCATCGACCAGGTTTCCAATGAGCGAATCGGTGTTATCTTCATCTCCATATAGTTCTTCTTCATATTCTTTCCATCTTCTTGCTATTGCTGTCTCGTCTATTGGTAAATTCCTCTTTTTATCCTTTATATGCGTACACTGTGACTTCTTTTCACTGAAGTATCTTTTGACCAGTTTATATGCTTTGTTCTGTTGATTGTAATTCATCATATTATCTATTTCCTGGCAATTCTTTTCAATCCACCCTTCTTTAGTTCTTTTTGCTTCACGGTTTATTTTATTTCTTAACGCTTTATATTGTCTCTTACTATCTTCATTTGTTTTATTCTTATGCAATCATCTTCTCTCTATATCTTGAACTATCATCATTATCCATTTGCGTTTTGAGGGCGGTCTTATTAGCATTAATTAGCATTTCCTCTGCAGTCTCGACAATAGATTATTTTATACATTGTCATTTGTGTTCTATATTGTCGCAGACACCTTGGGTCCTAATTTTACTTTTGTTTTTGAATTTTCCATCGCATTTATTTTCAAACAACTTTTTAATTTGCTGGTCGTTCTAAATAACTCATATTCCATTTTTGACCTTGATTTTTTGGTTTTTATAATTTCTTGAGTTTCAGCATGGACTTAATCATTACTAGGTTGTGGTCACTGTCAATATCGGCACCCAGATAGGATTTACTAGATTTGACCTGATTTTTATATCTATTATTTACCAGGATGTAGTCTAATTGGTATTTGTTAATATCTCCGAGCATTTTGTACGTATAGCGTATTCTTATTATTGTTAGCAATGGCTTATTGTTAATAACAGATATACATTAAATTTCCTTCTGTATCCTACCTTTTAAACTTCCCATCTACAACAGTGGCTGTACCCACATTTTTAATGAGTTGAAAAGTGAGAAGTTGAAAAGGTAGGATACATAAGGTTATTTCATTTATATCTGTAAGCAACGATAAGCCATTGCTAACGAAAGACGATTTCGAGCGCAGTTTGGTAATACATAATTTGAAGTGCCGTAATATTTTTTGCGATTTTACGTTTAAATTTGATTTCAAAACGCTTTTTAAAAAAAATTTAACAAAAATATGGTCTTTTGTTGGTGAGGAGAATAAGACACTAAGTTATATTGTCCCATCAAACTTCTCTCCTTTAACAGTATCCACCTATTTTTATACTTCTGATGGTTTATAATAAATACAAAAATTTAAAAAAAGAAAAAAAATCGTCCGATGATTTTGAAAATTTTATCACGTCTAGGTAAGTCCTATATAAGTATTATTACTCAGTTTCAAGTCTCTAAGTGTATTTATAAACGAACTACAGTTAAAAAACTCCCAAAAATTAAAATTCCTTAAAAGCTTAAGTTTTGGCAATGATACCAAAGAAAGTAAATCAAAAATACAACAAAAAAGGTATTTTGTGATTTTTCGATTGAATCATTTTTTCTGGTAGAAAAAGTCGTCCTTGTTTTTATAAAATAATAAAATCATGAAATAGTTTGTTTTCCTACTTAAGTGGTTTTATTTTAAAAAAATTGCGTCGAAAATCAAAAAATAATGTCTTTAAAATACAATCTAGACAACTTGAGCTTTCAAAAAAGGGGCTAAACTTATACATCGGAGCAAGTTTACTAGAAAAAAACGTGTGCACGGACTAGAACAAAGAAAAAACAATCAGTATTGAAAGACCAATAGCTCCATCGTTACGCTCGAAATCTAAAAAAAAAATGATTGAAAGAATTTAATATTTATGAAGATAATGTGTATAACCACTTAAACCCCGTATTTCATAGATATACTGTATTATTAACTATTTTGGCTGACCCTAAACAGTTAAGATGAAGGTGAAAAAGGAGAAGAATTTTAACTTTTTTTTTTCGGTGATAAGTAAACAAAAAATCACAGTGACAAATTATTACTATTTTTTTTAAACAAACACCTATTAAGTACCTAATAATTAACCTATACAGTTTTAAAAAGCATATGTTATTCAGACAATAAAACATATCATTGCAGTTTTTTTTCAAAATATATATGTATACAATAGGTTTATAATTTATGAACAGTAAATAAGTTGTTTTAGTTTTTTTTTCGCTGTCGCTGTTAAATACCTATAATTTATAATGATCAACCTTACACCTATATTCACACATTTCGACCTACGCACACGGCTGTTAAAATATTGACTTTAAACGCCATCGTAGCGATCAACCCAAAAAAAAATAAAATAAATACAGCGAACTGACGCATGTTCGAAAAATAAATTCGCATACTACTGATGGTGGAGTGACACACGTCTATGCAATTCATATATTATAATTATTTATATTATTTATTTTAGCCTTTTAATATATTGTTATAAATTATACACGAAACGGTCTACGCGATTTTTGAAAATTCCAATTAGCCCGCAACACGTGTTTAAACAATCATCGCTCACGGTGTTGCATGTTAACCTATCGCAGACTTTATACATAAATTTGTCCCGTAAAATGTAGCGTGTAAATTTTATTTTCGAATACCGGATGTCTCGAACGTACGGATGCCGGTGTTGCGACATCAGGCATTTTACGATCCACTGACAACGATGTTTAGGTGCATTCGTTTTTATCGCGTTATCTTTTGTTTTATAAATCGATGTAAAAAAATAATTACATTTTTTTTTGTGGGGAGAGGTTTAATTATTTTATTACAACACAAACACAATTAAAATATAATATAATATATTATTTTATCATACATATCAGCGTTTAGAATATAGTAATAACAGAATCTATAGAATTAAAAATAAAAAATATGTCTGGGGGGGGGGCTGGGCCTCTAGCTCCCCTGGATCCATCCCTGCCTACCGACAAATCAAAAAAAGACTACAAAATATTATTTACCTACATAAAATTTTTTTTCTCGTAGCTGTTAGCAGTACAATAAAATATAATATTATCGAAATTTATTTATGTTCTTTTGTTTACTGTGGTTTATTATATACTTGTCTGAAAGGAGATTATCATTGTATATGACTTATAAAATTCTGATGCATTTCTATTTACCTTCACGATGAGTCAACGAATATAGTTCAATATCCATCATACGTACATGAATATTATACATTTTTATATAGCAAATAAAATAAACAAATTAAAACGATCACGTTTAGACAGATGTCGTGACTGTGCGTCATCCTGCAATTATATTAACACAGAATTGATGACAGTAGAAGGTCTGAAGCTCATTAAAGGGGGAAGGAGAGAAATACAGGTATATTAATAGTTTATAAAATCTAATTTCGGGAGGGGGAGTTTTGTAACTTGTTTAATATTATAATTATGTACTATACACTCATATTTTTTACGTTCATCAAATATAGACTACTGTAATCCCCTCCCCAGTTACGTACCAGTATAATTAAAGCAACAATTAAAACAAAAAGTTCAAGCAGGGAAGTGTAATCGAAACGTCGCCTCCTTCTTGATTCAGAACTTGAATTTAACGAGCAGTATTCAAAATACTTGTGTGTATAAGAAATAAATATCGTTGTCCATAATCAGATTTGTATTTGTTAGAACTAATTTAGAGTTATTTGTTATTGTTTAACTCTTAACAAATGGCAAACGTTACATCCTAGCGTTGAAAGGATCATATAATATTTTCCTCAATTCGTAAATTACCTATATGATTAGGTATTTAGGTAGATTTTATACGGAGAACACATTAATGTATTTATCATACAAATTTATTAATTAATGGGACACAAAATATACATATAGAATAAACAATATTGGTCAACGGTTGGGCAATACTGTTTAGTCCAACCATCTCATGACATTATATGTACCGAATCCGATGTACCTATTTATTTATTTATTTATTTTTTTGAAATACACGCTCGAAGGCATACAGTACAGGAAATTAGATACTTATACTAGTTTGACAAAAAGCATAGTACATAGATAGTGGATCATATACACATTTTAATGAGACTGTTAGAGCTCAAGTTTTATAATTAGTATACAATATATTAAAGAAAGAAATATTTAAAAAGATAATATCCTAATTTGTAACGCTCTCTGAGAGGAATGAAAAATATCAAAATTTGTTTGAAAGTTATTATAGGGGACAAGTGCTCTATTAATAGGGGAAAAAACCGTAAAATGCCTAGAAATATGAAAGGTTGGCCGGTTTCTGGAATTAAACGTGGGAACTGATAAATTAATTAAACTGAGAAGAAAACTGTCTTTTATTGTGCCACGTTGTTTTTCAAAAATTGTATAGGTATATCTGCTTGCAAATCCAAAGCATCGATGGCCAACTAACTGAATCATCAAACATGGCTGGGGCGATTAAACGATTGAAAGCTATGGAATTATCTAAGGTTTATGATCAAATTAATCAACAATCGGAGTTCCATATTATTCGGACTGAACAATTGTTCAACTATTGTCCAATTGTCGATTTTGTACATGTATTTACAATACTCGTTTAGTTTTTATTACACGAATCAGTACACGTGTGTGTTAAATACATGAACTTCGTATACACGTGTAATAGAAACCACTATTTTTTACCATAAACATATAAATATTGTTCTACATAAACTGCTAAATGGGGATTGGCAAATAAAACTTCAAAATTATTTTTAAAATGTATGTAGGTTTATAGACAACAAGAAACTTAAAGATAATGTTATAAAAACAAATGCATATCAGATACTCATTCTGTGTAATATTTAAACATATTATAATGTATATCAAAGATAATAATATTGTTTATTAAGGTATTTATAAGTATTTAGCGGTCCCTATTCTCTTTCGTTAAACTATATGATTCGGTATGATACGAAATGATTATAATATTAAAACCAATAATATCTACTCGATAATTGTACGCCGTGGATTCGGGTAATACGCAATATAATGGACGTGCCAACAACTATTGTAACTGGATGTACCGATTTGTACAGCACGGCGTTTTAAAACAAAAAGTTGGGAATGTAGGATGCATACAATTATTTAATTTATAACTGTAATCAAAGATTAATCATTGCTAACGAAAAACGATTCTGAGCGGAGCTCGGTTAATAGTATTGCTTTTTCAACAATATATATGTCATATTACGACGGCTTGGGTGTTTAGGTCCACCCAAAATGCAAGTGTTCTTTCCATGTTTCCTACCGACAAGGTTTTGCAAAAAAAAAATTTCGGAATTCGGATTTGAATTCGTGATCTCTGGGATGACAACAGGTATGTACCATCACTAAATTACGATAGACATATTACATAATTTCTAGGTATTTGATATTTTTATTGTTCTATAATATGTATTTTTACTTGGTAAGCATCTTTTATCAAAATTATATGACTTTAGAGAAATACTTAAAAATTTAACATAAGGTAGAAATATTATAAGTTGTACCTAGTGGTCAAATTCCAGTTTAATGGATTAGTTTATTTTTTTTATAAGCGTTTTAAGATCAAATTTTTTAAATCATAAATATTATGACCTTTCAAAACATATATGACCGAACTTTGCTTAGAATTGTTCTTCGTTAGCAATAATTTATCACTGCTTACAGGTATAAATTAAATAACATTATGCATTATGTACCTTATAATTATGCAACTTCCCATCTACAACAGTGGCACACCCCTCCCCAATATCAGCTCTTTTTTAATTTTTTTTTTTTATAAATAACCAAAGTCTTTGGATCGAGTACGTGCCTTTGATAAGAAAGTAGAGATCACATTTACTGACGCTTGAAACACACAAAATATAACATGCACTCATATATGCACATAAATCCTCACCTAAATAAAGCGTGGCGCACGTTTAATCGCTTAAAGACGCAGCGAAAAACAAAACAGTTTGATTTTCAAACCACGTGGCCGATACGAGCGAATTTATTTTAAGATAATAACTAATAAGATCATCTTAATTTATGTTATCTATGGATGGACTATGAAATTTACATCTATTTTATTATATCATACAGTGGCCAATCTAATTTATTTTTATATGTTTGAATAATAATCGCTTGTGTCACACAGTGCTCGCAATCGCCTCGTCCACGTAGGACATAGCATAATTATAATAGTACGCCTCTGGAGTAGGAAAAGAGCGTCGCCAAGCCAACAGCTGGTCTGACTAGTAAAATAATTTAACTTAATGCAACGAAATTGCAATTGAAACAATACGAGTTACGTTGGCAGTTCCAACTTTAAACTGAAGTAAAATAATAATCAATAAACAAGATGATATTTGTGCAGATTCTGAATCACACGATGATGTGAACTTATTTTTTTTTTTGTGTAAGTGAACACGATTAAACGGACTAAAATATTTGCCCAAATCAATAATTGTAAGAGATAATTTTAAAACATTTTTATATATAGCAATATGAATCTAGTTGATGAGCTGAGTAAGTCTTTGTTTTTAAAAATTCCGTATACGTTTTTTATTACATGACATTTTTTATAAAACATATTGGTTTTTTTTACTTAAGACTTTACTTAGGTACCTACTACCTATGAACATAGGCTATTGGAAAAATGTTAAAATTTATGATATTCGAGTTTTGAATATATTTTATTAGCCATAAATAAGACATTTGCAGACTTGACTATAAATAATAGTAAATTATAAATGTTTAAGTAGGTATAGGTACATCACAAATATTATACACTTATTACTTACATATAATAGATTCATAAGAGAAAGAGGTTAAGTTAGGTTTTAAACTTACCTGGATTAAAAATTTTACCGTCCCAATTTACCACCCAAAAGTTGAACAATTATAGTTTTAAATACTCAATAAAGAAACAAAGAGTACAGAAAAAATGGCAAAGAGGATGAGCCAGAGAACGATGGAGAGACAGAATCGCTTAAACTTTTAAAGATACATCGCCGTTGTGAATGATAAATGAAGGATCTAAAATGTATATCGATTTGAATAACTTTCTGTGTTCTCAAAATCTCTCTTTTAGGTATTTAACTGCTTGATCGTAGACAACTTTGTATACATTAATTCGAAATCTATTTTTTTCGTTATAGATAGAAAATAAAAAAAACATCTAAGTCTGATAAAGAATATGGTCTATCCATTCTTTATTATCTATGGTCCTGCAGTATATTAGTATGGTGAAGTGCATTCGCAGAACTAATTAAATACTATATTACCTATAAACTAATTATAAAAACATAACAATAAATTAGTACCTTAAGTCCCCTCAAATTTTTGACATTCTAAAACTTAAAATTAAAATTTTCATAAAAAACAAATCTTTTAATCACCCATCTACCTATCGAAATAGAAGCATAGTATCTATAAACTATATATTACCTATAAATATTAATATCAGCCTTACTGGGTGAACTTTAATAATTTTATTTAAACCCCTTTTCTCCCAAAAAAGTTTAGGTGTGCCCTTGGTCTTTGGTTTAAAGGCCCTAAACAGTGACATCTCAAAAATAACTGACCCACAGTTCCCAAACTCAAAATCCGCCACTAATTCATGCCATTAGTTTGAATGGTATAATGATAAAGGAGTTAGTGATGCATATATTTAACTAATAACTATAGTATCATATTTTTTTTAATGCGTTTAATGTGCGTTTTCTGTGCACAACTTTTTTGCCAGCAATTTTATTCCAAAATTTAATGATAGCAATGTTTCTAAAAGTAAATTTCACTAGGAAGGTATTTTAGAAATGTAATTTTTAGATTTTCCCAAATAATGTGAATAACTGTGATAAAACATGGGAAAACCCGAGAAAATTGTAGGAAAATTTGTAAAATTGGTACAACATTAAACAAATTTTATTAAAGTAAATATATAAAACCTATTTAATTATTTTACTACAAAATGACATATATATTGTTGACAAAGTATCACTATCAACTGAACCCCCGCTCAGAATCTTTTTTTCGTAAGCAATGGCTTAACATTGCTTACAGATATACATTAAATTTCCATCTATATACTACCTTTCCAACTTCCCACGTACACCAGTGCCTGCAGCCATCCTCATAATCTTTTTTTTAAAACATATCTATACCACACATTTTAAAAAAGAAAACAAAAGATGATCCAAAACAAATTAAGTTTGGTTGAGTTAACATTAGTTTTGCAGGTAAACATCAAGTAGCAGTGGAATGTAGGTACATATAAAAAAAGGTACAATATTGGTGGAATTTGCAATTTTCATGCATAACAGCCGATAACAGTAACATTGTAATCTTGTTTATAATTTCTTAAGTTTTTACACATCTAAATATATTTTAACGATTTACAAAAATAGATATTTATAACATAGGTAGTTAAACTTTGTATATTTAAACATTATAAGTTCTAAAAAATGTATAGTTATGACTTATAACTTTACAAAATATGTGTAACAAGTTAGGTATGAGTAGCTAGTGAAGACTAAATACATAAATATAATAGGTAAGTATAATCATTTATTATTTCCCAAATAAAAAAAAAAAATTAAAATTAAAACATATTATATCATGTTATACATAATTTGATAATCATTTGATTGAGGTTTCATCATACATTTTCAATTAATTATATTTACCTACTAAAAACAAATAAAAATAAGATAATATTTTTAATATAATCCAATAATAACATAATTATTATAATCCTCATTTTCCCTTTCGTTTACAAAACTATTATTCCAATTCCATAACAATAATATAATAATATCCCTAACAAAGTAATCTTCAAAAACAATCCATTAATACGTATATTCATAATAATAATCTTAACACATTCAAATATTTTACCTGCAAAAGTTTCACTTCAGTCTAAAAGTATCATAATTAAAACAAGAAACGCTAACACATTTAACGAATTTAGGAATCGAGTTTAAGTAAAATATAAATATACAATAATTGTAATATGTAATAATTCAAATAATAAAATAATACAATGTAACAATGTTTGTAAATTAAGTTTAATATTACCTATATTCCCTATGTGCTTATACTCATATTTTTTAACGTAAATTAAAATACACAAACTTAATAAAAAGCTTAATATTATTGCACCACAAATACAAAAATAATAGAACTTGCATAATAATTTATTGTAGATACAATAATCTCTTTCAGGTCCACATTTTATCTACTTATTCTTTGTGAAATAAATGTGATTAGTTTTTTTTCAATAAAATATGTGTAACAAGAGTTTTATAAATATAATAATATAATTGAATAATTGATTATTTGAAATCTGGAACGTAAATGGAAATAATATTTTGGCAACAAAAATGAGCAAATCTATTGACTTGAGCAATAGTTAAAAGAGAGAGAGAGAGAGAGAGAGAAAGAGAGGCTTTAAGCTTTGTTAATTATTGTTATGATAAAAGCAATAATTGTTTGATATAAGTTTTTACGTTAGCTAGATTAAAAAAAATTATTAACACCCATATTTTTTTTCTTACAATAATATAGGTCGATAGATTATTTTTAGATACATGAAAAATTAAGTCATTTAGTAAACCTATAAAATTGATTACATTTTTAAGCAGTTTAGTAAAGTTTAAAATACTGAAAAATAATAAAATAGTGAAAGGTTGGGTGAGTAGATAAGATCCCAACTTATCTAGGTGTCAAGTCAATTTTTGTCATAGAATTAATGAATAGATCAAAATCATACATTGTTATGATTGAATTTTAAGTTAATAATTGTCATCAAATTTAAAAAACTAAAAACACTACTGAAATAATAATAATAACCAAAAATAAATTGTATTTAAATGGTCAACAATGTTATTTTAGCCTGGTAGTCGAGATTCGGCATAAAAGTCAGGTTCATCTTCATCGTTAATTGTGCTTGTTGGTTCATTGCTATCTAACTGTGACAAAAAGTGAAAAATACATTATGAATTAAAAATTTCTAAATTAATACAAGATAAGTTCACGGTGACAAAATAGTTAGGTACTCACTGCTCTCAACTCTTTAGGAGTGAATATTTTATTACACAGTTGAGATCGCACGGGAATCATCAAAATCAAAAAGAACGGGAACAATAATGAAAATGATGACGACTTAACAGCCCACAACACACATAAACATATCAGTTGGATTCCGGTAAATAGATGCATTTTGTATGTTTGAACCTGAAAAAAATAAAAGATTTTATCCACATTAAATCAAATAAAATTCAAAAATCTCAAATGCCTATAAATAGCTAAATAAATTTCTAAACTGTTTTGAAAATTGTACAATAAAAATAGTAAAAATTGAAGTCTCTACTATTATTATTAACTTAATTACAACAAAAATTAAAAATTAAATAATGGAATCATTATTATTACTTTAAACTTTACTATTTTTCCTACGTTTTTTCCCAATTATTTATTAAAAAAATTAGATGGACAATATAAAAAATTACCATCCTATGCATTAAAAATGTTCATTCAGAAAATATACTACTGACTCTTAAAATTAGGAACAAGATTTTGAATAGGAAAACAAAACAAAACATATCAAAAATATAATGAAACGTTTAATATCGAACATTTTGTTCGCTTTTCTTATATCTATTAATCAGATTTTTCTAACTATTATGATAATTACTTAGAAAATTAAAAATGACCTCCAACTAGATCCAAAATGCTACAAAATAGATCTATCATTTTTTGATTGGAGGGTGATTTTTGATGGAAAAGTTGTTAGCAGAAAAAATAAAAAAATAAGCCCGAACCATGGTAAAGCCAATACATTTCTCATTTTGTTCAGAATTTAAAAATATTATTTATACCATTTTTGTCTAACTATATTGCTGTTATAAACAAAAAAAAAAAAATTAATTTTATAATTATTTATTTGAGTAGCTTCTTTTACGTACAAAAATAACACTATAACAGGTAACGCTTAAATTTAAATTAATGATTGTATAAACACTTACATTACGAACATATGGAGCTTCTGAATGATGTTTCACTGGCATGAAAATTAATTTGAGGCGTTCAAAAAATTGTATACCATCAATGGATGATATTCCCATGTAGAGAAAGACACCGAAAAGTACAGCCATTGGTACCAATCGCAACAGGGGACCCATAAGCACTGAACAGCCAACCATAACGGACACCAACAGAGAACTGATTCTTTGCTCTTAAATTTGAAAACAGAATATCATTTATGCGTTTTTTCAAATAAATTAAATACTGTACAGTAGAATAATATTATTAACTAACCTTTTACTTCGATGATATGGGGTTTTTGACCAGGAGCGTGCGTCCGACTCATCACTGTCAAAGAGGACACGTGGGCCACCGACCTGACGGTTGCCGCGCTCATCCACGGCGCGCCAATTATACCGCACATTAAATTACAGACACTCACTAACACGATATCCAAATGGAAACCGCTACCCTTTTGCAGTTTGCGTTCTTTTTTGGCAATGATCAACCTACAAATAAGTTTTGGTGTAGGTATTTATAGTTTAGAAAAGAGTCCGACGGAAAAGACGAGGCGTATGAGAAGGAACTATCAGGAAGGTATGTACATACTCGCTGATGTGGGTTTCCATAAACACGAGAATAAAGATGAGTATAGCTGGAACGATGGCGATGAAAGGTACCCAAGGTTCAATGGGAAACTTCAGCCCGCTGGGTGATATGAACCATCCACGCACCTGTGGGTCGGATGGCGTTAGACCTTCGGGCACTTTGAGTTTTTCAGTATACGTAGTCGGGTTAAAATAGTCGGCCGCTACCATTGCTATGATAGCTATAGGAACACCGAAATCGCCAAGAGCTCTACGAATCTGAAATCACCATAATATGCACATATTAATTACAATTGTTGAAATCCTCTGTCATTAAAATCTGTGCACGTCAATGAATTTTAATAAGGATACTTTCTGAAAAAATGATTATGATGCCGACTATACAGTTTTACAAATATGAAATTAGTTATGTATTACAACTATGCAAATGGGTGTATTAGGTACTAATAATTTAATAAAATCTGTACCAGTTTAAAATATAATGTTATTATTTAACTTACATTTCTTCCGAGAAATTTGCTGTTTCTGAAATGTCGAAGGTAATAGGCGATAAAAAATGTGCCTAGTGCTAGAATTGTGCACAGTAACGCAGTGTTCGGTTGATTTTTAATTATAGGTTGGTCCACGGATCTTGATAAACTTGTAATACTAGGTATAAAATAATGTATAATATATTATTATTTTTCACTGTACATTTTCCCGTCTTTTTTTTTTTTGGCTTTTGTAAACAAGATCAAGATGTGAGTGTTTTTTAAAGGATTTTTAAAAAAGGAACTATGGCTATAGTAAAGTTAGTTTATGAAAATAATTCTATACATTTTATATATTTTAGAAGGTAAAGAGTACGAGATAAATAAAAATACGACTAAAAAACAAAAAACTATAATACTTACTTTGATGTAGAGTTGAAAGCAATAGAATTTATGTTGAATTCCTCACAATATTCGTGAAACGGTAACAATGGATGTTTCAAAAATACCTTTAACAGTTAAGGAGTTTGTAAAAATAAATTATCATTACAAAGGTGTCTCGGGTATAATATTATAAAAAGTACATACGTTAAAGCACTTAGACAAACTCTCCCAAATGTAAATCAATGATATGAGTGATGCGAAAATTTCTTCTGTAAATCTAGTAAATACTTTGACCATTACACTACCTTCGACGCAGCTCACAATCAGAGCGATGATGATCAACCACAAACCAATGTAGACCCTCATTGGTAAAAATTCAATATTGTTAGAGTGGCAAAACTATAAAAAGAAAGATGTTAGACTGATTTAAATATATGAAAATAAGTAGAAACATATAAAAATCATCTTAATAAACTTACATTATACAGAGCTTCGTCAAAGAGTAACAAAGGTCCAGTGGTTCCTATAATTACCAACGGTTGTCCTGCAAACAGGGAAAAAATGACGCCAGATACGGAAGTGGCGATCAGAGTTTCCGATATTCCGATAAAATTTTTTGTTTTATCCGCTGAAACACGACGGAATGACAAACACTCATTTAAATATTACTCTATAAATATTTTGCTCGAAAAAAAACACAACCGAAAGAACTTTCAATCAATAATATGTACAATATAAACCACTACTGACCCATAAGACCACCGAACGTGATTGCTGCCGACAATGCGGCAAAATATATGAATATCGCGGACGCTATGCACTGCAAATTCAACCCTTCAGAAAAATCGGATTTATAATATGGTAACCTCCGCTGTATGTCCTTCACCAAACCTCCCCAAGGCTTTTTGGTACGTCTCAAAGGGTTATCTTTATCATCGTCGCCTTTTCCACTGGCTGTTGACACTAAGGCTACGGCTAAAAAACATAACGTGTATTACTATTATTATTATCATCATTTTATTATATTTTTTATACCATCAAATTAATCACCCCAAAAGGTCTACAAGATAGACAAAACGGTTTCCATTTTGTTTTCACACTAAGTAACCAATAAAAAAAATCGTTCATTGACAAACATAATAAACTACCTTCTTTTTGAGCGGCGGCACGTGTTTTTCGTCTCTTTATCTGTTCGCTCTTCTCTTTTAATTCTCGAAGCGATAATAACTCTTCCCGTTCCCAATCACAAGGAGGCAGTACAATACTGCTGTCAAGAAATTCGTTCAACAACCTAATCAATTCTTTACGTTCGGCCACTTTGTAAGCTTTGCAATGAAACTCCTGTAATTTATATCGAAACATTGTTTAATCTGCTGTATATAAACTTTAAATTCAGTAGTTGTTGCATATTATTATAAACAATAATTATTACTCACAGAATTCGACATTAAAGTCGACATCGATCTTCCGACTTCGTGATAGTCAATATCTTTTGGATCGGGGGGACCCAAAAGTATGAACACGAATCGCACTGGTATTGTTACTTCAGTCAGTGAAGGTATCATGATACCCTCAGCTAAACGTACAAAAGCGGCTGTTCTTTTTTTCAAGAAATCTACTGACCCAACCAATACAGTAGTGGCCTCAGCGCCAATCGGTATTCGCTTAAGAATGCTTTCCTTTTGCGCTTTTTTTACCATGTCCTCGGTCGACGAGGTGTAAGTTTCTTCTTTCATGTCGATATTTATATGATTTTTGTCCAAATCTAAGAACGAACGGTTATTGTTGTTGTTATTGTTGATGCCAAATTTAGGACTTGAATGCATTTCGTGACTCGATACAGTGCTTTTCATTTTCAACTTTCCGTCGTCATTTAGATTCTGCGAATCAATATCAAATCAATTAGTATGGTTTTTTTTAAAATGAATTTATAGATGAGGATAACTAAGAAAATTCTATACAGTGACGAATTTACGGCTACGGGGGTGGTTAAGAAGTTTCCCCTAGAGGCTCACAACTTTTTAAACTATGATTGTGCTTGATATGATTTAGGTGGGCTTAGCCGTCTAAATTGTGCTAATACACCCTTCTCCCAGAAAAAAAAAACAAGTCGTAAATACGCCACTGATTCTATAATATAGGCTTTTTTATTAATTAGTGTTATTTATAGGGAAATTTCTGAATCTAATAAGAGTTAACTACGTACATTAGAGCATCACATTTTTTTATAACATAAATGTATATTGTACATAATATTATTACATATTATATATATATATACAGTACACACGTTATATTATACAGTATACACATAAAATGTTAAAAAAAAGAAGCATAATATTGTGAATTTGTTATGCATTTAAGGCCTAAAGCCATTTCCCGAAAGAAGTTATTAAAAAAAAAAAAAAAAAAAGCGATTCAGATATATTTCTAGCAAGTGGATTCTTGTCAATCAAGGATTTTTTAAAACTAAAACGTCTATTCTACAAAAAAACAAACGCATAAAAATGTCTTAATGTTATTAATGATGAAAAGAAAAATGCATATTATTATAAATATGTTTGTATAATATTCAACCAAGAGATTTAGTTTACATTGTATGTAAGTGATGCCGACCGCTTAGCCAGAATTTCTGCCTCAAATTGCTGTCAGAAAAACAATATTTAAATAAAATTATAGATATACCTATATATAATAATAATTATACTAATAATAGATCTTAAAAAAATAATATAATATACGTGGCTTAAAAATAGACACAAAGAAATGATTAAAGCAGTTAATTTAATTTGTTAAGAAATTATAGAACTATTAATTAATTAAAATAATGTATAAGAATATAATACATTGTTATGTAATATGTTCATATTATGAATGCTGCATAGATACCCAAATGTCCTACATAATGATTTTTTGTGTTTTGATATTTTTCAATTATTTAGGTAACGAGGAAGAAAAAGAAGAAACAGAAAAAGACAAATTATTCCCAAAATAAGTTTGTAGATACGTAACAAAATAATATTCTGAAGCCATTTTAAAATCGATTGAAATTCGTAATATAAATAATTGTTAGTAGTTACCGTAAGACTCGTGTAGCTGGACGTATTTCGTCTGATAAACCTACTAAACTTTTCGCCGTCTTGTTGGACGTGCCTGTGTCTGAGCAATAGCAATCTCATGACCGCGGCTTTGTCCTCTTGGTTGATCAGTTCTTCGACGGCCATCTGTTCGACTACGCGGTATATTACACCGGGTAGGTCTTTTTCTTCCAAGTCCAATAAAATCACACCTTTAAGAGAACATGACATTTATTTCCATACTACAAGCAGTAGTTCTCGGTTGCCAAAAAAAAAACCTAAAAATTTACCTGATTCCAATGACCGTCTCACGTTCAGCAACGAATGGAAACTCAACGAAGCCACGTGCGGTCGACCCCATCTGTCCGTGCCCTCTTGCACGTCTTCCTCGTATTTTATCCATCGAGCAGTTTCTTTCCATTCGCGTTCGTCTCCGTTAGCCTTTAACTCGTCCAGTTGAACGAACACCTGTGATGAAAATTCATTCATAATAACATATACATCTAATATATAAAAACACAAACGCTACCGATGCAATGGGTTCGTAATCAATACAAAACACTATACAAGTTCGTCTTCAATTTATGTTTTTAATATTTCAGATTTATTTATTTTTCTTTTAAGACATCATTTATCTCAAAGATATACAAACCACGCGAGATAAATTAACTCAACGAGCTGAACAAGCGACGCACTTGAATATTAGAATATATTTAAAAATATAATTAAATATTTAAAAACGTACCGCATGCGGACTGTGGTCTACGTATTTCTTGATCACTTTTATTGGCAATCCCGCAATTAATGTTCCGTCTATATCTCCGGCATACGGAACCAAAAACGAACTTTTATTTTTACCACTGAATCTTCGTTTTTCTTTGTTACAATCATATCTATGACCTACGTCATATGCAACATATTATTGTTAATATAATGGATATACTAATAATATAATATATATAATATATAATAGATATATAAAGGTATATAAAATTAATGATTAGTTAATATTGATAGTTGATATTAAGAGAATGTTCTTTGTATAAAGTCTATTGCTTTATGTACTGTTTATATTTTTTACGAATTCAATTAATTTCGTAATTTTGTATACTGTTATCGTAATATCAGTCAAGTAAGATTATCTGAATATTGTATAACATTAATACGATTTATCGAATTAAAATTCGAAAATCGAAGATTAATGTTCTAAAAAACAATTAATTTTTTTTTTTTTGATCAAAATTATTTAATTATCAGTAAAAATAAAATATTTTATTGTTATGTTATGAAATTCCGTAAATTAAAAATATATCGTTCAATATTTTTCACTATCTAACTCATTTTAAACATTTCAAAACTTGTGTATATATATATATATATAATATGAATTTTTATCTAAATTCAACATGTTAATTAATAGTATGTAAAATATTAATAGCTTTAAGCATTATTAGCTGCTTTTAAATAGTTGAAAATTGTTCTTCGTCAATATTCATTTTGCACGAGAATATATTATAACGCTTATTCCGTGTCAAATAAAACGCACTTTTACATATTATAAAAAATATATATAAACGATGTATTATATTTTAGTGTAGTCATTCCAAATGTTTTGTCATAAGTACTTAAATTTGTGCACAGGCTCACGTAGATCAGGTAGTTAACTCATTTACTATCAACAACAACTATTTACCAACGAGAATAGTTACAATTTTGATTTCAACGGGAAAAAATATGTGCCATGTGGTACAAAAAAAAAAAACAAATTGCTATTCACAAGAAAAAAAAATTTCGAGTTGAGTCACAAATCATACATATACTTACATCAATCCCACTGGGTTTAATAAAGTTTTTCAATTAAACTCACGTAATATAGAATTATTGAAATAATTATTATGGTGCCTTTAGAAAACTAAACAATTAAATTAAATTAATTATTTTCCTACTAAATGCACTTAAAATCCACAAAATACGCTTAAAAACGTCAATAAAGGCCTGAAAATCACTTAAAAGAATAATTATTTTTTTTTTTTATTTGAAAATTTACAAACTGTATTACATAACACAATAAGTAAAATAGATGACCGATATAACACTATATACATAAAAACAATACACATGAAGCACATGATGAGGAAAATCATCCAGCGATGGTACCCTCTAAAAGAATAATTAGAAAAGCAATAATGCTAGAGCTGGAGGGGGGGGGGGGGGTTTAAAAGACCCCCCTCTAATGGTTCCAACTTAACTTCAATAAAGTATTTTTTTTCAAATTAATTTGTGCATGTTATAAAAAATAAAAATAATACTTTATGTTAATCATTTGTCAGTGTTAGTAAATTGTATTTAATAGGGTTCGAACAGTTAAAAGAGGGACTTTAAATCCTCTACAACTTTTGCTTTTTGAAATATTTTTATGTGTTTTTTTTTTACGATTTAAGCACTTTTTTGTGGATTTTAAGTGCATAAACATCCTAACCCTAGTTGAATATACAGAGTGATTTATTAAACATGTTCATCTCATTTTTTCTATAACCTAAATTGTACATAAATTCAAATTCTGATTTTCGGAATTTTAAATATAGTTAAAGCCGATTTTTTTGAATACTTAGATTTTTCAAATGAGAACCTATATTGAAAATTCCATAAATAGACGGAATATTACTTTCAATAAATGTTGTATCAAAATGTTTAATTTCCGTCAATCTGTTGACGAGTTATTTCATTTTTAGTTTAGGTAGAGGAGGAGTAGTGAAGCACTAATAAAACACTGCGCGCCGTGTTGCCACACAAATAATAGTAAATTACTCTCCCCCACCTAAACTTAAAAGTGAAATATCTCGTCAAAGGGTTGACAGAAATTAAAAATTTTAATATAAAAATGTATTTAAAGTAATACTTTATCTATTTGTGGAATTTTTAATATAGGTTCTCAATTGAAAAACCAAAATTGGTATCACCACAGGATATTTCTTATATATTGTGAAAAATCTAAGTATTCGAAAATATCGGTTTTAACTAAACTTAAAAATTTCAAAAATCAGAATTTAAATATGTACATGCAAAATTTAGCTAAAAAAATAGGGTGAACACGCTTAATGAATCACTTTGTATAATATACTACACTATTAATGAATTTTTTAGTGCGAGTCAGAATAGCTAGGTAAGTAATAATTATTGTTTTCATAATATTACTGTTATGAAATATCGTTTTAAAATATTTCGTTCTATTAGTTAAACGTCGACTGATTTTCATACATTTTATTTGATCAAATAATATTTTTCTTTCTTTAATATTTTCATATAATGAGAAATAATAAGTTATCATAATAAATTATTAGCTGCCTTGTTCTTACTTGTTAAATCGTCCTGTAAAAATTCGTCTAAATTTTCGTCAAGCTGTAAATCGTCCTTTGGGATAAAAATTTCTCTTTCGTTATGCTTGTGTCGACTATGGTGACGATGATGATGTCTGTAGAAAAAAAAAAACAAATATTCCTCGTTAACAATTAAAAATATCAACAAAATATAAATATTATTAAACACGAATATAAAATAAGCATTAGCATTTTTCGTTATTCTAGCAATAAAATAAGTGTTCGAATAAACAATATTATAAATAGTTTTCTTTATAAATTATTAATGTTTAAGGATGCTATTCAGACAAATTGATTACTTTAAGTTACTGCTTTTGGTATAAGATTGTTAGAATTTTATTAATACGTAGCGTATAGAGATCGATACTAAGTAATTCTATCAAAATTGTGTTAAAACCATCCGGTTAACTATGCAATCACCTTGTTCACTTAAAAAATGTTAACTTTTAAAAGTAATTTTCAAAGACGTTTAAAAGAGGGGGGAGGTTAAAATCCCTGAATTCCTACCGATGTGAATATTATACTTATTACTATGTATACATTTATTTATTTTATTTATATGGGGGTGTATGTCGCCAGCCTGCTCGAGGCCATCCCTGCAACTAGTTTTATCCCTTAAAGGATAAATAAGTCGACCAATAGCCAATGATCAGACCGTTGTCCATCGCCTTATGCGATCACACAGCATAAATGCAAATCCTAACTAAACACAATATTATTGTACAAATACACATCTCATTTATTTTATTTAAGATAAACAGTACCCAATATAAAGTTGCATGGTCAATAGATCGATAAAAGACATTGATTACCTACATTTTCGTGTTTATATATTTTTATAGATGTTATATTCTTTTTTGCACAGGCTTCATAAGTCGTAAAAAAAGGCGAACAATTTTCATTTATTATAAACAAATTCAAATAGTTTTATTACATTAGTTTCATTTTTTTTAATAAACTTTGTATTACATGTAAGTACCTGTGTTTTCGCTTCTTTTTTTTCATTTCCTGACGTGCTATTTCTTGTGCACCAAATTCTCTGTGTTCAATGTACGCAGCTGAGTCTTCGTTTTTTTCATCTAGAATTCAAAAAGAAACATTATGTTTTTAAAAATTCATTTAGAGGCCCCATGCCCAAAGTATTTTTTCAGTCAAAACATGCCAACGATAAAAACTTTCATGCCTCATACAGTGTTTCGATTTGAATGATTATTGTTTTGGTAGAAAGACCGCATTGAACTACGTTTTTTAATATTTTATGTTTTTATACCATAATTTGAAATCAAGTGAAACATTGTAATCAATGTGATTTGTAAAATATTGTTATTTATCAATTTCAAAATAAAATAATAAGAAAATATTATGTTGACAATGAATTATTCTTATTAACAAAGAGTAATTTTTGTCCGTAAAACAATCCCTTGAATTGATATCGGGTAGTAGATTAGTAGACACGTGTTAGTTTTAAGGCGGTTATTAAAATGTTTAAATTTAACAAAATTAGAAAAAATATGGAAATCCAACAGCGAGCTTCTTAATATTTAACCCACAGAGTTATAAAAACTTCACTAAATACTCACATTTAACACTGAAGAAATATACATTTATAATACTTTGAGTAATGAATGAAAATAGAATACAAAAAACGTACAAACTTCGCACGATGGGTGGGCCATTATTGTAGGTGAGAAGTTGGGAAGGTAGAAGGGAAATTTAATGTATATCTGTACGCAACGATTAATCGTTGCTAATGAAAAATGGTTCTGAGCGGAGTTCGGTTAAACATGTTTTAAAAGGCTGTAATATCTACGATTTTAAAATAATACATTTCCCGTTTTTCCTACGTTTTTTTCCATTTATTATGAAAACCACTGAAAAAATCTCTCCCAGTACCTAAATACTCAAGTACCTCATCAATCAAATTTCCTTTCAAAAAAGATGTTATATTTGAAAATCGGAGCATAATTTCTTGAAGGGAAGTTGTTCACAGAAAAAAAATAAAAATAAACAAACATCATTATAAAACCAATACATCCATCGCTCTGCTCAGAATCTAAAATACAAATCATATTATTTTTACCGACATAGATTAATAATTTATAACCTTTACAATGTATCTCTAAGACCTATAACTAAAGAGCTTTTTTTTTAAACAGTTTAAGTGTTAATATACAAACAGTATATAATATAGATTGGTCATTGGTGAGAGTAAAAACACGACTTATAACGGATTTTCAATGAATTAGAAGGGTCCAGAAGTTAATGACGACGTTTTAGTAGTCCAATGTTTCCTAAAGTTATAAATGAAACTTTTCGAATTCGACAAGCATATAAAAAATTAATCGTTCAAAGAACACTTTAAATCATCGAAATCAAATGTTTTACAGAGCAGAAAATAAATGCCACATTATTTTTCAAGTTTAAATGTCTAAAGTTTTTTTTTTGTACAAGTAAAATAAAATATAACATGAGTATAAATTTAACAGAAAATGTGCATTTTATTTAAGGAGTCTTTAAAAGGAAATTCGAAATAACTTGCAATAACTTATAATGTATTTGCAACTGAATTTTAATTTTAAATTTAATTAAAATTAAGTGATTACGATCAGAAACAGTTTGTTTAATTAATCGAGACGAAGAAAATGGTGTGTGTTTCATAGTATAGTTTAATTTTAAACAGATTTATACATCTAATTTAAATATTTAAAACGTACCTATTTTTATGAGTTTTCTATGGGGGATGAAAAACTTAATCTTGTGTTATATCATTTATTTATTATTTTATTATGATTCCATAATATGTGTCTTCTTTGATTAATACTTTGAACGTTTCAAAGAAAATGTTATTAACAATTTAAATGTATTCAAACGATAGAAAATAACTAATTCAAGCACATAGGTACCTTCACTTATGACAACTTGTTAACGTCAAAATGACGACGGTAATGACGACCAAGACTAATCAATTAGTTATTGTAGGGTTTTTTTCTTTTTACTTTGTAAGCTTAAATCATTATTTTTTTTATCAGAACTTAAAGTTTAACTAACAATTATTTTGGCAGTATTTTATATTTTGATTTTATTTTTAAGCATACTATTTAGGCTGTTTTACTGGAATCCTTATGTCAACGGTTATTATAGAGTTATTATTGATACTTTTGGAGTCTATTACGACATTATCACAAAGTTGTATTACAAAAGAACACGTAAATGATATAATTCGTATTATATTCTTTGTATTACCCTGTGGCAAGTAAACAATGTTGTATGAGCGAAGTTCGGAATTTCGGATGATAAAAAAAAAATTATTATTTTAAATTAACCTAGACAACCATTATAGAAATTGTATATCTTCGCGGAACTACTTTAAATAGAATAATACCGATAACAATAAGAATACAATAAATTACTATTTTTTGAATATAATTATATACTAGTCGTATGCCTTGCGTGTAACCCGCGGGTAATAACGATTTTATACTCGGTCACAGTGACGCACACAGATGGGGGGTAAGGAGGTCACTCCCCCCCCCCCCCGAAATGGCTTCCTTTAAAACATTTTTTTTTTTAATCAAGTTTAACATTCAATAACATAATATCGTATAACATAGAATAAAATACAATTTAATTTCACCAAAAATCATTTATTCAGTAATAATATTAGTGATAGTACTGTACATAATATTATATGTCCAAGTGGTGGATCCAGGGGGAGGGCACAAGGACACGTGCCCCCTGTTAATGGACTACAGTTTTTATATAAATATAATATTAATTTAATATACCGGGTGATCAATCTATCATAAGACACTCATTATCTCGGAAAGTATTAACTTTTTCGGGAATTTATTTTCTAGAACATTTAAAAAACAAGCACCTTCTACAATTTTAAACTTATGTTATTTTTTGTCGCCCTTATTTTGGGGGCTAAAACCACTACCTACTTTTGATTTTTAAATGACAACCTATATTAAAAATTCCATAAATAGATAAAGTATTATTTAAAATAAATGTTAGTGTTGAAATTTTTGATTTCCAAACAAAAATTTAAAATTGTAGAGCAGCTTGTTTTTTAAATGTTCTAGAAAAAACATTCCCGAAAAAGTTAATACTTTTCGAGATAATGAGTGTATCCACTTAAATGTATCACCTGGTATATGATGACAAATTTTTATAAAAGATCGTGGTATATTTATTTATTTATTTATGTATAAATATAGTTAAGTATTAGTCTACTGCGTTAATTTTACTTATAATGTTAAAACGTATAAGAACTTATATAAAGTATAATGATGAGATAATAATAATTTAAAAAATACACATCATGGTAAAACTAATAACTGGCGCATTCCGTTTGTAATCATTTTAAAATTATGTTCATGATAATAACAATAATATTATCACATTTTTCAAAACAACTATAAAAACTTAAAAAGTTGTCAATTGCATTTTCACCTATACCGTTCAACGTTAATAAATATTCTTTTGATATCTTTAATATAACTTTTTATAATCACATTTATTGAATTTTTTTTAAAGAAAAAACCTTTTTTTATAATTTTTTAATTTGCATAAGTAATACTGTAATAGTAAAACAAAAATTGTTGATTATAATAAATTGTATGATCCTAAAATCAAATTAATACCATTATAAATTAATCGCAAACGCAATAATCATTAAAAACCAAAAACATGAATTAATCATAATAATTTATAGTATCAGTTGACTATTGGAATAATTTTTTAGTCAAAATGTAATGTTTGGTAATTAAATCAATAGCGTTAGTAAATTGTTTATTAAATCTGCTGCACGTGACTTCGATCAATTTGAATTAAATATTTATTTTTTGAGTTAGTATTTGCAGGAAATTGATTTAGTTGGAATGTTTAGCACGATTAAATTATTCGTTTTTTTTTTTAAATTTATTTAAAATAAAATTGATCTCATTAAGATAACTAGGTAGCTATAGCTACATAATATTATATTCATTTTCAATATTACTATAACTTAAATTTATTTAATTTCTATAAATCAAAAGTTCCCGGTCTTTTTTAACTCACGGCACCCTAAAGTATTTTCTAAAAATCCAATGGCACCCTATAGTATTATATATTAGTATACCATGTATATTTATATTTTATAACTTCGGTTTTCTTAGCTAGGTATAATCAAATGTATTATTATATACACTAAAAAAATTCACTTTCTATATGGTTTAAAAATGTATTTTTGATATAAGTTCATATGATATAGTATAGTTCCTATTTTTTAAGTACCTACACGTGTGAAGGGGGGGGCTTTAATATCCATATTCCCCTCTTATATTCGTCTCTGTATACAAATAATTTGAATATATTTTTTAAAAATATTTATATAAATTTAAATTTTATAATGAAGTTGTTAGATTAATATTATTTATAGATACAAAAAAGATAAAGCTACAGGAATTAGGTTTTGTCGTAAATGAGTGGTAGCATGATTATTTTATAATACATAGTCCTACATAGGGAACAAATCAGTATGAAAATTAATATTGAGTATATATAATCTGTATTATTGCACATACATTAAATTTTAATGTAGTATGAACTAACGAAAACGTTAATTGATTACGTTTAATCGAAAAACCATATCGTCAATATTTCGAGTAGATCAATGAAACTATGGATTGCTAAATTTATCAATGTTTTAGAAGCAAATATAATATTGGTCTATTCAAAGAGTTTTAATTTTGCCATGGGACTTTACAAATAGATAATTGAACCTGTTTAAAATAATAGGTCTTCAAATTTGAAAAGAATTTTTTTAATTAAAGTGAATTCATTTGAGTATTTGAACTCGTACGTTCATTTAACTCACGATTCATTTAACTCTATGGGGAATCTATATTTTTTTTTTATCTAAAAACGGTGTTCGATTTTTTACTGATATCGCAGTTTAAACACGTTTACAAACGATGATTTGTTTACAAATCTAAATAAGCTTTAAAAGCCTATGGTGTATTGTATAGTCTGTATGAATACTAATTTTTTTATGGCAAATTTTTCTTAAAAAAAATTACGAATTTAAGGAATTTTTTTAACAATGAAAAAGATATAATATTTATTTATTTTATTATATTATATTTAATTTAAATTATATGACGTACATTCCGCGTTATAGCTACAATACATAATAACTACTCGTATAATAAGATATCGGAGAAAAATAATAATAATCGTGTTCCGGATTCAGTGGTGCTAACAGTTTATTTTGTCTATATTTTCGGACACATTATACCGTGTATGCTGTATATGGCTGTGTTGCTTTAAATCAATTAAATCCCTTATCATACAAATTATTGTCTCTTGTCGGTCAGCAACGGGAATAATAACAAGAATAAATTTAAATATTCGATTATGCTATTTCTTACAATATTTAGATTCCATAATACTGATAGTAAAACATGACGTGTTATTGATAAGTTAATTTATATAATTAATATACACTAAACATCGCTTAAAAATACGAAATACTAATAAGAGAACTGATCATTAGTTAACGAGTGATTGGGAATTCTCATGTATAATATTCATAATAATATGTCATTATTACTCACCAACGTTAAACTGTACGTGTTTGTCTGCAGAATCCTGTCTAAAATAATGGCTGAATTGGGGTTTTTCGTACATAGGAGTTTCACATTCGCTACTCAAAAGCCCGTCTTCGGCTCTTGATCCGTCCGATTCGATGTCCCCAAAGTTTGGACCGATGGCTGCAGTAGCCATGGAATGTAATACACCGCTATTACTATAAAAAAAAAAAAAAAAAAAACAAATGTAAACAAATATAATATATTACATGCATTGTTCAATATGTACATCTTTGTATTGCATAAGGAATAATATCATAATGATTCAAAATATAATAAATCTTAAGTCAAGAGTTTAGATAAAGTTTTAAGTATACATATATCTGATATAAAATCTAGATTTAAAAATTCAGATTTTCTTGTCGATATTTTATAAATATAGACATTTTAAATTTTGTTAATAGATTAGCGTTAATTATATTTTGTTATACATAGGTATAAATATATATATTTCTATTCATAAAGAAAACATTTTTATTTCTGTCATGGAGTATTATTATACATATAACATTCCGTTGAAAATTTTTTAAAATTTTAACTGTCTTATAACCATAGCCTGTAGATTCCAAGCATCTCAGTGCTTGTCTAACAATTTCATCCAGAGTATTTACCAGATAAAAAAACTAGCTAAATTAAAATGTCTATAAATAGCTTACAAAATGAATCTAATGTTTTGAACATTTTACCACGTTTATAAAAAGCAAATTTAAATTGTATGTAAAAATTCTCTATAAACATATTTTAACTGAGTTACAACAAAAAAATATAATTGAAAACAATAAAAATATATGATATTTGTAAATTGTCCCATTCTTTCTATGTTTTCTTCGTTTATGCTCAATTAATGAAAAACTAAAAGGAAAATCGAAGAATTTCATACTCACCGACTAGATTAAAAATACAACAACGATAATCTCTAATCGTTTCTTTAATGGAACAATATTTCTGGGGTAAGTTTATTCATTTTTCGTCTTTTTCCGGTTTTTCCTATTAGTATTAAAACAACTCGGAAAATCGAAAAATGGTTTTTTTAGATACCGACTAGATCCACAATGCAAAAAAAAAGATCTTTTGTCATTTTTTGATTGAAGCAAGATTTCTAGTAGAAAACCTAAGTTATAAAAATGTAAAACCACGAAATCCATATGCCGTAAATATTTTACCGTTTTATCCTTTACAATTATCCAGGGTTTTCCAAATTATAATAAAAAAAAAAAACAATTGTAAAATCAGAAAATTACTAATAATTGCAAAACCAATACATTCCACGCTACGCTCTGAATCTAAAATCTCGTTTAACTACTGGCCAAAATACGAAACTAAATTTTATAAAATTTTTAAACGTTTTAACTGAACGTTTATAATAAATCGAAAACAAGCAAGATGTTTTATAGCACGAATTATAAATATATAATAATATAATAATTAATAAATAAACGAATAATTAATATATACTGGTATTATTATTAGCACCTATAAAAAATAATAATTGTACCAAATAAATTCGATTCCACTGCGTTATCCTTGACGGTGATAACTTTTTTTCAGCCATATTCCTTTCATCGAAGTGCCACGCATCGTCAGTAGGTAAACACCATAATTATTAATGTTTATGTTTTGAATTTAAACGTTTTAAGATCATACAAAATGGTCAGTGTACATAGTTACTAAAGATCAACCGGTTTGGCAGTTTTTCACAAGACACGAACCGTTAAATATCAAATACTCGACTAATATCGTCGATTGTTGTTTTTCAGATATATAGACACTTTTGTGTTACGATGGATTTTTTTTTTTATTTCGTTCAATAAAATACATCTAGTTTTTGCGATTATGATGGCATACATAGTCGTAAAATACGCATTCAATCAAATATTATAGTAGTGAATAAAACTTGTATTAATATATAGTATTATATTGTGTTTAATATGGTAATATTGGTATGTATTATTATGCTGATTAAAAATCAACTACGAAATAACAATAAATTAAAAATAAAATCACTACAATTTTTCGATTCGCGAAATCCCATATTATATACCCGTATTAAGTGAACAAATTATCGATTTTACAAAAGAAAATATTGTTATCTATACTCGTATTACATTAAACTAAACAAATTATTCGATACATTCTATACATAAAGTTATGAAGATCATTATTTTATTAATACCGATTGTCCGATTTTAAATTTCATTCATTATGCACGTTAGACTTTAGTCGTGGTATTTAATATATAATTTTTATAATAAAAAAAAATAAAGATGGTACGATAAAGTTTAAAATAGGTGGGTGCTCGTACATAAAATACTAATTTACTAACGATTCGATTTATTTTTCTACTGCAACGGATGAAGAATTGCATTGGTAATATAAATATTGATTTTTTTTCTTTTCAATAATCTGGATAGTCGAGTCGTATCATGCAAGTGTAAACATACAATGTATACAATGTATACAATGTATGAAAAATTATAAAAATCATAACCACTAGGTGAGATAAAATCAAAAACGAATTAAATTAAAATATGTCTACTTAAAAAAAAAAAGTTTAATAACTATAGCCACGCTGTATAGCTCACACAGAATACCTTATCTAAGAATGTTTATTAGGTATTTAAAACCTATTAATATTAATCCTAGATTTATAATTTACGGATTTGATAATATTAAAAATCACATGGTCGATATAATAATAATAATAAAGTAATATTTTTTAAGCTACTACATTATTATTAGATTCTTAAATTTTCTTCGTTATCTTTTAATTCATGTTAACAGTTACCCTTTGTTATTAATATACGGCAGGGATAAATCAGATAGAATAACTAAGTAGAATTAACTTAAATATTTAATAATACTTAATTTACACTTTCTCAGATTAACTAAGAACGGACAACATAACAAAACTGCTAAATTAAAATTGAGGTGTTAAAGTTGAAACTGTAATTAGACAAAGGTGTCAAAAATGTTTTTAAATAGTTTCAATTATGACTTTGTATTCTAAATGAAATGTTTAAGTAGTAAACATATAGGTACACATATTAATCAACTTTTGTTTTTTATTAAGAATATTACTGAAAAATCAATTATTATTAAATCACAATTGAAGATATTGGCACCATACACATTGTAAACCGATACCTTGTACTCAATAAATCAAAACAAATATCATTAACTCTGTGATTTTTAATTATAATTTACTACAATCTATTACCTTAACATTAGGTTACCTTGAATTTCAAGCACTTAGCTCATTGAAAATCTGTGGTTTGGTTAACTTAGATGTGGTGTTCAAAATAATGAACTGTTAATAATTAAATATAATGAACAATTTTAATTGATATCTTATTATTTATTAATGCTCCGCATAATAGTACTTGCCGGTTCTATCTTTCTAATGGTCAAAAATTAAAAGATACAATTTGTCTACAAATTACTGATTAAACCGGCCTTTTGGTTCGTTTAATATGAGAAAGCATTTAATTTGCTACTTCGTCAGTTAGAAAGATAGGGACTGCAGATTCTACTAGAATGGCCTCAAAACTGTTAGTATAATATTTTAAATTTTGGTACAATGTTTCGCATAAGTTAAGTTCATGGAATTTTTTTTTCTTTTTAATAAAAATTCTTGAAGTACAAATTTTGACGAAATTCGTAAAAATCACGAAAATCGAACATATTTTATAATTTAAACTAACATTTAATTGAGCAAAAAATATTTCACCAAGCTCAACTTACAGTCATATATTTTTGGAATGATTTATCCCTGGATTCGGCGGCATTTAATCTAAATTATAACTATTCTTTCAACTTCCTATCTACATCAGTAATATCAGTTCTATTTTTTTTTTTATATATAAAGTAATTAATAGTAATAAAATAATTTATGATATGAAATGTTAAATGAATCCTATATTCATTAATTATAATAATATATAATTATTAATATTTAATATAACTCTTTATTATAGAAACATACGATTTTGCAAACTGAAATTAACTAAATTCGTAAAGCACACACTTTTACAAGCGCCTACTCAGACTGCAGACGGTTATATAGATAGTTTATTGATCAGCTCGTAAAGTTAGGTTATGCAAATAAGGTAATATTATATATATATATATGTTATATACTATGTATATATTTTGTTTATTATATAAATCCATGGACAAAAAACACAGACACACTTGGTTCGTATATATTATAGTATAGATTATAATTAGTAATTATAATTTTTATTGTTAATTACTGTAACTTTTTTTAGATTTTGAGCGAAGGAGGAAATGTTTTACAATTGTTTGTTCTTTTTTTGTGTCTGTAAGCAATAATTTTTTTGCCAAAATCTTGCTCTAATCAAAAACTGACATTTGGACCTTTTTTGTTACATTTTTAATCTAATCGGTGTAATGATAGAGAGGTGATTTTTAGTTTTTCATTATACTTTAATAAGCGTTAAAATCTCATTATTTAAAAAAAAAATTCGATTTCTGATTTCCACCAGAAATCTTGTTCTAAATTTTAGGGATAGCATATTTTCTGAAACGGAATTTTATCTAGTTAATAATTAAAAATGGTAGCCATAGATTTTTAAAACACTTTTCATAATAACTGAGAAAAACTCGAAAAAAAAAAAACGTAGGAAAAACCAGAAAATTTACGACATTAACCGTTCATTATTTTTGTTATTTTGTTGTAATTCTGTTAAAAATAACCGAACAGATCTGAAATTTTCATAGAATTAAATTAATTTTTTCTATACTTAGTATAATTCAGTAGTTCAAAACACTCTGGCAATTTTTAGCTATTTATAAACAATATAATAATAAAGTAAAAACAAAATTATTAAATAGTTACTAATAGATAAATAAATTATTTATTTATTTATTTTTAACATTTGACATTTTCAAGGGTTTTTTAGTTTTTACTTGGTTTAATGTGAATAAAATATTGTTTGGCTAAATAAATATGTTTAAAAATGTAATGCGAAGTTCATTATAAGTTTAATATATATATTTATATTACGTTCAATTTTTATTTATTTTTTTGGCCACTATATTAAACTTATACTTTTAACTATATATATATATATATATATATATAGTTAAAAGTATAAGTTTTATATAAGTGTTTTAAGATCAAATTTTGATTAAAATCGTAAAAATTACGGCACTACAAACCATGTATAATATTTCACTCAGAATCATTTTTCTTTAGCAATGGTTTATCGTTGTATAAAAATACAAATTAAATAACTTAATGTATCCTACTTTCCCAGCTAAAACAGTAGTATACCCATCAGCTATAGCCTTTTTTTTCGTTGTCAACTCAAACGGTTGTTTATTTTTTTCTTTTTAATTTAGTTTTTTACAAAAATATGCTGATGTCAGAATTTTCCACAATTATTTTTATTCCATTATACAATTTAGAAAAAAATGTTTTTTTTTTTTTTTATAATATATTTTACTATCTATGAAAAATCTTTCATTATATAATATTATGTAATTAATTATGTTTATCTGATATTAATATAATAATATTACTATATTATATATAGTCAAAAGAAGTATGTAAGTTTTATTATCTTATCTTAAAATTATTATTATTTTTTTTTTTTACATATTTTTTTACTATGTCGACATAATATTATTATAATATGTTATGATATGGTCTATAAAAATCACGGGAAACAGATCACACTACAGTAAACATCACAGTAATTATATTAGTAGTTTTCACAACTTCGTGAATTTACGTGTTGTCCTCAAAAAAAAAACAAAAACAAAAACAAATATAATAATAATAATAATAAATAAACAAACGGATTTACTTCACACGATGAGTGGTCATCTGTTGTAGATGAGAAGTTAGATAGTTTGAGGAAAAATTTAATGTATATCTTTATGCACTGATTAACTATTGATTGCTAGCGAAGAACGATTCTGAAGTAGGAATACGAATACAAGCGGGTAAAACGAAGGGCAAATTTTCAGAAAAATTGGACTGATTTAAATATTTGCATCCCAATTGAAAACCTGAACTGACGTCCTTGAGTTGTACTGGTAAAAAACTTAATTACTTAATAACAAGTTCAAGACTTAGTAGTCCATGTAGCTGAACACAAGTTTTGTTTTACTAAACAATTTTAAAAAATAACTACAATACCCATTTATTTTTTTTTCTTAGTTCTCCATTTACCAGGTTCTTCGTCATTTTGGCTTAACAATTTTTCCTAAAATATTTCTTGCCAATACAATCACTTTCTTTCCTCAATTTTTTGCTACATATACAATTATTAGGTGCACAACCTTCAGTTTCCTCAATACAGACCGTGACTCCATCCTTTCGAGAGAGTAAAAACATTAGTTTCCGACAAAATTCTTAATAATACTCCCTTTTCGATTTCATATTTTTCCGTCACGGTGTGGCTATAATTTATTCGTAGCAATATATTACAGTTCTACTAAATCTCAATAATTATCGTTAGCAGAATTATAGCATAATCAATCATTTACTGTTGATAGTACCAATTAACTATAGCTAGCTAGTTGCATAAATAATTAATGACTATTCAACTTTAATTGCTTATTATAGTTAATTAATGTATACACAAACGAGAACCAAACATTACTCAACCAAAATAATATATAATCATAAACGACTTAAATATTAACAAAAATAAACAATGATCAACGTTTAGAATTGTATAACTGTAAACTAAAGAAAATGTAAATTAATATAATATATTCTAAATATTTACTTCAATTTGATTTATCAATTCAAAAAATGAAAAAAAAAACACTCAATTATTCCTATTTTTTCTCATACAGTTTTTCTTAAATTTGTTTAAGATCGAAATTTTCAATCGCTGTAGTTTCAACTGCAAATACCCATTTTAGAAGAATTTTTAAATTTTAAAAATTCAAACAACAAATACCAATAAAAATTGTTCCTAAGGTTTCCTACTAGGTTTAAGTAAAATTTTAAATGTAAAATACAGTTTTATGATAAATACAACAACAAAAAAAAAAAAAACTACGTAAAAAAATAACTAAGTCTACTATTAAATTAAATTTGACTAATATTAAATTGTTTTCAACGAAAAAATGCATGTAGACATTCCTTACATAATCTTAATTCATACGTAACAAACGCTTTGAATACCACCGCATACTTCGTGTTTCAATATGGAATTCATCCCACAGATCATAATCTATGAGTGCCAAGTACGTAAAGGTTATTCAAAAATAACCAACATTATATCCCTACAAGGTTCTCAACCCGAAATAACATAAAATTTCGAAGAAAAATGTAAATTTTGTAGTACTATTTGTAACAGTTTGTCAGCAGTGTAACATTAATAAAACTTGCCGGCTTTGGTAAACAAAATTTTGAATCTATAGAATTTTTTATTCAAAATACCTTGCATTAAGTTTAATAACTTAAAAACTAAAGAAAATGTTTAACTATAAAAAATTATCCAAGTATTTATGAAATATAAACATAATTATAATCTACTTACTCAAAAGATTAATTATAATATTTAAAAAAAAAACGGAAAAAAAATAATTCTATAGTAATTACATATAATTTATAAAAATATATAGCTTTACAAATACTTATTACTTTTTTTTGATATCCTTATTTCAGAAGTTGAAACCATTATCGACTTTTGATTTTTAAAAAGCAACCTACATTAAAAGTTCCATAAATAGATTTAATATTAGTTTGAATGTTTAAATCAGCGGTTCCAAAACTTTGCACTTTCTAGGAGAACTGTAACTTATAAAAAGTTATTTATAATTTAGATATTGTGATTTTGGTTAGTTTCAAATTAAATCTTATAAAAAAATGTATTATTTCGGATGTATGCTTATATTGTATTATACTCAGTTAAATTATAAAAACTGAAAAGAATTTATGTTGATTTTTATAAATATTCTTCGTGGTATTCACGGTAGGGTATAATTTAATAACTATGATTTAAAATAATACTCCATATATTTATGAAATTTTTAGTAGTTTGATATTTGAATATCAAAGTAGATAATGGTTTAACCTCAAAAAATAAGGACTACAAAAAATAACCGATATATAAAATTGTAGAGCTACTTATTTCTTTAAGTGAACAATAAATTCCGAACAAAGATAATACTTCCTAATATGTCTTACGTTATGTTGAACACACTATATATATATAAAATTCATGATCGGTAAGTTCTAGCATGACAGTTTTCTTTAAAAGCTTAAAGCACGTAAAAATACTTCAAACAAACTCTTATAAACTCTGAGGCTTGGTAGATAGGCTAATTTTATAAGAAAAAAAATGTACAATTACAATTATTATGGATTTTACGTTAGATTTTTTCGGAATTTTTGTAAACAAATATTTGTTTTCAACTTCCCATTTCCAATTAATTAATTTGTTTTTTTTTTTTTTTTTTAATTGGATCTTCTTGCGCCAAGCCAATATATAAAAAGATTAATAAGATAGAAAAAATCTTCTTATTGATAGCTACTCATCCGTTGTTAGAATCATAAATGATACATTTTAACAAGTGTATTCATAGTTTTATTCGATTTAGAGCTCCTCGAAAGAATTGAAATGTAGACCAATGTCTTTTTTCATTGTCAACTCATTTAACAATTCAGTTTACAATGAAAAATTAATATCTTTTTAAATAATGGCTTGGTGCATGACAGCTGTTCAAGGGAAAAAATGAGATTAAAATGTGCAAAATGTATTCATAGATTAAGATATTCATAACTAATCATATTTTTTAATTATGTAACATGAAAACTGTCTAAAAATTGTCTACAAACGAAAATAAAACGTTATTAAACTTACTGTAGTATTTATGAAAAATTTATCAAACAATTTGTTTAAAAGCATAACCTAACCGTCATCTGTCTATTTGAATAAAACTAATAATGGTTAAATACTAATTTGGAACTCTCGGTTTCATTAAACTGAAATATTATTATTATTTATACGGATCTATATGAACTTGAATTGTTTAGTTTCTGTAGTTTATTGAAGTCGATAATTTGCTTACATTGCATTTCACCAGTATAAACATTGGCGAAAACAAAATAAAATCGTGGCTGTAAAAACAACCGATTCTTTCTGTCTCCAGAAAATTTAAAAATTACCATACGATTTGGCTCGGATGATGTCATATTCCCGTGAGTCGTTTTTTTATTTTGTCATTCTGAAATTCAAATATTATTTGACACGGTTAAAATTTGATAGCCATCATATTTACTTGATTCTTTATGCTTCTTGTACACCATTATGAAAAAATGTGTTTATTTGATCGAGTATAATAAAATTATATTATTGCCGCCCGGCTATACTGGTTCATATATACAGTGATGCGGAAGTCCTAAAATTGTAGTCTGGTGAAATACATTTCAAGAGGCCAATAACTAAACACAACCCATTTTATGTCCAAAATTATGGTTAGTGTAGGTTTTTAATTCTATAATGAAGTATTCATTCGGTTTAGCAACCAAACTTTGACCAAAAATAAAACGGCTCTATGCTTAATTTTTAAAAGAAGTCAGGCCAAGGCCCGATTTTAACATAGGATTCAGCACCACTGCAAATACATAAAAAAAAAAAACCAAATAAAGTTATGTTACATATTATTCTTTTCCTACAAGCAAACTTTTATAATATTGACCGATTTCCGGTTTTTTTTAGCCTCTCTAACAACCGAAAAATCATTCTAAAAGTGACCCATGAAAACTTCTTTCCATACTATGTACTTCTAAGTTCTTTTTAAAATTTTTTACTTATTTCAATGTGTTCAACCTGATCTACTGAATAAATAGTTTAGCATTATGAACATACATCTGTAATAGTTTATTCAAAAATGTTAATTTGTATGTTTTTGTTCCTTAACATTTTGCAAGTTGTTGTTCTAAACATTTTGAAACATTAAATATTTATTTATTACAATTTATATTTATATATATTTTAATAATTTGTACTTCGACTTTACAAAACTGTAATTAATTGTATTATATGCTATTACGTACGTTTAGTGTTTAAGATTATATTAATAAATTAAAACATTATTATTCTATACTAATTCAACTCTACAAAACTGTGTACGTGTTTGTCTGTATATACCTATATAATATAGCGTACCTATTTGCTATTTGGTATATTGTACTACGACTTGTCAGTTATGTTTTTGGAACTCATAATAATAATTCATTATAACAGATCAAACAAAAGGCCAAACTGGCAGTGTAAAAAAAAACTTATTTTTTTAATTTTACTCACGCATAAACACATAATGTAATTTCGTTAATAATAATTATCATTGACTCTCTATATACTGTATACTGTATAGGTACGTTCGACTCGATGACACACGGTTGTCGAAATTCGACACGTTGTTATTATTTTCAACACAATGAATAAACCAAAAATTATAATAAAGAAAATAACCTACGTAAAACGTGAACATAATTACAAACTTTATACAATATAATTTTGAGTAGGTAGATTGTAGGTAAATTTAATATTAGTGAAAATATAATAAATTACACTCGAATTAATAATTATAATAATTTATTGAAATGCTAGTATACTAGCTGTTTTAAATTTTATACAGTCAACAATTAAGTGCTAATATTGTTTCGGTTACATTATTGAGTATTTATTATCATATGTTCAGGATTCAGGGGCCTTATTTGTAGGGTAAAATAACGAAGGTATTTTTATAAATAATGTTTATATAATTGAATTGTTTACAAAAAAAAAGCCGGACGAGACATACTTTGCATCGTGGGTAGGCCACTGTTGTAGCTGGGGAATTGGGAACCTATACATATCATAAATATTGTTGCAAACAAAAAGAAAATTTAGTGAAGCTCATTTAACTGGTTAAACTTATTAAATTAAGTTTTCTTTTGTTACCAAGGGAACATAGAATTCAAGAAAAAAAAAATACAAAATACAAATATTAGCCCTACATACCTAGCCATTTAAGTTTAAAAATTCGGCTTTTAGATATATTGCGAATTCCCATATACACCTGTTTTTTTTATTTTCAGGTAAATTAACCAATTAATGCTGTCCGTTGACATATGAAAACGTAAATACAACTTTTTTCGGACACTCTATATTAAGAGGAAATTGCCTGTATTGCGATTATAATATCATGTCACCAAAAAAACTTCGGCATTAATGGGTTAATAATTTTCTTTGGAACGATTTTTAAATATATACATATACCATATAAATTATTAAATATTATCTTCAGGGAAATTTTATATGTACGCTATGACTATTACGTATATTTAAATTTATTTTAGGTATCATTCAAAATAAATTGTGAATATATATATATAAGATACATATATTATTATTGTTATTTTAAGAAGCGAAAACTGTTCACAACGTTATTTACCTGGATGTTTGTTGACTTGTCGTTGGTGGGCTCATTGCACTATCAGAATCCGTTACATCCCTATGGTCATCCGTCTTTTTAAACTCCTAAGTCATCATTAAAATAATAGCCAGGAAAGTCATTGCCAAAATTAAACAAACAAAAAAATCGTTTAAAAAATAATAATATTTAAAACAATTGTTATTAAATTTACCGTCTCCTGGTCTCTCGATTTAATCGATGTCGTCGATTGCTTTCTTATTGATTTTGGGATGGATTTGAGTGGTATATGTATAAGCGATCGGCTGTTATTTCGATGAACTGTGAACAATAAATGGTGACGATTTGTATAAAAATAACTTATTAAATTGGTTTAAAATTTACGAGGTTAAGTTCTAATTACAACTGCTAAACCGTTATGATCCTTGTAAATGTATACTCAAGATCAATAAACCAGGACGGTCGTCATATTATTATTATTATTTTATTGCAAATTCATAGTGTTCTTCATTGAGTTTGACCGAATTCGGAAAGTATTAGACCTTGTAATTTTTTTTTTTCATTTTTAATAACGATACCATCAATATATCAAAAAGTTTTTTCCTTTAATTTTATACTGAACACATTGTGTAAGATCTTCTATCTGCATCAATTGACGATAGGTATCATAGGCTGCGATTGTTCATAATACGAATAATTATCATTGTTGAACGGTTAAGGCAACTAATAAGTACAATAAGACATTTTCTTGTACCCTTAAACGATAATAAGCGATACTACAAACTTTAAAAACTTTTTTTGGTTACAAATTTAATGATCGATGAGAACCAAATATAGACACCCAATAGAACAGTTAAAAAATTGACCCAGATAAATACAAAAAACAACAGATTTCCCAAAGCCAGACAAGTGGCATAACAGCCAGTAGACAAATGCAGTCACCTTAATAAGTATGTAAAACTTATGGCATTATACGAAAATTCTCGTACATTTCGATTTCGATTAAAGCTCGGTTCGATCTTACACGTTGTTCTAATATTGCAGTATTTTATTTTTACCGAATATGTTTAACGCTTAAGTATATTCTGACTTAAGTCCCGATTTAATATGAAGATACTTGTGATGTAGACTTACCGGTGTAATCGTCTTCGCTGAATCGCCTATCACCCGGTCTGGGTGATCGGTCGCCAGCTAACCTGGATAAATTGAATCGATTCGGATCGGCTCCGCTCGAAACTCCTGCGAACACACGATCCATTTCTTCGTCCAGATCGTCAGTGTCTCGGAGTGGTACGTCATTGGTGGGATTAATGTTTTCAGCCTACAACAAGAAACGTAAGTACACCATAAATATATACTGAAAACACGCATAATATGTATAGTATAATATTGTAAAATTGTAGCAAATCAAAAATTATTGATTTCAATAAAAGTGTTGTATGCCGTTGATATACTTATAATATATAGCAAAGAATAATATGATATACTAAGAGTATGTATTATCGTGACCATAACATTATGTGGTTACAGATGTAATTAATGTGATCCGAAAGTTAATGATTAGGTAGTAGGTACTTCAGTTACCGACATGTTTTTCTTCTATACAATGACTAGCAAAACCAAAATGCAATAAAAAGAAAATATTATATTTAGGTGAGGCAATGTCGGTCACATTATGCGGTCACCTGCGAATATATGCAGCCAACACAATATAATATTATGTTGACTCCGTGTCCGACATTTCCGGATTCTCTCCTCTCGCCTCTCGATTGTTCGATTCAACAATTATTATTATTTTTATATTCCGAGCGGAGCGACATAATTATTATAGTTTTACGCATACAATTTCATATCCAGCAACATAAATTAATTTTACGACTTTTATTTTACCAACTACGGCACTTAAAAGAAAACCTACCCGATATAGTTTTTCTTTTCATTCTAAAAATTGTGAAAAACATCGAGAGCATAAATGTTTAGGCAAGTTTATATAAAAATTTGAATTCTAAATAAGGTATAATTTTCTGTAAACTATATAATCTAAATTTACTTTTTTCATGTCTGCTACAATCTTAAACTAGGTATATTATTTCATTAATCATTTTCGCTTTTACCATACGATTTATATGAACTGATTATATAGGTACGTCTTCATTATAGGTATAATAAGTTAAAAATAGCTGATGAAATATTGGGCTTTATAATTATCAATTATAATGGCAATTGATTTAAATGAGAATGTAGTATTATGAAAATTATAAATTCAAAAATTTAAGAATAATTACGCTTACATAATATTGTTTTAACCACAAGAATAATAAATTATCCTTAAAAAAAAGTGATGGTCAAACAAGGACCAAGCATCCATCATAACATTTTGTAATTTATGACTGAAGTAATCTGGAAATGTCGGAATATATTTAAGATTACATACGCTATTATATTTCGCTAACAAATTTTGTATAGAATTATTTATTTAATAATGCGTTTCCCATTGAATACTCGAGAATGAGAATACATTATTTTTAAACCTAATCACACTATATTATTTTCTTTGTTAGTACGTTACATGGTTTTACTTTATTTGATGTTAGTTTTTATATAATAATGCTAATTTATACAGTAAATAAGGTTAAAGAGGGTTGTGACATAAACAGCGAAACGAACTCCATAGTTTTTGTGAACTCTCTGCTTTTCCCGATTTTGATAAAACGCTTTTATTTTCATGATATAATATTATGGCCGTCAAATAATTATTATCTTAATGCTGATTCGTTTATTCGGGACAAACGATAAAACAAAACCATTTACCGCATTCAAAATGGCTACAAATTTACCCGAGGGACAGTGTAGGTAGCTCATAAAAAACTACTATTTCCGCTTAATTTATTTTGCCAATAAACACAATGTTTAATGAACTTTGTACCATACTTCTAATCATTTTTGAAAAGCCAAATAAAAACGAACAACTCAACAATTTCAATTGTTATTATTATTTTTTTTTTTTTTTGCTTTAATCGCCGTTACGACTTCTCGTATCTTTCATCAAAATTTTCCCGGATTACATTCTTGAATTTTGCTCTTCTGTCAACCATTCATATGTCCTCATTCTCTCTATCCTATCAACGTTGCATAAATCTTTTTTTGGGGCGTTTGTCTGTTGGTTTATTAACCAGAAAATTCCGAAGTATGTTTCCCTCAGCACACCACACATGACCCGTCCATTCAAGGCGTTTAACCTCCGCAACGCATTTAATATTTGGTTTATTACATTTCAATTATGTATAATTAATTCAAAACACCAAAGTGTTTCAAAAATTGTACCACGTCTAGTTTGAGATACTATAAGTATTTCAGGTCTTTAAGATTATTTTTAACCAAATAACAACAAAAAACAAAATGAAAACTATAAAACCGCATTGCTCCTAATATCCCTTTTTCCTACGTTTTTTTTTTAGTTTTTTCTGACTATTATGAAAAATACAAGGAAAATAAAAAAAAATACCTCCTCCTTAATGCACAAGCTAGACAAATTTCGCTATCAGAAATCACTTGTGATTTTGATGATCGGATCTTCGGTATAAAAGTTGGATACAGATAGAAAAAAAGACCATCGTAATCAAACCAGTACATTTTTCACTTCGCTAATAGTATAAAAACCAAATAATACAAAACAAATTATGTGAATCGACGATTTGAAGAAATGTCACCATAATAATAGTCTACTATACTATAGCCACATGATTGCCACGTCCGAGTAAAATAAACTACACGAATGTTAAATCGACAGGGAGCGCACTCCAGGGTGTGTGCTCCCTACCGCAGGCGATTGATTGTTTATCTGCAGCACTGTTGTCATAAAACTATTCAAAACACCGACTACCGTACACGTAGTTAGAGAATAGCTACATTGTAAATATGACACGTCGTCATATTCGACTGATGCAGTGACAACGGTTTTTTTAATAATTGACATTTTGGTAAACAAATGCAGAGTAGCTGGGAATACGATTTAACTAAGCGGTCGAAAAATAAGATTACAATAAGAAAATGGCGTAGAATAATATTATAGCGATAACAGTGATAAAATTACACAATCAAGGAAAAAAATCATTATAAATATTTTTCAGTTGTTTTTAATTTTAAATGAAAAAAAAAACCAATTTTTTTTAATGAACCACAACAATATAGGTAATAGTATACCTATTATATTTCTGTTTCACTGTAAAAACAATTACTTAATAATTTTAATGGTTTAAGGTTTTAACATCTATAATTTGCTTAAAACCACATTTTTTTTTTCATCATAATAAAATGTGGTAAAATCAAGTTTTAACAAAATTAAAACAATATTTTATAATATAATAACGTCATAAAATAACCTGTAATAACATTTTCTTATTAAAAAAAGAATTCATGTTTTGTCAGTATTATAATAAACATATATAAATGAAAATAGATTTGATACTTCTGGTAAGTGTCATTGTGTCATTGAAAAACAATTCTGAGCGAAATGCGGTGATTTTTATGATGAACGTCAAAATTTAAACTTGAGCTTATACAAAAATATTATTACATTACGCTCCACTTTTTTACCATAAAAACATCTTATGATGAACCTCAAATAAGATTTTTAAACGTTTTTGCACGGCCAAAATAATTTTATCAACATAAAACTAGATAAAAACTAAAAACTCGAAAATTTCAAACAGTTATAAAACACAAATAACTATAAAGTTTTTAAAATCGTACCATGTCTAGAGAAGATTAATATTAATATAAATATTCTATGAAAATGTCAATTAAATCATAATTAAAATTAAATCAAATTATTTTAAACCTAATAATAACAAAAAACAAAATTGAAAGTAACAAAACCATTAATATCATAAACTTTCCCTTTTTTCCTACATTTTCTCTAATTATTAAGAAAACTACACGAAAATCACGTTATCGAAATTATTATAAAACCAACAACAGCATTTTCTTTCAGAAAATATGCTACTTTTGAAAACTGGACTTAGATTTATGACAAAACATAAAATCATACAAATTTAAAATAATGAAATCGTTAGGTACGTCATAAATTTGTCCATTTATTCTGTATATTTTTTTTGACATTTCCAAATTATAATGAAATTTCTTAATTATTTAATAACTACTTCATTAGTTATGACATTATATTACTACTTGAAATATCAAAAAATGACGTCCTCAATTAACCAATGAAAACTTAATCTAAAGTTTTATAAAAAACTTTACTATCTTTTTTGACTAGATTTGTGGAAATTCGGTAACAGACACGAACAAAATTCAAATAAGCACACAAATAGTAAAATCAATATATTTTTAATTAAACTAACAATATTAAGAAATAATACTCCTAAAATAAACACTATAGTAATAATAAAGTCACAAGATAAAATTATTATTATTGTTATTGTTAATCAATAATAATACTTTTATCATAAAATTATAAAAGATAAACAAAAATGAGAATTACTTTAGTACGAAAGTAATAAAATATAATTAATTAATACATAATAAAATATAATATCAGATTACTACGAAATAATCTGACATCCAACATAATCTGATAATCCGTAGATTCAAAAACTAATATAACCCTCCCCTTACTTATCATCAGTGGTATATTAACAATGGGGCCCTCCAGAAACTTCACAAAAAATTACAAAATATATTCTGTGGAATAACCGTGTGTGGACTCTCAATTTAAGTATTTCTTTTAGAGAGCTAAACATACATTCACAATACCATTCCAAAACCACATACAAAACTACTATAATATTATGGACTTGGCATTATTGAAGTGGAATTAGTAGTCTAAATTGAGTAGATGCATTCACTCCCTTCCTTATTCATTCCAAAAGAAAAATAATTTTTTTATACTCCACTGAAAATCATCATAAAAAAAGACGGACATCCTTCGCACGATGAGTAGGCCACTGTTGTAGGTGTAAAGTTGGCAAGGTAGAATAATTTAATTTATATCTGTATGCAATGATAAAACATTGCTAACGAAAAACGATTCAGAGTGAAGTTTCTTTTATACATGTACGTAAACCATCTCATTTTTCCTACGTTTTTCTCGGTTTTCCTCAATTGTTATGAAAATCACTTGTAAAATCAAAAAATGGCCACCTAGATAAAATTTCCTATCAGAAAAGGTAAGAACTATACTTGAAAATCAGAGCAAGATTTATCGTATAAAAGTTGATCACGGATAAGAAAAATAAAATATCATTGTAAAACTAATACATTTCTCGCTACGTTCTGAATCTAAAAAAAATTTACGATTTATTTAATTTTCTAAACTCTAGACAAATGTATAAATCGTTTTCCGAAAATCCTTCAGTTACAATATTGGTATTTTAAAAATATATACACTTTGTATACGTATATAATGTACCTTTATATACTATATATTTATAAGATACATATTCAACAAAATACTCGTTTACTAAAAAAATATATGTATTCATAATTTTAAATTGTATATTATACATTTTAATAACAATTTTTAGTACTTGGCTTAACTATCATAGTTCATTATAAACGTAATAGGATAGATCATGGTTCTAGGACAAAATCTCAATATGGTTGAAATCCCGACAGTCATGATCAAAACCCAATAGGAACGTGCATTCTAACGCACGACATTAATTCAGTGATATTTATTGGGATTTTGATATTTTAGGAATTTTAAAATATTCAGGATTTTGACACGAATATTTTATTTTCTAAAAATATATAATTAATACACGTATACAAAATTAAACTATTCATTCTAGTTGGTAATCGTGTATTCAATAAATGTTCCGAAATTGGTGTATAATAATAAAATAACAGACCAAAGCCCGTAAATTTTATGTAGGTAGTTTATTGATCAAACACTCTACTAGGTTCAGTATTACAATCCTGCGCTACTAAGTTTACAAATCAATAACGTGCCATTAAATAAGCTGGATAATGGGTTTACTTTAGTTACACGATATTTTAGTTGAACTTGTAAACAGTAAATATTATACTCGTAAAAAATAATTAAAATAAGTACTAAGTAGCCAATGAAAGCTTAAAATAAAAAAATAAAAGTGTTTTATTGTGACCAAACTATGATTTTTTCGTAAAAAGCGTCTTTTTAAAGAAAAAAATTGCACAAAATATTGTAAAATTATACCAAATTACTCAAGTTTTTATCATTTGCTCAGTTGAAAAAAAAAATCATTGCCTACTATACGGTATAAATGAAAATTTCAAAGCTATTTCTTCATATAATATACATATCAATTTAAATGACAATTATTCGATGATTTTTATTTTGATACACCTATTTTAACTTTTATAAGAAACTCTAATTTACGAAACTATATTTTCACTATTTTTAAATACTGAACTTCAAACCATACAAATGCAATTTATGGGTAACATCGATAATTATGGACAAAATATATGATTAATACTATTAAAATACGCACTGCGGTTACTAAATGTAAATCGGTAACTATATATATAGAAGTATAATACATTAAATATAACCTTAAAAATATAATTTTAAATCCCAAAAATTTCAATAGCTTCAAAGGACTTAAAATCCTAAAATTAAATATACAATCCAATAAAATACTCTAAATAAAAGTGTTAAACAAAAAAAACTAATGTACCTAGTAAAATGCAATATATAATTATTTATTTGTTGACAATGCATCATTATTAACTGAACTCTCAAAATTGTTTTATGGTGTATCGTTGTTTAAATTTTCTTCTGTATCCTACCTTCCCAACTTCCCACCTTCAACCAGTTCTTCTTATCCTAGGACAGCTTCTTTTTAATAATATTTATTTAATATTGTTCTTATTTTCCGGCTATATAGTTATTTATTTTACTTTTTGTTTCTTAAGCTAAACACTCGAATGTTGGACCAATTTTATTTCATCAGATTTTTCTTAAAAAAAAAAAATTTAATTTCATTGAACTTTTATTGAAATTCAATTTCTTTTTATACCTTTTTTTTAAAAAAAAAAAAACCTAAACGATTCATAAAAACTTTCCTTAAAGTTAAGCTATTAAAAATAATCTAACTAAATCTGAAATACTCAAACCTAACCTGAAAAATTATGCTTTTGACAAAACATTTTTTTTTTTTTCAATAACAAGAAACAGTTTTGTTTCCGTGGTTTCTTGTTTACAATCTATGCTTAAAAAAAAGTAAAAATAATTTTTTTTTTAATTTCCTGAGCTATTATTCATCTAATTTTTCTTTTCATAAAAACTTTTCTTAGGGTTAAAAGAATATATATATATAAAAAAACAGCTAAATCGGTTCAGCCATTCTCAAGTTTTGAACATACCAACGTTTTGAGCGATTCATTTATATTTATATAGATAGGTATACCTAATACCTACATGGTTTTTTTTTAAGACTATCTGTGTACCATGTACGCAAAATAAATTATAATAGTTATCTGAACCTATAAGCTATACTAAAGTCATGTATAATGATCAATTACTGCATCGTCTGTATCCGTTTATTGTTATTATTAGGGTTTTGAATAGCCTCCAACAAAACATTTTCCTTTCGGCGGTTAAAAAAATTACGATATTATAAGAACTGCAGCAGCAATGCGTTATTTTAATCATGCGTTTTTTTTTTTTTTGTACTAGTGTTAATGTAGCAGCTGCCAAACTGCAACTTGATTGACAAATTTATAAATATACTAACACGTAAGTATTACACGCTTACCTTTTTTTTAATGTATAAAAATAAAAAAAATAAAGGTAATTTTTGTATATATTAGAAATAATAACAATAATAATATACAAAGTTAAATTTTAATTTAATGCGAACCATATGTATAGTAACGTCTGCATAAAAAATATAATACCATTGAAAATCTATACTCATATCGATTGACACTCCTCTACGCCAAAGCGTAAAAAAATGTATTATTTATACTTCTATAAACAATATCACAATATTATTAAAAAAATAGAAATGATGACTTAGAATTTTTCCTTTATCCTGCGGTATATTAAAAAAGTCGGCGGACCTTGACTCAATAAATATGTATATATATATGAAAAAAGGGTATGTTTTCTATCGTGCATATACCTAGCTAATTACAGTGGCGTATATAGGAGGGGGAAAGATACGGGATACTCCTGACATGATATTTTATTTTTTGTCATTATTATTTAATACAACTTCTTATTTTTAAATATTCGAATTTCTTTTCTTTTAGTCAAAAAAACTCAACAGTTAATTGTTACTCAATCAATATTATACTATATTAAGAATAAATCTGAAAGTACTATTACATTTTCGTATTTAAAAATGAATCAAGACCCTCGTCGGAACCCTCAACCACTATAATGGAGGAATTTAACTTGATCCTTAAATAAACTAATAATATTGATATTAATATGGTTACCAAATTGATTTCAATTTTAATTTAAAAAAAAAAAATAATAATAAATCAATTAAAATAAATTAATATTGTCTATAGTCTTTAGATATTACACAACATGACACAATTTTCTAATTTAATACCTCTCTCCTTGACCAAATCCTAAACACTACCTAATAATAATAATAATATAATGCATTGTCTTTAAAATTAGTACATTGCAGTATGCATTTATCGTACAAATATAAATAGAACAAAACGAAAATATACGTATTATATTATTATTATTATATGTATATAAACATTTTAATTTGTTTCCAGTTATAGTTTTAGCGTTTCTTGTGAAATATCTAAACGATTAACTACTTGGCGAATTTATCACTTGAAACTTTTAAATGCATTTTTTTTTAATTGCATTTTCACAGTAAATTATTTGGCATTCAATTTTTCGGTTAAACGGTTATAATTTATAGGTTTACGTTCAATAATTCTTCATAATATGATCCTATAATATTCCTATTGGCTATAATATTATAATAATTATTTTATTTTATACCACTATAAATATCCTACATTTTTATCACAAAGGTCGATCACCTTACGAAATAAAAACGTACTGTTGTAAATTCATCAACGAATCGAGCAATTTATAATAAATAATACTCTTCTTTTTCTTCTTATAAATGGGTTTTTTAAATTGTTAGAAAATTATATACAGATTTATCAATATCAACGAAAACAACATAAATATGTAAATATATAAATATTCTTCAATGTCAAATGGGATGGAATAAAATGTCCACCAAACTAAATGAAATAAAGAACTCTGTTCAGTCGCTTCTATTCCCCGTCAACACTTCAAGAAAATACAAGACTTTCATCAACCGTCTCAGAATAGGCCACATTCAACTCACCCACTCTCATTTAATTAAAAATGAAAACCCCCCTTATTTGTACATGTTGTGGGGTCTACCCCACAGTTAAACATGTTTTAACTGAATGCAGAATCTACGACAGGGAAAGAGGACTCCAGATCTCCAATCATCTTGCCGAAGCACTCAACCCCGAATCCATCAACGTCTTCAAACTAATACACTTCCTTTCAGAAACCAACCTATTAAATAAATTAAAAATTGTATATTATATTTCATAACACCTATATTTAAACCTTTTGTCTAGCACCTTTAAATGTCTATCTATTTAGTACTTCTTAATATCTCTGTCATTTAATTATACTTATATGTTATAATGTCACATCCAATGGTTATAGATGCCGCTGACAGTTATGTTTAATAAAAGAAAGAAAAAACATAAATATGATGTACAACAAAGTATTTTGAATAGTCCGTTATTTGTATTTATTAAATAGGTAAGGTAAATGAAATTTTTCATAATAAAATAAAATAGTTTATTTTTTTTAATTTGTTCACTACTTGGAATCATTAGTTGATTTTAGGACCGTCACAGTAAATTGACGCCCATGGACGAAATATTGCATGCATAAAACGAAAAGTCAATAAAATATTATTAATTTTATCGTAAAACAAATAAATTAAATTAGTACAATAAAATTTAGATTTTTTTATTCGATATACTAATTTAGTTTGAAGTGTTTTATCTAATTATATTTTATAAATAGTAGATACACGATAAAATCGCCATATTATTGAATTTCAATATTAATGAATAGGTAATGGTAAAATTTTAGTTTGAAACGTTTTTAAAATACATACCTACTATTAGAAGAAGAATAGTTTTGTACAATTGTATAATGAAACCTATTATAAATAAAAGACGAAATTTGTAAAATATCGTAATATTAATGTCTGGCAGTTATTTAAATAAAACGTATTTTAAATCGCATAAATTAAGTGGGTATTCAAGAACCAAACACTTATACGGCCGAATAACTTTAATAAAATTGTTGGTAAATATTTGAACGGTTGAAGTATAAAATACTTTAAAAAGATTATAAATAAAAAGTACTTACCTATACGGTTTTAAAAGATGAAACGTAATGCACTCAGAATAAACATAAATACGATCAGTATATTATACATATTTTAATATTTTATAGGAAATCCTTCTTAACTGCAAAATGTCCATTTCCTACGGTAATCTTCGAAAAACAGATAAAGTAACGGCATAACGAATTATTTAGTTTATTTTTACCCACACACGTGTATATATATATAATAATGCGTAATATTCCGTAGAAAAATGAACGAAAACAATAAATATTATTGAATAATTGATAAATCAATGCAATACATCGAATTTTCCCCAAAAATCAAACAACGAATATAGATATATAATATTACAATGAGTGTAGGGAAACGAAACTCAACAAACCCAATGAAATTTTTTTTTCACTAATGTATTAATACATAATATGGCCTTTTAAAGTACACAAAGAGATTGAAGTAAATTGTTTTTCATTATTCAATTTTTATTTAAAAAAAAAAACATTGCGAGTCATTTCATACATTTTTTTTCTCTAAAAAAAACTTGCTAATAACCTGAATCATATCACCAGAATGACCGTGAATATTCTCATGAAGATTTGTTTTCAAACCGTTAATTTCTCGTTAAATAGCGATAGTACCTTATCATTAACTTGTGATTTTTTCGTATGTAACGTTTAGATAGTGTGTAACAAAGGACACCAAAGACACTACAGGGGTGGGCTTCAACAAAAAAAATCTTAAAAAAGGGGCACACATTTTTTAGTAAATTTTACGAGAAATACATATTCGCTTTTCAGATACATATCGACGTATGGCGCTTTGACTGAAATGGGCATTATATTTTGTAAATATTATTTATGAAAATTACATCATGAAAAACCCTTTTCATTAACTTTTTTTATAATGTATACTTTAAGGTTGTAAGGTATAAATAAAATGTGTAAACAAATTACTCGTCGTTTTTTTATATAATTATTATAAAATTGACCAATTCACTGCTTCATCCTGTTTAATGATAATAATATAATTATAAGTACGTAGATCATACAATTATAAGACCGAAACATTCCTGTACATCGACACAGAATCATGTGCATAAAGACTAGGACCTAGGTCAAGGGCACAAGCTGAATTCACAGACTTAATGTACCCATTATACTGGGTTCGCGACGTCGAGTTCAAGGGAAATGAGTTGAAAATCGTTCAAGTCCAAGGTTACCTGACCGGTATAAGATTATAAACATACAGGCAAACCGCACGGTAAACGTTTAATTTCCGAGGACCAGTTTTCCATCTGATTCATATATTCTTATCGTAGATATATATAATATATATATATATATATATATATATATATATATATATATCTAAAAACATATAATTTATGATCTACTGACAAGGTTTATTGCATAAACGACGCCCACTTCTTTGGTGTCTTCCGTTTACGAATCGAATACAAATCAGACAATAAAACTTAATGTATTATTGAGTAGAGACGAAAGCCGACTATAGCTCCCACTACCCCCAACAACATGCGCAAATCGTATAATCGACGATACGCCCTGCGGTCTACAGGTGCAGTCCAATTAAAACATTCCATAGCATTTGTAGAAGTAAAATATTTATGCTTCTATATGTTTATACATAATATAATATGCTGCATAGGTACTAGTTATGCCCCACGGAAAAAATTCCTTTCAAATTGTAACCAGGATCTTTTACAGATATCTTTGTCCGAATCGAGTTCTAACCACCTAACCATCAGCCAATCTTCTACTTCTCCTTCGTCTCATTTACTAATTATTTAGGACCAGTCAAAATAAAAACAAAATAGTTTTTAGTACTTTTCAAACATTTGAAATTTCATACATAAAATAACATTTTTAACATCCGAATAGCTTACGACCCATACACAAATTAAATGTGTAACCCTGGCCCTCCCTATATGCACGAACATAGTTCGAGACACGCACCGAGTAAGACATAGAACAAAACTCGGAATTTGTCATATTCAACACAATATGCACGATTGAAATACGGTAAAAAAAGACCTCAATCCTCCAACTGGATCGAAAATGCTACAAAAAAATCTCTCGTCATATTTTTTTTTTATTAGAGCAAGATTTCTGGTAGAAAAATTGTTCAGACAGACAAAATTATACTAATAATAATAAACAATAAATAGGCACAGATTGTAAAATATAAAATCAATACATTCCTCGTTCCGCCACTGGAAATCTAAAAACAATCCGCAGATTCATAGAATTACATGGCATAATGATATAATATTATATGTAGAAATATAAAATATTTGGCAATGATAAACACAGCAAAAGAAAACCTGATAAATATTAAATAACCAGTATAAGTACCTACCTACCTATATTGTAGATACCTACGTCCGCCAACCGAGAAATGGTGACACATTATTTGTTATTACAGTAGGTAAGTTTATCCGACCACACACAAAATACATTCTACGCCATATGCGGCATTATAATACGGTATATAGTAGATACCTTTTATGGAAGCGTTTGATTATTTATTATTTATGTCAAATGTCACGTTGAGTTTTCGATCTAATATGTTTCGCATCATCATTCACACACTGTTAAACACGATATATTTCAATATACATTTTTGGCGAATCTATCAAATTTAGTACATATTAATAAGCACTACATAACATTCATAGACGTCACACAATACAGTCTAATAAACACATAATTGCAATGGTTAGGCTATACTCTCAGACATATAATACAATCTTAAAGAGATGATACTTAAAAAAAAAAAGTGACAAAACGGAGAAATAAATAACAGAATATAATAATCAGGAAGAGTAACAGAAGGCAGTACCAATAGAGACAGAAACACCTATAACTATATAAGAAAAAAAAATCCATAATTTATACGAATATAATAACTAAATAATGTTCGCTATAATATTATAATAATTATTTTTAATTGAACATACAATATTCTATTCAGTTTTATTATTATTGAACATAATTCAATGTTTTACTATTTTTTCATTCCTTTTTTTTTTTTTTTAATAAAAATAAGTTAATTTTAAACAATTTATTGAAACATTCTACTAACACTCGAAGCAAGTGTATTATTATAAAAAAATTATTCGCTATTTATATCACACGACAATGACGGTAGGATGCCATTTCATGATTACCTATCGCAAATATCCATTTCATTTTAATAATCATACGTCTATAAGACGATAGTATTTTATTTGATTGAAGGATAATTATAATGATTTAAATTTTACATAAATAAAAAAAAAATTTTGAATCATTAATCGTCTGTAGTTCAGTCAATGCCCTCGGCGCATGAACATGCAGGAAAACGATAAATTATTATTTTTAATACGACCGCATATGCATGTACGTATGAATTATCATATTTATCATAGAGAGGCGTTCTCAGTATTTTTTATTGGTGGGGGGGATATGAAAATATATTAAAAAGTGAGCCATGAGGCCCACAAACCCTCCTTTCTTATACAAAAACAACATTTATTAAATTACAAGATTATTATATTTTTGATTAAAATATTGAATTTACAAAATTATATCAATATTTCTTGATTTTTAGGTACATCGAGAATTTCATCGGGATCAATTGGGACTTCTCTATCTGCCACTTCAGTGTTTTTCATCAGGCGGCTCAGGCAATTTACTTTTGTCTATTTCACCTACGCCATCAACTTTTATACTATTATATGGAGATCTCCCCTTGAGAACGCCCATGTTATCGTATTATAAACATAATATGTTTGAATAGTAATAAACATAAATTTAAGTGCTAATTTAATATATATAGGCAAAATAAAAATGTTTCTTCCAGATATTTTTTAATCAATCTCAAAGTAAAACTGGGAACTTTCAAAAACGACTTCTCTATAGAGTACAATTTGTTATAAATTACATTTTAAAAAATATATATATATATATTATATACAATAAATAAATTACCGTAAATCGTTTAATTATTTTCCTCATACCGCTGCTAAAGTTTTTAACAAAATAATTGGATAATACAAAATTTTAGTACTACATACATAGCTATAGTTGTAAAAAAAAATGCCCTTCTGGGCCTTTAATTATTCAAATAAAATAATACATTTAATATGAATGGCAAATAAAAGTCTGAGATGAAGGCGAAGAAGGATAAGAAAAATATGAGTGGCATAAATCAATATCTTATGAAATGTGTCAAGTTTAGAAATAAATTTAATGGTAATTTTGAGTAAATATATAAAAATATTACGACAAATAAATTGCATTAAATACCTAACGCTAATAGACGTAATTTGTTTTATTATATTTTCGATTCTGAATGTAGCAAGGAATGTATATTTATTGGTTTTATCATAATATGTAGTTTTTTAGTATTTCTTAAAAACTTTTCTACCAAAAATAATCTTGGTCAGACTATCAAATTTAAGTGTGGTTTCTGGTCACAAATTTTGTCTAGTAAATACATTAAAGAAGTAATTTTTTTATTTTCCTTATAGTTTAATAATTTGAAAAACGGGCAAATTTACATAATAACAATAATGACCTGTTTAAATTACTATTATTCAGGCTTCTCAAAAATACTCCAAAATTTGATACAAGGTCCATAATTAATTATTTTTAACGCAGTAATAAAACATCAAATTTAATAAAAATCATAAACAACACATTTTACATACAATTTTCCGAATTAACTTTTTTGACTCTAAAAATACTCAACAATTTGAAACAATTAATCACGTAATTTGTATGTGATTTGTATTTTGTAGTCAATTAGTACTTACAATTTTCAATTTAAGTTTATCAAAACATATATAATCTAATTTCGCTCAGAATCGTTTTTCGTTAGCAATGATAAATCATTGCGTATATATATAAATTAAATTACACTATATATTCTATCTTTTAAACTTTAAATACCTAATGTAAAATTTAATGCAATTTAAACTGTTTTGTAATTTATATTTACATAGGAAAAATTAACTTCCTACTTAATAGTTCCATGCATAATTTAATATTGGTACAAACAAATAATTTATACACAAAATGAAAATATATATTTATACATAAAATGAAAATATAAATTTATACATATTCATTTATTTAACTCGTGACACAATCAAAATATCATAATGCAATACATTTTAGTCATCAAAATAAATTAACATTTAAATAAAAATGATGTACTTAAAATATTTATTAAAACACGTCCATAAACCAGATAAATGTGATATATAAATTAATTTCAGCGAAACCCATATATATTTGAATATTTCCAAGTGAATATTTTAACTCTCTTGGTTTTTTACATGGTGATTCTTTTTTAATATGAACCAAATGAGTGTATTATACGAAGATTTTGCGTGAATTTAATTTATCGAATCATATACGATCATTTTGAAAATATAGTAAATAAGAGGATTCTATGATGTTGGAAAAAATCTTGAATCGTAGATCATCACGATATTCTTTTGTCATAATAATATGACACAATAATAAATGATAACTCGATAAAAAAGGCCTTGACCTGTAAGTATTCATACTGGTAATTCTATAATAATACTACAATAAATTGAATCGATGAAAATTATATTATTTTCATTATTATTATTTGTATTATTGTGATTACACTTTTGATAAGCTTTTTTTTATCAATTTCTCAGTAAACAAAAACCTGTTCATGTGGAGATCGTAGTAATTAATAAATCTACAAAAAAGCGAAAACAAATTATTATATAAATGATCAAAAAAGTTATACATTATAGTTTACAATATTCAGGGTCGGTGTTGGTGATTTATTACGCGTAACAAAGATCATATTCTGCCGCTCCTATACAATCTACTAGAACTTTAGGGAGGGGATCTAATATTACCTAAGAAAAAAGTCATCAAATCTTTTAAGCTTTTACGGGTCTAATGAATTATTTTAAAATTTTAAAATAACTTTTCATTCAAATAAATAGATTATTGGAATACAAACCTATTCACGGAAGTCTTATCGGAATTACATTCAATAATTATATTTTTTCTTATTATTCTTTAATCAACTTCCAATCTGATTAAAATATATTTGTCAATTAACATAATATTTTATAGCCCATTTTATTATGGTTTATAATATTTTGACTAACTCAATGTTCAAAATAAATATTGAATATAAATAATTAATGTTTAAATAGTCGGAAATACTTAGCACAGTTAATTATTAGAATAGATCTATCACAATGGTATTAGAAATAGTTTAATTTAGTTTTAAATAAAAAGTAACGATAAATCATTGCAATCCAAACACAATTCTGAGTAGAGTTCAATAAAGTAGTAAGGTTGTTTCTTCTCTTGTAGGCAAAATAATCCAGAAATAAAAAAAATAATAACTAAAAGGCTGGACCCCAGTACTATTTTAGATTTTACAATTAGATAAAAAAATTTCGGCCTTCTAAAAATAACAGCAATGATCTATGAAGCCTATAAAGCCTACGTTTTAAATCAACCATGATAATATTTTATGAATAATTAGCAATGTTAAAAAACACGGATATCACAAGTGTAAACAAATTAAACTTGAAATTAACTTTTCGCTAAAGCAAATATTTAACAAAACAATTGGAAAATATGTAATCGTATTGAAAATGTCGTTGTATAAAAGGTTAAAAATGTATTAAATCGAAGTGGTGCGAATAACAAAATACACAAACTCTGCCATAAAGTAACCTTGCATTTTAAATATGTATTTCCACACAAGACACAACACTATATGTATTATATAAGTAAGTATGAAATATCAATGGTAGACATTAACTAATTAAAAAGGTTAAGTAACTTTTTAACTGGTTAATTGTTTTTTGTGTCATTAATACGCTCGACTAGTAGTAGGTTTGTTTTAATTATAGAACTTTTAACAATATACAATTTTATATACGTCCAATTAAATGGAGGTCACACCACCTTCAATATTTAAGGGGTAAAGTATAGGCAATTTTAATAAAATAATTTAAAAAAATAATAATTTATTAGGACTCGAAAATATTAAAATTTACTCTCGTATAAATTTAAAAACGATCCCGGGGATCGCGAGTATTTACCCAATCGTAAAATTTGTTCAAAAATATGTTCACGTAAAACAGAAAAACTGTACCCTTTAAAGACATTTTAGAATTTTTGTACTCGTTATGAAAGTTAAAAACAATAATAAAATTATCTAGATTCTAGAGTATGATGAGTCATAGATATTATCACATTATCGATTTTCAATTTATACTCCAATGAAACGTTAAAAACGTTCAAAAGTTAAATTTTCCTTTGAGTACAGTGTAATGTATACAATGTTCTGTCGTTTATACCAGCACGTACACTAAAATTTGGTAAAATTAAACTACTATCAATAATATTAATGAAGAAAATGTTTTGTAGTTTTGTTGGACTCGTATATTTTAACATCACATAAATCAAAACCTTTATAAACATTAAACATAATAACGTATCTCAGTCTATAGCACAAGACAGTATGTAACTAATTAGAATTGTAAATAAGTCAAGATAAAAGCTATTTTCTTAAAGTGTTTTTTAATCATGCTGTAAAACTACAAAAGCTGATAAATGCATTGTTGCAGTACAACGCAGGGTCTGATTAGACGGGCGTGTGATCGTGCATAGCACAAAGGGTTGTTAGCTTAGTTATTAAATTAGGACAAAACTAGCGATAATGATAAAATAATGGGTCATATTTTGCGATACCAAACAGATGTAGAGAAAATAATAGAAAATGTTATATTTTATTGTTTAGCGGCCATCAGACTTCTGTGTTGCAACCAGCAAATCTTTCCAACTCGGATTCCGCGTGATTTTATCATAATACTGTTTGAGTGAGATCGATTGTAAATAAGTCGAATAAATAAAGAGAGTGAGAGGGATTAAAACTCACAAATTAGACAACAGGTTTTCAGGTGGTTATTACCACGTTCCGAACATTTCATATGAGGAATGGTGATACACCGAGTTTACTTATGGTGATAATCTTCTAATTAAGCCATTTAACTGAACCGGTTGGATGTTTAGTACGATTGGCCAAAATCATCCAATCTGAATGTTTAAACTTATATTTAGGCCTATAAACTACTCAATAAAAAATGTATGCAAAACGCTACTTGAAAAATTATTGGTATATACATTTGCAAACTAAAATATTATAGACTAAGAGTCAGTACAACTTGGTTTAGGTGATTCATATTCTGTAGATTATATAATAAATATAATTTTAATTTTTTGAACGAAATATCAAACACTATCAAAAGGTACCAATATATAATTGATATAAATTGATATAAATTATTAAACAGAGAATACAATATGATCATTAGGGCTTGAACTTTATTAAGATTTGGCCACATTTTTTTTAGGAAATGGAATTTATTACTGAATAAGATACCTATAATTTTTTTCGTCGAATTTACATTCTAAATAAAATACAATTTTTGGAAAATCTTACATATATTTTCAATAAGAGCGCTTTCCCAAATATTTTGACCCTAGTGTGACACTTTACCGGAGGAGAGGAGGTAAATGTCACTAAAGATTACTGATCCCAGTGTGATGTTTGACCAGCGAGGAGTTTAAATATCAATTTACCCCCCTTCCCTCCGTCCAATTTCACTTTTGATTATTTGCCCCTAGTCAAATTTATTTATTTTATCTTTTTAATTTGTCTTTTAGGTTTTTTTTATTATTGGGGAAAACAGGAAAATGCACGCAATAATAGCTTCTGTAGTTGTAATCGTGTCTTTCTACTATTAGACAGTCAACTAATGGTGGCGATAATGTCACCCATTAAAATTCCAAATATTTTATGATTTTTTTTTTTTTTATCAGATTTAAAGAATACTTTTGCAATATAAATTTAACAATCAACATTTTAGTAAGTCCATTACCATTTTAAGTAGCACATATAAATAAGCTAGTCGATAGATCATACATTGCACCGATCCCTTAAATTTCATTTGTTTTTTGTAATTCATACAAAAATTATCATAAAGACCTGACATTTTCATCGAATCCTTATAGTAGGTCTTTTTAGACATAAACAAATTTTCAAAACTTTCTTGTAATTTCGGGTTATTTATAGCCATTTTAAGCCATTATAAAGTCGTCTAGTTTGTTTAGTTTTTATTTGGTTTTATGTGGATAAAATTGTTTTAAGCCGGAAAAATTACATAAAAATTTAATACGATGTTCATCATAAATTCCACCTAATGGTTAAAAAAAAATTTGAGCGGCATGTGATAGTTATTTTTTAAGCGTTTTGAGTTAAAATGATAAGGAAAATTATACAAATTACAGCATTCCAAAACATGTTTAACCGAACTTTTCTCAACAACGTTTTACGTTATCAATGATTTATCGTTATAAATAATAATTTAATTTAATATAATATAAATAAAATAAAAACAAATAATGTAAATAAATTAAATTATTATATTACACCCTCCATTTTTAACTAACCAATATTTTTAAATTATTTCTCTTTCTTATTAGTTACGATTTCTATTATTATTTTTAAACGGGTCGTTATTGTTTCTGATTTTTGATGAATTTTTAATTATATTTTTACATTTTTCTAAAGCAATAATGCATAATATTCTTAAATGCAATGTAAAAGCCGAGCCCTATAACTAAATTAACAATATAGTAAATTGCATAACGATGACTAATGGATGTATTATTTTACAACCATAAGGGAGTGCAACATATTTGGTACCTACAAGTTCTAAGTAAAATTTAATTTTTAATTTTTACTATACTTACAAATTGGCGTCGGTGCGATAATAAAAAAATTAAATATTTTTGAAACGACAACGTTAATTATTATCGTATTATTCTTCAACGTCAAAGCAAAACTGTACAAAATATTTCCATGCAAAATAGTATACACACCAACCACACACTGCACACAATGCGTATTTTTATATTAAGATAATAATAATATTTTATCGTCTATTCAAAATTTTCACACACGACACTTACTTTTCGCATGATTGTTTTTACTATTTTATTTTTTATTATTATTATTATTTTTTTTTTATGGGTTTTTTTTTTCTACGACACGATGTGCACAAAACGATCGGTGCGTGTCACAGGTAACGAAGCACAGCGACGACGACGGCGACGGTAGTGGCGGTGTGCGACGGTGGCAAAATTCATGTCGTTATAATATTGCACGAGGGCGCGTCATATTATATAGTTGTATTTTGTACGAGGTAATAATGAAAAAATGAATAATATTAGGGTAGTGTGGAACGCACGTTGTGTTTTCGAACGGAGAAAAATAATAATAACAACAATAATAATACGTTCGGATACGCGGCGCGCAGGTGGCGGCGGATCGGGGTACGCGGACGAAATGTTGAGGTGCGCGTTACGTCGACGGCCGACTCGGTGTCGCGGCGCCACCGGTGCGCGCGGACGACGGAGAACAAGGAGGAACGAGCGCACGGGCGTCACTCCTGCGCCGTTGGCACGCGGCCCTTTAGCGGCCGGTCCCCGGGAAAATTCGCTCAGCTGTGTGCGCGGGCTGGCGGGCGGGAGGGTGCGCCCGCGGCCAGCGTCATGCGTCACGACGGCAGTGGTCGCCGCCGACCATACCCTTTCGCAAAGGCCGCCGCCGCAACCGTCACCGTGGAACACATTGGCCCGATGTACCGGTCTCAAGGTCGAGACGACACACAGCTCGAGGACGCGCGTCGCTCGATACGGACAGTTAATAATATTATTGGTAGACATCACACCTCGTCCGTGTCCCATGCAAAATAAATACTCTCGTCTGATTAGCTGTACCGTCAATATCTACTTGTCGCGGTGTACACGGGACCGTGATAACCACCATTTGACACGCCAATAAAATGTTTGACGTCTCTATACGAATGTATTTTTGAAATTTTTTTTTCTTCGAATTTTCTACATTTTCTATATAACCTATTAAAACGTCGATTTGAAATTTCCAATACGTTTTTTGTGAACAGTATATCTTTTATTCGTTATATTTCCTTCAAGCGTACATGTTTACGTGATATTGTGTAGTATACAACTGTATTCAATTCGATTAAATCATATGCCTTGCATCCAAAAAGATAAGATCGTGTTCAAAACACACGATACGACGAAGTTTAAACCACTTCTTATAATTGACATCAACAACGACGGCTCAGTGTCAATAACGTGACGGTGCAGGCCGGGTGGGGGTGACAAAAGTGTATCGGCGATCTAGGTGAGGTCCACGTCGCCATCATCCTTGATCGGACAATAATTTAATTCCCTGTCCATTAGATTATACTCTTTTGGAAGCCGTACCGTAATAATAATTATATTATTCGCATCGTTAAAAGTCACAGGCCATTTTTTTTTTTTATGAGGTTTTTTGTGTCCAAATGACTAGCTTACAGTTAAGACCAATGAAAAACGATTTTGGATACTGTGCAACTACTTATAATCCTCTTATTCCTTATCGCCTTTATCCCACGCAAGTGGAATCACTATACTCCTATTTTCACACTCAACAGTCTATAGCCTTTATGTATAATACATCACTAATCATTTATACCCAACAAACCCTCATATTATCATCCCCAATAACCTTTAGCTACTTCTTATTTAGCCTAAATCTTCTCCGAGTATGGAAAACTCCATATTTTTTCCGTTCTCTAGTACCACTAAACCTATAAAAGTACAAACAATATAACTTCTCGACTCTATGTAGAATAATTGGTAAACTATACATACTAACCATATTACAATTGGTTCTTCTATATTCTTTTGAGAAAAAGAATAAGGAAGAGGGAAGTGAATATGTAGTTGATGTTTACCGTGAAAATAATGGGCTAGTACGTCGACGAAGCACATCGTATATTGATGTCACTCAGATAAAATGTCTAACTAATTACACAATCGTTTTTTTTTTTTTGTTATTCTATATAATAATACCGTAGTGCAAGTAGAGAAAAACAATTATAATATTATTATCAATTATTATGTCGGTCACGTCATGCTACTATACAAGATACGACATAAAACATGTTATATTGCCGGTTATAACGTCATTTTAAATTTTAGCATCATAGCTTATACAGTATTTTGTAAGCGTTTGTACAACACCGCCTCTTCTGCATATTACATTTAATTAATTGAACATGCGTGTTAAGAATATTTCGTCATTTAAATAAAGGTGCATGATATTTCCATAAAATTACCCGTAATAATAATTAATATTGTACAATGTCTATTAAATAGGTATTATAGGTAGGTACTTTATTGTTATGCACGTTTTAGTAAAACGTTATTAGAAAATAAACTACAACTGGTTTGTCTCTGTAACAAAAGGAAGTGTTTGTATACAGTCTGTTTTGTTTAAGTGAGATTATTTTTTTCTTTTTTTTAATGATTTCTAGTTTCCCTTAGTTACATATATCAAAAAAACAATACAAATCTATATACCTAACCTAAACTTTGGTTATAATAGTAATAACCTGGATATCACGGGCAACGTTGTGACGAGACTCCAATAAATAGTAATCCATAGCAAAACGGAATTTAAAAATAAATTATTGTAATTTTCTGGATTTGTATTACATATTTATACTGTTGATGCGGAGCGAAGCGATGAATATAATAATATTAGTTATAGAAATCAGCATTTTTCTTTTCTGTATCTGTGACCATTTTTTCGGTAGTAAAAATCGAAATTTGGACTTTAAATAGAAATCAAGAAACTTTTTATTTTTTCATAAGTTCTCTCAGTTATACAGGCAAAAACCAAAAGACCGTAAAAATCGAAAAACCAAAAAGCAATTTAAACGATAACTCCACCCTCGACATGAATCGATTTTTATTTTTTTATTTTGCAAATTTGCACCAATTCATCGTAACATTCAGTAGTATGAAACTGAATTACCTTCTCAACTTCAAACTTACAACAGTTGCCTACCCACGCAGGTAAGCGAAGCATATTATCCGACTCTTTGGATACAAAATCTACTGATCGAAAAAACATATGTAGGTTTAAATATTTTTTTTAGTAAAATTATATTTAAAAAAAATTAAACATATTTAGGTAAACAAAAATTAAAAAGCAACAGTGTTCGTCGTATAACATGTTTATCTTGGCAAACGATCAAAACATATATCTACCCGTCATATATAAAGTGATTAAACTCTTGTGATTTTTGCACATCAAAGTCGAACTTTAAAAAAATAAATAATATTTTGCAATATTTTAGTATAATTTGTTTAATATAAAAACACAATTGTAATAATTACTTTTAAAATAATGTGAAAGAAATTACAAAAATACTCTTAATGATGTATGTAAGTAGAGATAAATGGCTGAATGTTTTTTTTTTTTTATAGCATAATATATTCATAACAATATAAGCATAATAAAAATTCTCAACAAACGTTCATTCATAAAATTTTCCCTCCAAACTTATATAGTATACGCTAAACATACTACTACTATGTAATGAATGTTATATAATTTTCCGTAAAACATATTCAATATTTTCTTTTTATGAATGTTCTATATTGTATGTACTATACATTATTATGTTAAATTTATTTTAGATTCTGCAGCGAAGAATGTATTAGTTTTACTAAGATGTTTATTTTTTTATTATTATTATTATTTTTTATAATGTGTACAAAAATTTTTACCAGAAATCTTGTTTAGATATAAACGCGCGGCACCATTTCCGAAAGGAAATCCAGATGGTACTTTTGGAAAGTCAATTTTTAATTTTCCAAGCCATTTTTATAATATCTAGAAAAAACCAGGATAAAGCGTAAAAGAAACTGGAAATTTACGAAAATAATGCTTTTGTAATTTTTCAATTTTGTTATTTGTTGTAATTCAGTTAAAAATAATTGTATCATCTCTATGGACTTGAAATTTGAACAGAAAACTTATATTTACCTTTTCTAGACGTGATAAAATTTTCAAAAAATTTAAGCCATGTTTGTAGTATTTATAGACATTTTAATTTTGAGAGTTTTGAACGTAATATTTATTCGATGGATACTCTGTGGTAAAATTGTAAGACTTGAACAGAAATGCTTGAATATTTCACAGGAGGTTCTTTAAGAATCTTACTTTCTAGTAAAAAAAAAAATAAAAAGAAATTTAATGCAGTATTTTTTTTATAAGGGAATTTTAATATCAAATTTTAACAAAAATCGGTTGTGGAAAAAATTATGTGGAACAAATCTAATTTTTCAATTTTTTTTTTCTAAACATATGTATATTGCTGATTCAAGAGCGATGGTGAAGTTAGAATTAAGCGGACTTAATATGTTTTGAAATTATAGCTTTTTGAAGTTTTGATATTATGCAGATATTATATGTTATTTTAAATAACTCCATATTGTCCTTCTTAAAGAATATTCGTCGAAATCTAATGGTTATTTATGACAATTATCATCCTAGGGGTTTCGAGTTCAAATCATATTTTGCATTTCCCCCCCCCCCCCCATTTTAACTAAACAAATACATTTTGGATGTACCTAAAACAGACTCAAGCCGACTTCATCCGACTATTTTAATCGCATAATACCCCTCGAATTGTTGTGCAAACTTTTCTACCAAAAATCTTACTCCGATGTATCAAGTGTAACCTATTTTCTTCATGGTAATTTGGGGAGGTAATTTTTTAATTTATCAAATGGCTTTCATAATATCTGGGAAAAAATTGGAAAACGGAAAATATACGAAATGTAGGTATTAATAATAAAATATTACGATTTGTTTTTCTGTCAACAACTTTTATACCAGCAATATTGCTCCGATTTACAATAATAGCACTTTTCTAAAAAAAAAATCTGACTTGGGAGATACATTAAGGTGATTTTTCGATTTTCCCAAGAGTTTTGCCTGCAAATGTGGAAAACCGGGAAAAACATGGAAAAAGGTAGGAAAAAAGGGAAAAATCGGTACAATATTAAACATATGTTATTAAAGAAAATACATATTTAATTTGGTATTTTATATATATATATTGTTGACAAAGCATCACTATCAACTGAACTGCGCACAGAATCGTTTTTCATTAACAATGATTTATCGTTGCTTACAGATATACAATAAATTACTTATAACAGTGGCTGTATGTATCTCCATTATCCGAAGACGGCTTTTTTACATTAACGTTACGGAAATCACAATAATACATTACACTACAATAAAATATAAATATAAATATTGATTTATATCATTATACTAAAACAGTATTTCGTATAGTTATGACTTATTTTATATACAATTCAATTGAAATATGTTACGAATGTTATTTACAAATTGTAAAACGTGACACTTCCTGTTGAGATATTTTTACTATCATAATTTTTACCATTAAAAACATATTTTTAATTCGTTTCGGAAAGTACATCATTTAGATTAAATTTAAATACTCTCCACATATCACCATAGCGCAACTTTTAGGAATGACAATTACAGAACATAACGTATAAAGATGAAACTTCAAATTTAATTAATTGGAAATAATTGACTACAAATTAATTTGAATTAAACGATACATTCCGAATAATTAATTAATATAAAAGATGCATAATTATGAATAAAGTTTTACTATTTCGTATTCTTTACACTTGTCTTTTAATTATTTTCTTTTTAGTTCACTTTTTGTTTTACATAAATATGTATATAATATACATAATATATAAAAGTAATTTATACCCAGTTATTTCGTATAATTTTTAATCTTATCAAATTTTAGGTTTTATAATATCATGTTACTCACTACTTCAACTTAAAATTAAACATAAAATTCCTATAGTTTGAAACATGAGATAGGTACACAATTTTGAATTCATAATTATAAAATATACACTATAAACCTAAAGAATAATTAAAATCAGAACAGTATACTTCAGTAAATATTATATACTTACATACAAAAAAAAATTATCACGCTATTCAGGTTAGTATAATATTTTTAATCAATCTATAAAATTCATATTACATTATTTCAAAAGTTACGTGTTATAATGAACAAAGTTAATATTACTAGGGTTATTATAAATTGTTCGAAAATTTCGGTTACAAACTTATAATTAAAACCAGCCGAAAGCCGTTCATGCAAACAAAACTTCTACATTAAGAAATTCAAACTTTGTTTAGTCAATAATAGACTAATAACGAACGGATAACGACAACCTATATAAATTGCCGACAAAAAGAACTAAAATAAAGTGATAACGTATAAATATTAAATAGGTGTTTGAAAGGCACTTTTATTGCAAACAATAATATTGACGTATTGCTGTATTAATAAAAACTTTTTTAAGGTTATAATTTGTATTGTACTAAGTTATAATTTTAAGTAAATGTATAACTACGTATAATACGATAATAAATATAGGTAATAAAATATAATAAAATATAATAAATATACATATTTATTATACGACTCGTTTTTTTTTTTGTTTATTTTGATTTTATTATTGGTTTTAAGCCTATTTTTTCAATATAAAAAAAAATTATTTTGCTTATTCCGAAAATTTGTACTGTTTGTTTTTTCGTGAAATAAAAATTTCAATTAAAAAAAAAAAAGTTTTTAATAGTTTTTTTAATTTAAAATATTAATTTTTTTAAAAAAAATTAAATAATTATTTCATAAATAGTATAGTTTCAAGCACGGACTCGGGGACATATATATACATTAGTAACGCTAATAATCTAATATACAATTTTATATTTTGTTATAATATCATCAACTATTAGCAAAAACTCGTGTAGTTTATTTTTGTTTTTTAGATTATGAGCAAAGCAAATAATCGAAAAATACTACAAAAACTTTTTTGTTACATTTTAGATCTAATTAGTTCATCGAAAGATCATTTTTCAATTTTCCGAGAGATTTCCATAATAATTGCAGGAAAAGCCAGGAAAAAATTATAGGATAAACGGACGAAAATATACCGCCTCTGTGCACGCCTCTGCGTTACTTATTTCATTATTTTAAATTTTTACTATTTATGTTGTCTACCTAAAATTTTGCTTCTATAGAAAAACGATAAGATAAGTATCTTTTTTTTTTTACATTTTGGATCTAGTTGGTATGTAAGAAAGTCGCGTTTTAATTCCTTTACAGTTTTCTTAATAGTTGGGCAAAACCGGGAAAAATAGTAAGAAAAACTGGAAATTACGATAACATTATTTAAAATTTTATTTTTTTGTTGTAATTCGATAAAAATATTCACAGGAACCTGAAATTTTTCGAATAATAATATAAGATATTCCTTAACATGGTAAATTTTATAAAATAATTTGCATATTTTTAATGATTTGTATACATTTGACATTATCTAGTTTGTTTTTTTTTAGTTTTTATTTCCTTGGTATTTTATAAATAAAACTCCAATAAAAAACTTTATAGAAGCTTTCTTTTAGTATTTTTTATCGAGCTGGTACGTTTGAGAGGTAATTTTTTTGACTTTCCTTGTAGTTTTAACTAATTTAAGTAAAATTTAACAATTTTCGTACCACAGTTTTACACAATTAATTATATTTATAAATTATTTGAAATAAATTGCTATGTACCATTATACCCGTTAAACAATTAGTTATACCAACTATAAAGGTTATACCTACTCTGCTCTTGATTTTATTATAGCTAAATAAATTAAGTACTGACATTGAAGGTAAAAACTAAAAATACTGCGAAAGAACAAATCTAATATTAGCACACGCAGAAATACACACATTTATTATTTTTTTATTTTTTTTTTTTGGCATCCTACAACGAAACAAAAAATTAAATTGACAACCCGACAGTTTACATATACTCAAATATTTACTCATCAGTATTCAGTACCGCAATTTATTGTTACACGCAATTTCGAAGGTCTAACATATTATTTTTCATACATCGAAAAACGCCAATTTCGTACGAATGAAAAACGTGTTTTAAATAATTTACGAACAAATTTTCGATTATGATTTTAGATCAAGTACCTAGACAAATTTGTTTAAAAAATTAAATATGATAACGGCAACAAGTAGGCTAGGAGCAAATTCGACTCATATGACGTCTGTTGCTCACGGGCGTTTTTTTCAATAATTTTCATGTACTAATGTTTTAAATAAAATATGTATCCCCGGATATAAAGAAATTTGTTGAGTATTTTTTTAATTTTAAAAAAAAACCTGTTTGGAAATAATAGAATTTGTTTCAAATAAAATATCACCGGATGAAAAATCCGTATCCTTCGTGAAAATATAATGTTGAAATAAAGCTTTAAGGACTCCATAGTCTATATACCTAATAGTTGAAAAAAAAAAACATAATCATATTCACTTAAAATCTTCTGAGAAAATTGCTGATTCGTAATAAATCGATTACCCTGTATAAATACTTATATAGGAAACAATATATAATTTCCAATATGTCCAAATGCTCAAAGATGAATATTATATTTGCATAATAATTGTATAACAGTAATTAAATAGGTGTCTAAATCAAATGTATATAATAAATCTAACAAATGAGTTTATAAGACCTTCGAATTAAGTTTTACTTATAAAACTATAACTTATATAAATTATTTTTCAGTCGTGTACATAATATAGGTAGGTACGTAACCATATATGTACAAAGTTTATTTAATAGATTTTATTGTAAGTATAATTATTGTAAAGCAAAATATTTGTTTTCTTGTTAGATGTTTTAAAGTTTGCAAAAACAAAATACATATATCTTATGTAGGTATGAATTCGCATTTTGTGTACCTATATATATTATTTAGTTTGGTACATAAAACCATAAAATTATTCTCTCGGTCCGAGGAATTTCCAATAAGTGCCACTAAATAATATATTATTGATTGTGTCACACTTACTATCTGATCTATTTTATCAATCAAATGTTCATACACAATGTAGTATTAATATTATAATTAATAGGTATGGTCCAGGAATATGTATTAATGTTGACATCGTCAGGATCGGCTTAGAAAATATCGAGGCCCTGTACAGTAGTTTGTGGGGTCTCAATAAGCTTTTTTTTAATTTTTATTTTCTAATATCAATAGCGTAATAAAATCTTTATAATACAGTACAATTCTTCATAGTTCTTATTAATTTTAATCTGTATTTCCCTAAATAATCATGTGAAATTACTATCTAGCTATTGTTAGTAGACGCGGGGCATCTAAAAGCGCAGGGCTCTGTGCGAGTGTGTAGCTTGGACTGCCTTCAAGCCGGCCCTGGTCATCGTGGTATAAAAGATTATCGAACAGAAAATGTCAATAATACGTTCGTACTGTGTTTATATTTTATAATATTATATAATTATTATCCTTTATTATTAATATAAAATAAAATGTGTTTGATTAAAATATAGAAAATTCAATTCTTTGTTTATCTAATATAATATTATGTAATTAAACAATAAATTATTATTGCTAATCGATAATGCTCAATATCTGTGGCATTGTATATATTATGTACAATCTATACGCAAATTATTAAGTACCTATATTTTTCTAACCTAACCTAACCTAACCAATTAATTGTAAATATGTGTTATTACTTTATTATTTTATAATAACGATATTACAATAATATATTATAATTTATTACTTACTGAATACTCGTACAAACGATATAGACTATATGATATATGATTAATAATCTGTTGTATAACAATCTGTCTTACCCGATTTTGCCTACGGTTATTTTATTTGATTATCCAAGTATTTTATTATAGCAGACAGGAAAAGGAATAAATCGAATCAATAGGAGCAGAGAAAATCCTGGTGTAATATCTAATCACCTTGATCCCACCCTAAAATAATACCTTCTCCGATAAAACATACAACTATTTGGGAGGTAAATATCATATTTTAGTAAGTTACTCCGGTTCATTATTCCTTCCGATGAATTTTTACCTCTCTACTTCACAATTTATAAAAAAGTAAACATTGGAGATAGTCGGGCTGTGACAATAATTTTGTTATTTTATTTTAGCAATGGAAACTAAAAATAAACAAAAAAAATTCCAAGATATTCCAAGATCAAAATTCAAGTTTAAAATCTCACTATCCCGAAGGATTGCTAGAAGTTTCTTTTCCTCTAATCAGGGCTGAAACTTTGAGAGTCATGGCTTACGACAAAGACTTTTTTTTTTAATGTTACTTATGTGAACTTAAAAAATTCTTTTAATGTAATACATAAAGACCATATAGCATTGATTGGGTTTTTAGCTGTCTATAAAAACTTGCAGCAATAACGAAAAACATCAATTTTAAGAAATTATAATTGAGTTAGTGACTAATGATTCCTTATATAGCTCAGGACCAGTAAATTATTTGATAAAATTTGAAATATTTTCAACGAATAATACGCCAGGTGTTTGAAGTTTTTCTATTCTTTCTTGTATAAAAACTATCCAACAAACAGCAAAATATGCTCGATTTATAAACAAATATATTACGTAATAAAAAAAGACCTCACAATTTGTATTTATCTACACATTTTTGTCCATATTCGGATATAGATTTTGAAAGAAATAAACTTATTTTTTTCACTGTCTATTTTAAATTATTCCAAAAAAGGAGCATGAAAAATTCTCTTTCTCCTCCTGCACAATTATTTCACATTTACCATACCAAAATAGGTATGTAAAGGACTATTTTGTTGGTAGGTATTTTAAGTATTCCTACACTAAGATTTCATTTATCTTTAGAACAATCTACTGGCTTCAATTTTATACCAGAATATACATATATGATATATTTAAAATAAATTAAACTATTTAAAGTTTAAACTATCGTATTATCGCTAATGTGTACATTAAATCTATAAGGATATCGCTTGAAAAGTTTTTTACTCATTTTATCACCCTATAGATAATTTTACAATGAGCATTTATTGGATTTGAAACGTGTTTCATTATTTAACAGTAGCGTGACGCCTAATTACAAATAATTAAAAACTTTAATTGTTAACTCAAAGACACAATACTGTAATAATTTGAACAATCAAGCTAAATTTTAATTTGTCTACTTAAGAAAACATTAGTGTTTATCTGTAATAGTATTATTCGGTATTAGTATTATTCCTCAGACCATTATTCATATTTAAAATTGGTGTTGTTTTGATTAGTGTGATAATAAAAATACAATTTATAAGTAGAAAATGTTTTAACGATTTTTTTATTAGAAAATTCTAATATTATAATCGTTTAAACTGATAACCAATTAACTAACCTAGTCGATTAACGAACAAGATACCCATTTGTGTATATTTTTATAAGCTTCCACAATTTTTATCATTATGATCTGCGGTTTTAAACAAACAATAATCTTAATGATAATATTTATTACATGATTTATTTGAAAATAAAAATGATAAGCAGTAACCATTAGTCATGTGTACTTACATTAAAATCAAATAATATAAAACTGTTTTTAGATAATAAAGGCTTGTGCGATGAATGCACTGTTAATTGTATAGGCTCCCACCAGACACTGTTAATTACAGAGTTGATAATATTACTATAGATAATTAATACAATTACAAAACAAAAAAAGTATGTATCGATAACTTCGTTTTAAATAATATTATTATTACATATTATATAAATAATTGAAACACTCACAGCACTGTTGGCATAATCCATTGGCGTACTGGTCTGATTTTTATATTTTTTCTCATTTGAACTCATTTTGCTCTGTCGTTATTTCTTTATTGAACTCGTTACGGTAAGTACCACAAATTACTATAGACCGATACACAGAATCAAAATTGTACGAAAATTATTCTTTTTTCTTGGCGCTCGTCCTATCCTCGCTGGCCGACAGGTTGAACTCATCGATCGCTGTACCGGCGTCCCTTCCGGTAGTTTTATTATTACAGATGCCGTCCTGATAGAATGAAGTACCTCGCTGTAAAATAAAATATTAGAATGATCAATTATCGAAGAAATTTTATCATTAAAATATGCGTAGGTGCATGACATCATAATTCAAAATATTTAATAATATTTTATCGTTTAAAACCCTTAACTTTTATCAGATACACGCTATTTAAGCATTAATTAGTCATACAATATAAGTATGTATTTAATATTGGTTCGAAAAAAATATACAATAAAATCGATCTCGTTATGTCAACAATTCTCCCTCTGTTTTTTAGAGTTTCTTAAGTAAAAAAAATATATACTTAGACAACCAAAAAAATAAAAAGTAAATATCTATATTATTTTAGTATAGTGTTCGAGAATATAATTTATTTAGGTATATGCAATTAATTGCAGGATCTATATGCTTATGTACATACTTTGAGAGCCAATAGAAAATTTATGTACTTAAGCTTAGCACGTATACATTTTTATAGATGAATAAAACACTTTTAATCATTTATTTTTCTTCCTGTTATTATCTGGCATAATATACACATATATAACCATATTATAGGCAATTATTAGTAAGTATTACACGAGAAAGTAATATTTTTTAGAATTCTCAGTCCTTTATTTCGATTACAAACTTAAAACTGACACTTTCGATTTGTCTGCCATCGAATAATATAATATACGTAATATATATTGTACCGACATTTTATATAATACAATACAGTGTCCCTACTAATCTTCAGAAATATAATACGCGTATAATGTATTATTTAGGGGGAAAAAGGAACAATTTTTATTTTTCACTGAAAACCTATAAATATTAAATTTAATCTAAAAGTTGTTTTGGTCAAATTGGGACGGAGAAATTAGTGACATTTGGAAAACCTAATTCGCTTATATCGTTGATTGGATTATGTGCAACAGCAAACACGATAAAAAAAGATCTGATACTAATAATAGGTCCCCCACTATAAAAATATTCATTAATTATATACAATATACATATATAATATATATAAAGCTAGTATGCATTTATATATATATACATACTTAATAGGCAAAATTAATAGGGGGAGGGAATAAAAATAATTCTTAAAATTGACTATGCTAATTAATGATGATTAAATTGATCAATATATTAAAACGATTAGGTAATATTATTTATTAAAGGGAGGCAATTTCGTAATTCCCCTCCCCCCACGGGGAAGAGATAATTGTTTTAGAGCCTATTTTAAAATATGGCATTTCATAAAGATTATGAGACTTATAATATGCAATTAAACGATTTAAATAGGTGTGGATATATATAACGACATGAACATCGCAAATGAGGAAAAACGAGTTTTAAGACAAGAAAATCATTTTTTAAATAAAACCTAGGTAAGTACCTATTAATATTTAATTATAAATCAAAGGAGATAGGATTCTTCAACAAAATAAATATTTCAGTTTTACATTTAATTTTAGATTCTAAGTGGAGCGAAGAATCTTATGGTTATACAAAGATGTTTATTTTTTTTTTTTAATTATAATACTTAAATACCTCTTTAACAAAGTTACATCATAATAATACATCATACATCATCATATACATCATAATATATTATAATGCTATAGGTACCTAGTATTAATACCTATGCAATATACCAAGTACTATAAATTATAATAACTATAAAACAACGTTGCAAATGTAAAATTAACATGTTAATGCACGAGTTTTACAAGTTCATTATTGATTTTAATAAGTATCAACATTTAACATTATCAATAATTTGAAAATCGTTATTTTATTTAGTAATCAAATAGCATATCTAATAACTCAATAATCGATAGAGAATGTAATTGAACGAATGTTATGATTGAATACTATCAATAAAAATATTCTAATCGATCATCAGATTTGATAGATAAGATTAAGAATAGACCCCTATATCTCTACAGTTATTTTAAACCAAATTACAACAAAAAAATTTAAAAAAATGAAATCGTTATTATCGTAAGTATTCCCATATTTCTTATGATTTTCTTATTTTTAAAGAAAACTGCTAGAAATACCAAAAAACTTTCGCCAATCTTATCTTTCAGAAAAGATAATCCCCTTGAAAATCGAAGCAAGATTTTTGGTAGGAATTTTTACAAGAATGATGCACTAGGCTAATCTAAATCAAAAAACTTACAATTATTTTTAAAAAATTGTTCAAAATAAATTAAAAACATAAACAATATATTATAAGTTCTAAATATTCAAAACAGATAGTCATGGAATAAAAGATCAATATTATTGTATTACGACGCTCGCTTGAAGAAAATTATCTGTAAACTATTATAACAAAATAATAATATTTTAAACCTAGGAATTCATATTCATTCATATTATAATGACAAAAAAAAAATAAAAATAAGTTATAAAATTATATATTGACTGAACCGGGGATTGAACTAAAATATAATGAATACATAACACGAACTACACCTATTAAATAAAGGTTCTATCATTATTAAAGTTAAATTATTGTTATTTCGATCTAGATACTAAGATACATATTGCAACACAAAGTTTAAAACTATTTTTGGGTATACTATATTAATCACATATTTGTATTTCAATTTTAAAAAAATAAAATCGTATTTTTAACGATGATCAGACATTAAACATAATACCATCGTCCATCATATATATTGATCACAAGAATAAATTTTAAATAAATAAGATATCTAGATAATTAACACGTAGGAAAGTTTAATACCAGTGTATAGCTAGTTATGAATGATAAATCAAAAGTTATCAATAAAATTGCGTGGATACATTTATTTTAACTAACTACGAAATCTATACAAAAAAATCAAAATATATTTCATTTACATTGATATAAAATAAATTAATAAAAAGACAAATATACTTATCTTATATCTTATATCTATTTTTATCAAAGCACATTTTATTTTACAGGATTTCTAACGAAACTAATTATATAACATGCGAATTTAAGAATAATAGATACGAGTATTATCTAATCGTATAATCATGTTACGGTAAGATATAATACCTACACCTACATGTTGATTACTATTTATTTTATTCGAAGGATATTAAACCATGAAAATAGTCTGCTGACCTTGAAAATTATTATTTATTAATACATAATACACAACAATAGTAATTGTGATTCTCATAAATTACCGAAGAAAACAATGGAAAACAAAATAATTATTTCTTGTAAACCTTAACTATATTTTGAACCTACTTTCAATCTTAATAATTATATTAATAGTAAATACACGCAATGACATTCAACACCGCATTTTAATAGATACTTTAAGATTAAAGTTCTCAAGAAATTCTGAAAGTACATATAGTAAAATATGTCTAATAGCCTATATTATTATAGGTACAAAAACTAAAGAATATTATTATTTTACTTGGTACAACACATTTTAAAATTAATAGTTTTTAATAAATTAAAAGCTTTCAAACTTTTAAGCTAAATCATAAAAGATTTTATAAAACAATCATATTCTAAAGAAATTAAATTTACAGTTCAGTAGTCGATCAGAGTTGATCGTACCTACTATTATTAGATTATTCCAAATAAAATCCAATTTATTTATTTTAAAAATGTTTAAATTTTATTTTTGGTATAGTTGTTTGCAAACAATTTACAGACAATCTGTCAATTCTGTTCGTAAGCTATTGTAACATATTGACCTTTCATTTCACAATTATCATAATAATTTAAATAGTAATAACATTGTAAGTAATGATATATTATTTTATATTTTCGACTTATTTTTAATAATTTTTAAAAATATAACTGCAGAACAGCCAATATTTAAACTTATTTTACTATTTCAAAACAGAAAAGCGAACACTCCGACATCAATAACTTTCTCGTCTTAATAGAAATAGAAATATTTTATGTGATATACTTACATTATTTTCATTAACTAAATTCAATTAAGCACTTCAAAAAATGAGACATATTTACGAGAAAGACACGAGTCATATAAACAGTAAAACAACTGATTTTAGTCCTCGAAATACAATACTAAATTCAAATCTTACACCAACAGAAAGGTTCTCCTATAAATCGTATAAATTAAGCTATAGTTAATTGTTAAGAGTGCAGTGCTGACAATATATTTCCCGGTCATTAAAAGAAGAAAAAAACAAACGTTGCATGAGGGTTCTAGAGTTTAACGTTACAAATACTGTAGAGCTTATTTCATTTTTTAAATAGATACCTATTCATAAACACTATAACAATTACCAGGGATGTGAAAAAGGCAACGCCCAGCCAAATGGCCACTATAAAAATATAATTTAAACACGAATCCAAGCTTATCTTGGTTTTATCGTGTTATTCTGTAATTTTTAATTTCGAGTTAATATTATAATATTGCCAACTATGGTGGTATTATCAGCCAAATATCACAAGAACTAGACAGTAACTACTTAAAAAGCTAAAAGTTAAGTTGAGAGATACTTTTTTGATAACTTTTAAGTTAATTAATTAGTTTCAAAAAAATAGAATGATAAAAAATAACTTAATTATTTTATTGAAATTGAAGTTGTTTCTATATAAAGTTACAAGACGGTACATACAATATACTGTCATATATTACAGTATATAATACAGGTACTATATATAGGGTATATTAAGTCTGTAAAAGTCTAAATATTAAATTATAAAGTATACAGAGTATACTAAAAGATGTGATAAAGATAAGATAAAAGTGTATAGTAAAAGATAATTTTAAAAAAGTAACTTTTAACTTTTAATTTAACTTAGTTTTTTTTTTAATATAACTTAAGTAAAAAAAAATTAGGATGCCCAACTTTGGTCACTAAATAGAAGTTTAACATGTATACAGCTGTTCAAATTGATTACACAAAGATAGTTGAAGATTTGGAGCGAATTTTTCTACTTGTCACCAATTTTGTACGATTTGAAAATTATTTTTATCATTTTAATGGCCACTTTAAAGATACGACTTTATTAATTACCCGGTATTTATTAGGTACAATCTTTACAAAATCAGAAATCGATAAAAGAAAAATGAAAATTAAATTTAACGTGTCTGCTCGCCCGCACCCTATTACAGTTAATACTCAGTAAATCATCTTCTAAAAATGGTACCTCTTTATTTATTTTAATAACCAAATTAAAAAATAATTTTTTTTTTTTATTCAATCATGATGCTAAGATAAATTAGTAGTCGACAAAAACATCCAATTTTCATTCCAAAAGTACTAATAGCTCCCTTCAACTACTCTTCAGTAGTTAAATTTCGAGATAAAAAGTAAACAGAGACTATAATACCGATTTTTAAAATATAGTAAGAAAACTTTTAATCTAATTCTGAATTCTAATAAAATAATAAAAAATACAATTTTGAGTACCTATATGTCTTTAATGTACAGCCAAATATATATGAATTTAATGTTGAACATTAAACGAATAGATATGGTTGAGTCCCACCATACTTCCTCTAGTCAAAAGTTTTAAATATCGCACTCAAATTTTGTTTGGTCATTGAATTAGGAGACTCTCCTTAATTGTATTAAGTAATTATTACGTTATTTTTACGAAAAAGGATACCAATCTACCAATGCATTATTTGTGCTCATATGTATACATATACATATACATATACATTGTACTCGAATATTTTTATTCTCAAATGCCACCACCCAAAAGATGCTCCACTACTCTCCCTCTCTACCAAAAGTGGAATAACTTTTCAAAATGTATTTAAACTAAAGCTCCATCTCTATTTATGGAATTTGAAGTATAAGTTGCTATTTGAAAATTAAACGTGGGTAAAAAAATCCTAAAAATAACGGTTCTATAACATTTTATGGCTATTTGTTTCATACATTTTCCAAAAGAAAAATTACGATAAAAGTAAATATTTTTCGAAATAATAAGTATCTTATTAAATATTATCTTATTGAGAATCGCCCTATATTATATTGTTACATTATTATTGCAGAAAAGATGAATAAATAAATTAATTTGGTTCACAGTTTTCCATATTTGTATGACACCAATCATTGCGATTATAAAACCAGTACTTTTTATAAATTAATAAAAATAAAAATATTGTAAAGTAAGCAAAGAATTGAAATTGAATTGCTGGGACACTCAATCATAACACAGTTCCAAGACCAAGAAGAATAGAAATCATTCTACACGCGCGGACTTTCCGCTTTCTGTTTTGCCGTACCTTTAACCCCCTAACGTACAAGATACAAACCGTGAACCCTAGTAATAAATTGATCTTATCGTTTTGGATATCATAAATTATAAATCATTTTGACTAAAAATATAACGACTAAAATCTAAGTACAAATAATTCAATTTATTTACATAAACTTTCCTTTCAATCAAAGTAATAAGGGTCAAAATCATTGTTAAATTACTGAAACTTTTAAACAGAGTAGTTTAAACAAAATTTATTTGAGTGAAGAAACTGTAGTAATTACGGGCAATCCAGAATGAAATAAGTATCTATTAAAGAAGAAAGTTATGACGTAGTTGATGAAAACAACAATATTGTGTTAGCTTATACATAATGCATAATTATTTATACATTTAGTTATACTTGTGACTCGTCAGTTGCAGTAAAAATAATGTTATTCTTTGGAATAAAAAGACAACTGAATATATATGTATTAATATTTTTGTTCCATTGATAATGAATCATTGTCATTTGGTATGTGATAAGTAGGTAACGGATTATGTACGCACTTGAAATCTACAGAACAGCTTTAAAAACCATAAAAAATCCAAAGAAAAAAAGCACTTAAAACGTATTTTAAAAACCTAAATGGTAGTGGGGTTTAAAAGTTCCCTCTCAAATACATATATTTTTCCCTGCTAAAAAAATGATTAACACAAAGTTAAATTGTTTAAATAAAGCTGTATGTATTACAAAACAAATTAATTTGTGTTAATCATTTGTAAAAGTGTTATAAAATTGGTTTTTATAAGTTAGAGTTATTAAAAGGGAGACTCTTAAAACCCCTCTACCATTTTTGTTTTTAAATTGTTTTTCAGGGTCTCTTTGACATTTTTAACGCTTTTTTTATGTTTTAAGTACATATAAATTCGTTCCATTGATAATGAGCAGGGCAAGGATTTGTATGCAATAAAAAATTGTAAAATATGCATTTAAATTTGTATAAGATAAACACAAAAATATAGTTACAAAAAAAATATTTATTTATTGAAATACGTGATTGGAAGTTTATCTTAATATAATATTATTGAGAAATAAAATAAAATAATTTGGAAATTTATATTGACTGAAGTTCCAATCAACGTCACATGATGTAGTTGGCGCATATTTAAATAAAGACATCTGTCCTGATGTTAAATTACAACTAAAATTGTCCTCGTCCGATTCACCATTGAATATTTTATTTATTGATTGTAGAGTTTTAAATCCTTTATTTTTTTGTAAAACCAAGGATATTTTGTTTTTAACTTTATCTGCGACTTTCCGTAACACTCAAGAAGACGATTCCTAGCATTTATTATAATCTGTAGACTTTCATAAAGTCTTTCTCCGTCAAACTATTCAATATTTTATCGCATACCTATTGTACCATAGGATTGTCTTTATAAAAATAAAATGTATGTTTGACAAAAAAACCAAGTTTTATACTTTAATCAGCAAGGCTAAAATCAAATATGAAATATTAATTACGAAATATACTGTGAACATGCATTTTTCGCATTCCTATAATCGAAATATGCAATAATATTCATTTTATTCAATATATGCAATAATGTGCATTTTATCCGAAATATGCAAAAACATGAAAATAAAAACACCATCATTTATCTCATCTTGGGGTGATTCGTGGAAATTACTGACAAAATCAATAATCAGAAGTCCCAAAAAAAACATACTGTTGCATATAAATCCTAGCCATGATAATGAGTCATTGTGAAATAAATTGAAGATTTTTATTAAGTAACCGTGGCAAAAATACATATACCCGACCATCTATCACTATGTTCAGTAACGCAACTGCGTAGAAATCACTCTATTCGCACAATCGCACCGTCATGCCACCGCAGGTTATGATTAAACCATAAAAGGGAGAACGACCATAAATCGTAGCAGGTATAAAATCTCCGAAAAAAAAACCACCATTGTAAAAGCAATAAATTCCTCGATTCGATCAGAACCAGCGTGGCGACACGATTATTCATTAAATTTTTTAAGAAATTCGTAAAAATTAAGGCATTTCAAAACATGTTTAACTGAACTTAACTCAGAATCCTTTTTTGTTGACAATCGTTTATATTTGCATATTTACAGATATAAATTAAATTACTTCTAATTTCCAAACTTTTAATTTCTTTCCTACAATAATGACACACCTATCAGCAATATCAACTAATTTTTTTTTTCCAAGAATTTATATTTAAATTCGTGTATAAAGCAATTATTACATTCATGTACTCAAGTAATTCAATCGAACCCTCAAGTTAAACAACTAAATATAACAGCGTTATTATAACAACTTTAATGAGTGAATGTAAAAATGCTATCCAAGGATAATTGGGACGGGTGTAGCCACTGTTATAGGTAGGAAGGAGAGAATTTAAGATATAGACGGGAATTTAATTTATATCTATTAACAACGATAAACCATTGCAAAAAAAAAAATTATTCTGAGCGGAGTTCGATTGATAATGTTACTTTGTCAACAATATATATGTTATGGTATGGTAAAATAATTACATATGCATTAAACACTTTCTTTAATAATATTTGTTTAATATTGTATCTATATTTCTGATCTCCAGTTTTTCCATTTATTAAGGAAACTCTTGAAAAATTAAATATTGCCTCTCTAAATTACCTCCCCAGTCCGATTTCCTTTCAGAAAAAGTGCTATCTTCGCAAATCGGAGCAAGATTTCTGGTAGAAAAATTGTTCACAGATAAAAAAAAAATAAACATAATTTTATAACCAATACACCCCCCTTGCTCCACTTAGAATCTAAAACTAGATTTTGATAATTCAGGGTATTGTAATGAAAGTAGGTATCTACATTCAATATTATTTTCGTTTAACTAAACAATAATTTCAAATTAACGATCATGAATATGAAAAATAATCTGGTATTACCTGTTCCTATTAAAGTAAATTTGAAGGTAGGTATTATATAATAAAAAAAGACAGTACGTACAAAAATTGTATTGCTCATATTTAAAAAAAATAATAACCGAAGCTAGCTACGTATTTCATACATAAATTATAATAATTATGTCGATGAAGCCAATTTAACGTACGGAAATTACTTGCAGGATTTTCGATAAAACAATAATTTTGAAAATAATAGTAACACTTCGATAATAGCATTCATTAAAATATTATAAAGGTAACGTTGTTTTAAAATATTGGGTACGCCATACTTTAATCCTTTTAATTGTCTAACAATAATATAATTTACATAGGTACGATAGCTAGATACTAGGTACTCATAGACTGGATATCCTCTGAACTCAAAAAAAGACCTAAAGAATATTATTTTAATATTGCGTAACATAAATAACAGAAACATTTAGAAAAAAAAAATAAACATAGGGTAGATAGGTATAGGCAGGTTACCTATACGTTATTATTATTATTTATCTACTAATAGGTTGATTTGGTTGTTTACCTTCCAACCGAACCACACGAATGATTAGTAAATAAACACAATAATACGTGTAACGTATGTTGTACGCTCGATATTTTTTGATTATTCATAAAAAAAAATCAAAAATATTATGTACACTTTTACTTTCGATTGTAATATGATTTTACTCGATCAACGTGGGTAACATCCAATTTTAAGTGTATTTAAAGTATTTAAAGTGAATAAATTAAGGAGATATGTCTCCCCCTTCACCCTTGTTCTTTTTTGTAATATTTATTATTTTTATCATTAATGACAGGTATCTATATTTTATATTTAAATATGTCTGTACTTTTCAGTCAAACATTAATATATATTAATTAGGAACTGTATTGTTACATAAAAACCTAAACGTACCTATACATTTTCTTGTTTAAGACGAAATCTATCCAAACCATTGTACTATCATAATATAAAAGATGTTTACCCCTGGATATGCCTATATAGTAGGTACCCAACACTGCAGGTGCACAATAACAATTACGAATTAAAAAATTTATCTTTTTTTTTTTTTTTTTTAGCACATTGCACATGACAAGGTTTCTAAATTCACATAATCTCCCTCCTTGTCGAAACACTAAATAGTTACATAACTGGTACCACCTTCGATTATAAATGATTTGAATTGAAAATTGATTATAATCAACGGTAACCTGTACCGCGTGATTATCTGACGGGATATCAAAAAATCGGGTGTTTCGGCCGGCTACGAATTGACATGCCTACCCCGATGTGATAATCTCGATCCACACGCACAAGCGAATGATTCTAGCACTAGTGATAGCACTACTAATGATTCTATAATGATTATATGATGACTATGTGATTATAGTAGAAACTACAGACGTTACCGGTCGAAACATTTAAATCGTTCAGTTAAAACGGGTACGACTTGTGCGTTGGTATACGTATGATAATAGTGGATAAAGGTACAGGTTAGTAGGAACACCCGTGTAATAATAATAATCGCTCGTGCGAAAATAAACTATAGGAATAATATTATCAATAGATAGATAGGTAGATACGTAGCAAAACTGTTCGACTGTCATTGCATTATTTTGACGAATGGCTTGCCGGTTTCATATCCGGTGTGCACGTGGGTTATATTGAATATTACACAGGTCGGTGTGGGTTTTTTTTTTCTTTCTCTGTAAAAGGAATACGGTAAAAAAACCGAATGCACGCTGCAATCAACCAGATGCCATCTGCATTGTTTCGAAATAATATGCACCTAATTATTGGCCACACAATTTTCATTTTTATCATAACATTATATCGTACGGGCGCTTAACGGATACGTTTAATGCGTTTTAAAAATATTGGTTACATACCCCGAAACGAAAATGTTTTGGTCGGTTACGCAAAACCGAACGAAACCGGAATGAAAATCCACTGGACGGCACACTTTTCGAAAAACAAAAAAAAAATATACGACACAAAATAATTAATACTGTAAGTACCTAGGATATATACCCAGGTATATAACTACGGTATGGGCAACCGAATAGCGTCGAGTTATACCGCGAAACACGTAATACGCGACGACGACGACGACGTACCAATAACGAAATATTATTTATTATTATGGACGATCATATTATTTTAACAACGAGGTTTGGTGTAATGCGTTGTTATTGTATAATTACAATTATAAAATACAATCGAGTATTTTTGCAATATTGAGAAATGGTTAGTTCGTTTGGAGCGGTGGCGTTTAAGTACAAAACGAAATAGCACGCGTGCACACGAATCGCTACCGGCTGACACTGAATGACTGCCGCCGTCGTCGCCGCCGCCGCGGCACGGCCGGTGGACGCGTCGCCGTGGTGCCGGACGTCGCCACGCCGGCGAGTCGGTGTTGCGTCTTTGTCGACGGGAACGCGTTGTCGAAATTCGACGCACGCTGCAAAAGAATAGCAGAAAAAAAAAAAACAACAACAAGATCAATAATAAATAAGCATTGTACACGTAGGTAAAATATCCCGGACCCGTGCTACGGAAGCCACTATCGTCTGCTGCGCGTACAATCGGTAGGCATAATATCATTACTTATTATTATTATTTCATTACCGAGTAAATTATGATAATACGCGGCGCCGTTTATCGATGGCTCGACGCTTATGAGAAAAAATGCCTCGTGCAACGCGTCGTGCGTGCTCTCGGCGTGGACGTCAGTTACAACGCGCGCGCCTGCGCGTTTGGAATGAGAAAACAAATTAATGCGACCTACACAACAACGGCGACGACGACTATTCGAGTGGCAGGGTGAAAGTGATCGTGACGGGGTTGTGCCCTGCAAGGTGGAAGGGCGGCGGGGTAATGGCGGGGGGAGGTGGCGGCGACGGCGCGAACCGATGAAATAGTCTGCGGCGAGCTCTCGGCCGTGATCGTGCGTCGCCGCCGGACTGGCGGGAATTCCACACGAGTCCTACGATTGAAAAAACGTTTGTGCAAAAACCGCAGGCGGCAAGCAGTTCGTCATCGTCGTCCCCGGATTCCCACTTCCCGGTACATAGAAGCCGGCAGGCTGCAGCTGCGATGACGACCGCATTCCATCGTGTTACATATATTGTTTACGCAGCAGTCCGCCAGATGCCACTGCCCTCGTGCGGCGCAAATCATTTTTGAAAACATCAATCACAAAACCGCCCGCGTCGTTGGCACGATAAAAACTTATTACGACGAAACCTGATTTTTCAAAAAACACAAAAGCATTTGGAAAAAAAAAAACAATGATTATGGAAATAATAATTTAACGTCAATTATTTACCACATTTTTACGGTGCTTGGAAAATTCCTTTTAAAAAGGAATTAGTTCACGATCACCTTGTTAAAATAAAATAAATTTCATGCTCGTTTCAGGATTGAAGAAAGGAATTAGTTCCTTTTCTTGTTCGTACCAAAGGAATATTATTCGTTCCTCAAGTAAAAATAAATGTAATTAATTTGTATACATTTGTTTTATACTTTTATTAAATTTTAATACATTATCATTCCATAAACACTTAATTTCCAGATGTCGGTCATTAAAAATGTTTAGGTTTATTAAAACTCTTTAAATTAGGTAGTTATATTTAAGAAAAAAGAACGGAATAAAAATCGTTCATATTCCTTCAATAATTGAACGAAGTTTCAACACCTAAGTTCCTCCACAGACTTGTTCCCGATAAATTCTTGGAAAGTTCCTTCCAAGCACTGTATTTTTACATAGAAAGATTTTATAATATTATCGTATAGATTTTTTGATATGATAATAAACATCGAGGTTTAGATTTCGCATGTGCATTTTTTGTGCGTTACAATACACCTAAATACACTTCTAAATCCAGAATATTTAATATTAGGTACCCAAACCTTCGTCGAGAGATTAAGAGTATGACGCACATACTTATATGAGTATAGGTAATAAAGTGGATACACGATGTCACGGTGGGATAGAACGAGTTGGTTTTTGTTCACTCCCAAAATCTCGATGAACAATCCACGCAGTATAAAAAATAATAATAGTATGAACCATGGCCGAATTTATTGTTTTATATTATTTATTTAGTTATGCCGTAAACCTTAGATTATCATAACATGATAGAAGCTGATTAGAATACAAGAACCTTGTTGAATTTTTCAGCTCATATTATTTTTGGCTACTCTACTGGTTGCCTATTTCTCATAGTAAGAAGTAAAGAACTAAAATACTAATCTACTACAAATTAAAGTACTACTCTGGTCAGAGTAGTACGTAAATATGGCTGGATCGATATCGGCCAGAGGTAGTAATAGTAGTAATATTATGAAATTGTCTTGAAGCGCCCAAATTATACTTCGAGTGTAGCAGTTGCTGCACATAATATTTTGCGTGGATGGGTATTTTTGGTAATTGGGATTGGGGATAGTCGGGTAGAATTGGTACACGCCAAAAATGTTTAGATATTTTAGTTAATTAGGTTATTTTGCACCAAAATTTTGGTAGATTTATATGTATACCATATACACATGGCTGAATTGTTTTATTTAAATATGTAAACTCCTTGAGAACAGTGGTAAGAGAACAATAATTAGTATACAGTTAAATTATAATGGTAAGAAGTTGTACGGGCTAAGCATAGTTGAGAGAACGCAACATCCTATGGAGAGGTTGATTGTGGCCATAAGACGTGAGGTGAGCTGGAATGAAGAAGAGGGAGTGATTTCGAGTGTAGTGTGAGGAGACGCGAAAAGAGACATTTGCTAGTAAGTCAGGTACATCGAGAATAACATTGAGAAGAGAGGAGATGAAAATAAGGTCAGTATTTATACGATAAGAGACGAGAGTAGGAATACTGAGGAAGGAAAGAACGCAGTTGTAGTCATGCGATGGGTGAGCAATCTTCAGCTGATGGGCTGCAAACAAAAGAAAATGGTTCTGGACCCGTTCAATGCTCAGCTGGTTACACACAAGATAGGGGTACCAAACGGTGGCTATACTCCAGGATCGACCGTATCAGACAGCAATATAAAGCACGAAGACTAGAGGCAGAGAAAAAAAGAGAAAAATTGCGCTTAACGAATCCAAAGATTTTAGAATCAAATGAAAACCAAGATCTTTGATTCCATCAACACGAGTGAAAGGGGAGTCACCCAGTGAATACGAATGAAGAATAGGCGAATGCTTTCTGGAAAAGGTCATGGCGTGACATGTGCTGAAATTTAAGTTTAGGTTAACGAGCTTAGACCATAAAAGAAAGGCATCAGGATCTGTCTGCAAAAGGATGCAATACCAGGAGGAATAAATTCAGGAGAAGATTTTGATGTCATCAGCAAAATGAAGAACCTTAGCGAAAGAGAGCCGCTCGTTTGAAGATGACATGGCGAAGATAAAAAGGATACGACTAAGGTGGCCACCCTGGGGTACACCGGACGAAATAGGGGACAGGTCAGAAACTACTCTATTAACGATAACGAAATGACACCTATCCAATAGGTACGAGGAAAACCAAAAGAGGAAAGGATAGCCGATTTCAAGAGAATCAAGCGTAGTGATAAGAAGGTCATGAACAACTGAATCAAAAGCGTTTTTCAAAATCAGTAAAGCTAGAGTCAACCTGACTATCATGCTCAAAGGAGTATAGAATGTAAGTAGAAAAGGCAATGCTACTAGTAACAGTAGACCTGCCTGGACGAAAACCATGCTGGGAGTCAGGAATTAGGTGGTTGAGACTTCTTTTGATCGTAGAATGGACCAAAGCTTCGAAGAGTTTGGTCAAGTGTAAAAGGATAGAAATAGGCTGATTATTGGAAACATTAGAAGGATTCCCAGCCTTAAATACAGGGATGATAGAACAAGTTTTCCATACTATAGTGACAACATCTTCATCAAGAGACCACCTGAAAAGAATGGTCAAGGGATAAGCTAATGAATGGCGGTAGTTATAAAGCAGTCCCGGGCAGAGATACCGTTAGAGGAGATGTTCTATAGAAACTCAAGAGAGGATAGAACATCATTAGAAGTGAAGGAGCAATTAAAAGGCAGGATGTATGGGTAGCTACTACAAGAGCGTAATATAGGTGGAGAAACTAGGGGTGGCTTAAAGACAGGTGAGAAGTAGTTGGAGAACAGATTAACAGAGTCTTTAGGGCAGCTATGGACACGTCGTGAAGATAAACTGAGGACAGAATAAGTGGATTTTTCCTTAGGTTTTTTATAAATATCCAGAAATAAGAGTGGTCGGACGATAAAGTTTGTTCAACATTGTTAATGTAAATATGGTAATAACGCTTAGATTGACGTTTATACATTGCTCTGAGTTCTAAGAAATATAATTACTCGGAAGACAAGCTCAACCTATTAAATATTGCATGAGCACGTTTTTTGATAACAATTAAGACCTTGAGGAATGAGGAAACCCAACGAGGAAACTTGGAAGCTTTAAAAATCTTTTTAGGTATGAATTTACTGATATGGTGAGCAGCGCATCGTTGAAGATAGTGGCAGCATCATTAATGGAGTAGTTGTCAAAGGTAGCCTCCCAGTTAAAGAATTCAATGAAACGGGAAATTAATTACCAGACTTGAAATCGTGGTATGATTGGGTAGAGTCACAGAAAACTTGCGAGATGAAAGAAAGCTCAACGAGCAATGGTGAATGATAGGGGTCAGGCTTAACAAGAGAAAAATAGGCAACGGAAGCCGATCTTGTTCACCAGCCAAGGTATGATGTTCAAGCTCGCGATGGCAAGAGCGCAGTTGTTCACATTCTAACTTGGTCTTGTCACGGACAAGACTAATGCCACTGGCAATTTTATGATTGCTTTTTTTAGCGGCGCTATAAAAATAAAGAACCGCAGTTACTTCAGTTTAGATAAAACTAATAAAATATATAGTAAATATGAGTTGATGTTCATTTAAATTAATTATCATTTTAAACACTATGATTTTGTATCATTTTATTTTAGTATGTAACGAAGTTATAATGTTATAATGTTTATAATTAAATCTCCAAATAGAATAAAACATATTCAAAAAAATATACACTGTCTAAACTTGGCAACGTAGCCTAAAAAAACTTTCACAATCGTTCGTTTTTCAGCTAAAAAAATTTTTTTTTTTATAAGAGACATTCGTTTGTAATCGTGTTATAAAAAATATAAAACATTCACGATCGTGTTGCACCCGGTTGACAGAAACCGCCGAAAGTAATACATATTTCAAAACAAACAAATTGAAAAACGTGCATGGACCAGTAACTATATATTTGTTTTACATAATTTTTTAATTAACGATTTTCATCTACATTTTTTTTGAAAATTCCTCATAAAAAAAAAAAAAATACTACATTAAGCTTAATTTTTTTATTTCTTTAACCACAAGATACGATACAACTTATTTGTTCCACATTTCACCTATTGTTTCAAGAGATATGTATTCCAGCTTATATTTGTTCCAACAACCATTTATTAATAACAGCTAAATTTCCATTGATCTTTTGATCTAAGGCACATATTTTTAAACTATATTTTATACCAATGGTTTCTCATTCTAATTTCCAAAATCACATTTTTTCAAATGTATTTATGTTCCATAAGACAATTTATTATCTCTCAAAAACTTGGGTGCCAAAAAATATATAGGTTGTCTATTTAAAAACATTTACGGCGTCAACTATTATTACCTTTACCGCGCCATGATTATACTCGGGTAGGTAATTATATTTACACAAACGGCAATGAATTGAAACAACTATAATTTTGTGATTTTTAAAAATGTGATTATTCCAAATAAATAATAATATTTTTTCCAATGCCACTATAACCATAAAACATATTTTTTAATTTATACAATTCACTCAATTGTCAAAGTCGGCCATCTAATTTTATATATCTGTGGGGTATACTATGTGGTATATCATTATTTTATTATACGATACCACAATAACAAATGATACCGCATTGTTGAATACATTCAACTTTTGACTGTGTGATTACATCCATAGACCTATTAACTATACAGGTTTATAGGTTATATCATAGAGAACCTAAACTTCTTCTTTATGAGTTTAAGAAAAATGATAACTAAAAAAACGTCCTAAGATAATGGGAACGTGTGCAGCCACTGTTATAATGTTATAGATAATTCAATGTATACTTGTAAGCAACGATAAACCATTGCTTACGAAAAAACGATTCTGAGCGAAGTTCAGTTGATAGTGATGCTTTGTCAACAATACATATATCATTTTATAGTAAAATAACTAAATAGGCTTTATATATTTTTTTTAATATTTGTTTAATGTTGTACAAATTTTCCCAGTTTTCCTACGTTTTTCCCGGTTTTCCCATGTTTTATCTTGGTTTTTCAAATTTGATGAGAAAACTTCTGAGAAAATCAAAAAAACGGTCTACCTAAAGTACCTCTCCAGTGAAATTTCCCATGAGAAAAATTGCTATCATTGAAATTTGAAGCAAAATTGCCGGTAGAAAAGTTGTCCACAAAAAAAAAAGTCTTAATAATATTTAAATATAATTCGTACTTTTTCCATTTTTTCGATTTTTCACATTTGATATATATTAATACCAGGTTGTATTAACTATTTACACAGAGATAAATTTGTTTATCTGTAGTTAAACTAAATTCTGTTCAATGTTTTCAATTTTATTTGTTGTTAAAAATGTACTTTATCAAGAGTTAAATTTATAGAGTAATATAAAGGTGGCTGCGGCGTTATCTATTTCAAATTATATTATCACAGTGATGCCAAACTAGCGGTCATTGACCTTAATAAAAAGTCCATTGATTATGCTATATACCAGCTTGATAGCAGTTTTCAAATATTATTACTGTGGTTTGAATTTTTGCACCATTTACATATTTAATGCTTAATGTTTATTTATTAATTATTTACAATAACGTTAAAAAATGCCTAGCTGTTTTAATTATGGCAGAAGTAAAACTGCTAAATCATATTCTGAAAACATTTGTAAAATTATCTTATTTATATAGCTTTTAATTTATAATTAGTAAATAGTAATAAATAACATTATTAAGCAAAAATAATTTTTTTTTACAATGTTTGAACATAAATTTAAACGCTTGAGCCTGGTCTGCTTTGAAGTTGTAGTTAGGACCATGAAAAATAAAATTCTTATTTAATAAATGTCTGTTGTTCAATATTTAAGGGCGGTGAGACGATTTATGCGTTTTGGTCTTAAACAGTAAGATAAACTCCTTTTTTCTTTCTTATCACTCTGGGAAAACTGGGGCTTCATTACATAAAAAAATATATAATACAGTATTTTTAGTTTTTCAAATAGCTACACTGCAAAATTTCGTCCGTTTATGTTTCAACATTATAACCAACTTATTGAACCCCGCGCCACCTCTATATTACTCTGAGGTCAAATTACAGGCCCACTTATCGCCGTGTAAACATTTATTTGTAGTTAAATTTCGTTATCAATTTTTTGCGTTATTGTAGTGATAATCAAAAACATTAGATAATATTAATGCCCGGTTGCAATTATTATATTATTATAAAGTATTTTAAAAATATATTATTATAGTTGATATTCCTGAATTGATCAATTAAATCCATTAAAAATTTCTTCTTGTCTTCACTAAAGTTTTTTCCTCGATTTTTCTTGAGCACATTGATGCTGTTCATTGTAAACTTACTAATTAATTATATTCATAAACAAAGATAACAGTGGAACTATTTATTTTATAACCAGTATTCTGAAAATAATCTGAATATATAAAAATGATTAAGCAACACTTATAAATTTAATACATGATAAAACTTGAATTTATCAATCGTTATTTTATCATTATTTATACAAAAATATTTAAAACTACATTATAACAACAATGATAACAACAAATTTGGTGTAAGTGCAACCGGGCATAAGTATAATATCTTATTTTGTGGACAGCGTTTTAAGGAACGTGTTATAAGACAACATGACCTGTCCATTATTTATTATCTAACCCTTCTATATCTGTGATATACCATGGCTATAGATAATATATAGCCATAAACCTTACAAAGTCTATGGATTTATCATAGTACAACAGTTGCAGGCTCCCGGAGTAATAAGATTTTCTCCGGGTTATAAGATTTTAACTGTCACTTTTTGGATTATGCAAACAGCTAAGGAACATAGTTAATATTGAAGAACTTTATAATATATAGGTTATACAAAAGACCAATTCCGAACTCAGTTAGACTTCATTAAAAAAATATTACAAATAAATATTGTAATAAAATAATGGTATCAATTTAAAATCCGTAGAAAATATATTAATATCTAATATGCGACATCAATAATTATGTATTTAGTATAGTCGTACAGGATGGAAAATGCATTAACACAATATTTTTATTGTAGTACAAATTATTAAGATATATATTAGGTATATTTTAATTTGTGATTTGTACTGAGACTGGTTTTAGTTCATAGCAATAATCGGGGTAGGTATACATATTTTAGTGAGTGATCTGTTTAAATATTAAACTCTTGGCCTGATTTTTGTTCCAACTACGTCCCTTATAATGCTATTTACTATTTACCAAATATTATGTAATGCCTATATACAAAGTGGTTATAAAGTTCTAATAATCATCTTGATTATAAAGTATTTGTATAAATGTATACTCAAGAAGACTGGCTTTCAAGTTATTCATTCATATAATGCATATACTTTACTAAAACCAGCCACTATTAATAATAATTTATTAAGCAAGGTAATTCAACAGTATTTCATACATTTTAATGTGGTATTTATTATGTAGTTACTTTGAGGGAAGAGTAGTGGTCAAAGACCCCCACTTGTTACAGTAACATATACCTGCTATAGAACGTTAGTTCCCAAACTTAAACTAGTAATACATCAAGCATCCTCATTTTTTCTTCAATTCGAGAATTGCCTATCACCACACCATAGCCCAGAAACAATTGATTCTAAAATACGTCATTCCTTATACCATTGTATACTTTGGTATGCCAATAATAATAATTAAAACAAAATATAGTAGAATAATAAACAAATACTTAACAACTCATTATAATTTCTAGAAGTTTATTAAAATTAAAATACAACAAAAGTCAATATAATTAAAATAGTAATATAAAACAGTATATTTTCATTGAAAGTAAATATCTACTTTACTTTTTACCAAGTGAATTTGAGGTAGTACATATTTTTTACATGGGCATTTCATTCCGTTAACAAAATCAAAAGATCCAACTCTTAAATTGCAATTAGGACAAGTCAATTTACCCTTTTGCCAATCACCCTAAATTATAAAATGTATTTTTAAGTAAATAATTATTTATAAATAACAATTAAAATCATATTGTTTAACAAAAACTTACTTCTTCCACCAAAGAATTTATCCAATTTGGTACTACAGTACTTGAAAGATACCAATTATTTTCCATAAGATTTTCATTGCAACTGTACGTAACTCTAGCTTTATTTTTAATTGGGTTTTCGTGGCAATCAAGAATACGAGAGCTTTCATTTGACGCCAATTCAAATCGACATTTTTGACATTTAATATTAATATTAGCCATTTTAAATGAAATTAATTAAACGTATACAAATCTTATGAAAATCAAGCATTCGTTCAATTAAAATTAAAATATTTATTTAAAGTTCAATATAATGTTTTATAATTATTTTATTATTTTAATTACTATAGTTTTGATATCTGAAAAAGTGTGATAAATTTGTTTGGGTAAAATTTAAAAATTAAATTAAATCTGAAATTAAAAAATTAAATAGTGTGATAAGGCAATTGATATTATAACCCCGAACTAAGATAATGAATTGTTTATATATTTTGATAAAAATGATTTGTTACCAAAGTGGTTACTCTAACGGAACCTTGGTTTATTTTGGCGAAAGTTCGTGGTTGGCATCTAAAATTTTCTTTCTCGATTCATAGTTGTAGATAGTAGTTTTAGATAATTAAGAAAATTAGTGGTTGGCATAATATTTATTAATGTAGATAAAATATCATAAATTCCATTGTATATGTATAGTGAAGTAGTAGACAGTGGACTATTTACGAAAACGTTTACCATAAATTATTTGTAATTAATTTTATTTGATTTTGATTTTAATATCATGTTATTTAATAGACATCGTTATTAATCATAAATGTTCATTATTGTTTGTGACGTGAAAGTTTTAAATAATATCTAAATTAAATTGGTTTAGTAACAAATAACTTTTTTGTTATTAGAGAATTGAAATTTTTGATGATGTAAGTTTGTTATTTGCAATGCATCCTGTACGAAGACGTAAAAAACGACCCAACTATGGTGTACGGATGGTAGAAGTCAATCGAGGCAAAAATGGGTTTGGATTTACCATATCTGGGCAACAACCCTGCATTCTTAGCTGTATTGTTCCTGGAAGTCCGGCCGACCAGGCAGGTCTTCGAGCTGGTGACTACTTGGTAGCTGTTAGTAACCATAATGTTAGCAAACTATTACACGATGATGTTGTACAATTGATTGGTGGATGTCAATCTGCACTAAGACTTCAAATAGCTGAAAATTATTATTCAGATAGCTCAGATGAGGAGTTTAAAAATGAATTAGGAAGACAACGACCAAAATATCCACATAAGTCTAGATCAGCCTTAACTCCTATTAATGTAAATAAGATGAGAAATGATGAACATTATGAAATAGAGTTTGCTCAAGAATCAAAGCCTTGTCCTCGTAATAACAATTGTTCTACTTATGATAAAGAAGAAGTTACTAGTTATAATTTTCAAATAGTTGCTAGGTATTTAGGATCAATAGAAATGCCATGTATACCAGCTGGATCTCGATTACAAGTTAGTAATTTTACATTTTAATATTTTTTTTACTAACTAAGATAAGTACAATAATTATTGTACCTAATTATCATAATTTAAGGTAGATAATTGCACCCTTTTAAAAATATCAATTAAATTTTAAACCAGGACATATTTTTCAAATTAAAATTGTATTTTCCCTATTGCACATTTTCCCCACAGATAGGACTTCAGAACAAGCCTACTTTACTGGACATACTTTTTTTTGGAAACCATCGTAAAAATTAGTTATGACCAAAAACTTCAAAAAACCCGTGTTTTAAAATTTAACAAAATGTTTGTTATTTTTTTGATGTTAAGGATTAAGGATGATACTACAATCAGAATTTTTTTGGAATCCAATATTTGAGAAGTTGTAGATATTTTAAAACTATAGACATGTCATTATACATAATTTACCCCATTATGCTTACCGTTTTCTCTCACCAACTTGAATGCCACTATAATGGTCTTTTTTTAGAGGGAGAAATCTCGAAAATAATGAAAAAAAAGTGTGTCTGAAAATTATTAAACTATTAGACATACACCAGAACTTCACCCCAAATTGTTTTTCAATTCCTATTACTAGATATATAATACTTCATAAATTAGTATTAACTAAACAAAAAGTCGGACTCCAAATATTTGAGTTGTAGAAGAAGATAAATGAATACAAACTAATTTAAAAAACCTAGTTTATACTTAGATTTCTATATTATTGATGGATTACTGATATGTATAGTTGTGTTTATCTGCTTTACCTACTATTTAATTTTAATTATTTTGTTTTTGCTTTGAAATTAGGTTGTAAAAAGTTGTATTAAACGTTTAAAAGCAGAAAAGCGTTCTCATGCTGCTGTATTGATGACAGGATATGGATCCAATCTTTGTCTGCAAAATAATGCTGGGGCAACATTAGCTGTTTATCCTGGTGGTCGAGTTATGTTCTGTGCTGCGAGTTCTGATGAAAATAGCAAATACTTTGGTGTAGTTACTATATCATCTATAGATGATGAGCCATCAAATTCGTGTCATGTCTTTGCTGTAGATCCAGCATCACACGAAGAACATACTACACAAGCTAATAGTTTTAAAATTACTTGTGTTAGAGATTCTAATGGAGTTTGTACTCAATTCCCACCAAATTGTGATCAAGTTGTAATTGCTATTGAAAAGTATTATAAAAATGATGCTAATCGAATTTCAGTTGTCGGTAATTCACCACATCCAAGTCATGATAGCACTACGACTACAACTAGCAACAGTGATTCTGGTATTGGATATAAAGATTACTGTGGTATGCAAACAGATAGAATATTAATGGTTGATGTACAGAATCAATGTTTACACATTCAACAAGTAACTATTATTTATATTCCTAATTAGTTATGTATAGTTATAATATTTTAATAATCTGTTTAGGTAGGGGATTTGGCAACACATTGTATTGATTGTTCAGATTCGATCACACCCAAGGATAATGTAGTTGAACGTGGTCCAAGAAGTCGTTCACCATTAAGTACTAGTTCGGTTGATCTTGTATTCAGTCAATTAGGACCTGATTATCCTATATTGAGTAGATCACCTGGTCCCCGGAGATCAAAAAGTGAGAGTAGTGTTCAACTCGAAAATAATTCTTGTGAAGGAATGAGTTTAGGAAGTAGTTACCGAAGTCAAGAATTATTATTATCAGATGCCAAAAGTAAATCAAATATGGTATTTGATTGTTTAAGATACCCACTTGTAACTCAAAGCTTAGAAGATTTTAAAACTAATGATGAAAATTGTATTATAAATGTCTGGGGAAGTTTACAAAATATTAAAGAAGACAATGAAGTTTTTATTCCAGAAACAGATGATTTTTGTGTAAGTATGTTTTAATAATTAATATAATTAACAATGTTCAAGGGTAAATTTAAGTTCAAGTTTTAATAAAAATACAAAATATATATCATATTTGTATAATAATAGGTAGTGGCAGATCCTAGGATTGTTTAAAGGGGGCAAATTTTTATTATACTATATACATTTTGTAGTATAAACAATTATTGTAGAATATATGAATTGCATTAAAAAAACATGGCCCAAGGAAGGCGTTCGCCATGAAACCCGAGAAAAAAGAACAGTTTTAAAATTTTTGAAGATTATAAATGATTATTACATAAAAAAATAATTATATCTTATTATAACACTAGAACAGTTTGACACTTAAGTGACTTAACAGATTAAATTTAGTTCACTTAAATAATAGCATGAAAGTATGGATAGATCTTCATGAGTAATTTAAATGAATGAAAGTAATTAAAGATATATTTCAACTACTCATTATTTTATAAAGTTTTAATTTTTTTGAAAATTCTTTTTTTCACATATTTTTTTATAATTAAAAACCAACATTTTTCACAAGTTTTATTTTTTATATGTCAATATTTTTAAAAATTACATTAAATAAACATTGTTTTTAATTTTCATAATTAATTAATATATTTAACATTTTAAAATTGTTGTTCCTTTTTACTGATCACTGTTCTTCATGCAATTCCATTGTATCCACCACTGCGTCCCATGAGTTCCACTTCAAACAATTGGTAGGTACGCTTACATTTCTGAAAATTAGTTGAAGTACTTTATTCCCTTGCGGGGACAAAGTACACTCTAATTTAAAGATTGAATATAACTACAGGGGAATGTGAACTATAAAGTAATTGAATAATAAAAGAGGAAAGTAGAGAACAAGAAAGTAGAACTTGAAACTTAAGTAGGGCAGTGGATAAGGATAGGATTTAAATGTAAAACTACTGCCTCTTGTTGCGAAGTACATAAAAAGTAGTAAAAGTGTAACAATTAAAAGGTAACAAATTATGATTGAAATGTGACTGAAAGAGAAGAATAATATCAAATAAAAATCCAGTGTTTTATTTTTGTATATCCCATAAAATATATTACATGTTTAAGTGTTAAATTCATTAGTATTCATTCAATGTAATTCTAATTAAAATTTTAAACATGATAGGTAGGTTACTGTATGTAATGACGTCACTTCAATATCCGTGGCATGTGTTTGTCATACATAATACAAAATCGAAATAATACCCAGACTGTGCAAATTTTCATATGTATTTTTCTGTATTATATTCTTTTCACTTACTTGATATCATTAAATGTTTGTTACAAATATATTTCTTAACTTATATAAGATATGCTTCCTTTTCGTAAGATCAGTTGTATTACATTTTCAAACAGTTCATTTGTACGTGTTTTAAGGCGAACAAATTCTTTTGAAAGTAAAACTGAGGTATATTTGTGTATATAAATATATATTATTTCAAAATGTGTACTTTATATTCAATAATTATTATAGTTACTTTTAAATGATATAAATTAAATCAAATGTTTAAGTTGGATTAAAAAAAATAATAATAATAATAATGGTGGTCACTTTTAATTATTTTAGTATTATTAACAATTATAGTGATACATTGTGTAAATATTAATTTCAGGATTTTAAATCTTTATATAATAATTATTCTACTCAATTATCCAGATCTCATAAATATTAAAATAAAAATTTAATTTGTATTTGTTTCTGAGTTTTAGTCTTATTTTTTTTTTTTTACTTATGGTTATTATTGATTTTATTTTTCAGAATGATTCAAAAACTAGTCAAGCTCAGGATTGGACATTATCATTTGAAAGAGTTTTACAGGATCCTATAACTTCACATAATTTTGCTGTAAGTTTTTATAAAGAGTATAGTTATAAATCATTAAGTATTTTAAGATAAATTTAGGTTTTGTAAATAATATTATCTTAATAATCAAGTGAAATATTATTTATTTAATTATACAATATAATTATTATAGTTTGTACTAGGTATTAAAAAACTTAAAACTTTTAATAGTATCATTTATTAAATAAAATATCATATTCAAATAATTAAATTTAGTCTGCTTAAAATGTGATTACAAGTTCAATATTTTTATATTTCCAACTTATGATAAAATTGAATCAATATTTTATCCACATAAATAAAACTAAAATATTAATTAAACTATATCTAAAAAGTGCAAAGATGAGTTTTAGATACAATTTTTAGACTAATGATTATTTTATTATTTATTTATTGAAATATTATATGAGATCGTGCCCAATTACATTGCATTTATAATACATAGCTTTTTTTACTGAATTTAAATTGTTTTTTTTTTAACAAAACTGTTAGCATTCTTAAATATTATTGTTTTAAATACATAACTCCTCCCCTGTGTACTAATTACAATTTCAACATTCTAAAAGAAAAGTTATATAATGTTTCAGTTTGAAACAAGTTTCCTGGTTGAAAATATGTTTTTAGACTGAAAAAGTGACACATTATATATTATAGTAAAATAAAACTTTTTTTAAATTATTTGTTTTATTTTTATGACTTAAGTAGGTCTGGATTTCAATGAAAAGTACATTTTTTTTTTTGAGTGATCTTAGACAATGCTTTCTAATTACCTAATTTATTTTATGTAACAGATACTTCAAAATCTGAAACTCTTATTTTGCATTTTTTGGTTATTTTTTAGTGTTAATCATATTTGTACATTGTATGACTTCATTTTTTTTCTATGAATTTCAAAAGTCAAACATTAGCTAAGATGAACTAATATTAAACTTAATGATAACAAGTTTAAAAATGACTGATAAGTACAATAAACGGCAGAGGGTAATAAAATTAATTTGAATTTTTTAACAATTTTTTCTTTTTAGTTTAAAAAAAAATTCTAAAATATTGAACAGAATAAAATGTATTTCATATGTCAGATTTTCGTGATACAACCTGTATATATATGTATAATAAGTTAAATGGTTTTTTATACAGGAATTTTTAAAAAAAGAATTTAGTGCTGAGAATCTGTACTTTTGGACCGCAAGTGAACAGTATCGTTCTACCATTGATCAGGAATTACGATGTGCAATTGCTCGAGATATATATGCTAAACATTTAGCTTGTGATGCTATTGAACCAGTTAATGTGGATTCAAAGGCTTCAAATCTTACCATCGAACAAATCGAACAAGCTGATCCAAATCTCTTTTTACAGGCAAGTATACTCTATTTTATAATTATTATGGTATGCTAAAGAATTAATTTACCTGTGTATTATTTTTTTCTAGGCACAAAAACAAGTATTTAATTTAATGAAATTTGATAGCTATCCTCGTTTTGTAAAGTCTGATCTTTATAAAATGTGTTTAGTGGAACATTTACCTGATAATTTACCATTTGGTGAACAAGATACAACTATTTCAAAATCTTTGCAATGTCCTAACAAAAAGGTAAGTATTTTTATTTTGTACTAACTACTAAGTAATGAACATTTTTGATTGTATTATTGGACTTTATCCGTGCAGAGTATAAACATAAAATAAATAAAAATGTGTCTCCCTATGAATACAATTGATTATAATAAAATTAAGAATAGTTTTATCTTTGTATAATTAATGAATATCAGAAAGTGCAATTTTTATATTTTAAGAACAAATTTCCTGTGTAAGTCACACTTTATGTATTCGATTTCCCATTGAAACTAGTTAAGTAGTTTTTGAGTTTATAAACTATAATTAGGTAGTTAGTTCACTCCCAAAAATAAGGGGTGACAAAAAATAATAGTATTATAACATGATAGGGCTACATGTTTCCTAAATTATATATTTGTGTGACACTCGGTGTATATTATATTTATATAAGATAGATTTGTATTTTATATAAATGTAAATCAATAAATAATAATATATTCAAATGTTTATTCTTTAAATTTAAATTTAATAGATTTGTGATATGGAAGAAACAATTAACACAAGTACTGTTGAGTACCGTGGTAACACTGCAAGTCGTCGGAAGTCACTATTATCGTGGAGACGTCAATCTTCAGTACAACCTCCATTAACTTCTGGTTTGTGCCGAGTGACACTTCCTGATCAGTCTTCGACAGTATTGCACGTGACTCCAGATATAACTGTCCAAATTCTTATTCAAAGATTATTTGATAAACGCGGTTATCCCTATAAACATTTCAAAGTCAAAGTTCAATCAAACAGTGAACAAGTATGATTTATTTTTAAATCACATGATTTTATTAATTATATAAGTACAAATGTAAAATAAATCATTCAGTTAATAATAATTCATAATAAAATTATAAAAAAATTTCTGATTTAATTTTAATAATAAAGTAAAGTTGTTTGCATTATGAAATTTTCATCAAAAAGACCTAAAACATTTTATTCTCGGTTAATAGTTTAATAAAATTGAAAAAGTGCCGACCAATGAAAATTATAATTTTTTATGAATTAAAAAATATTTACAATTTTTAAAATAAAATAAAAGCAGCATTACCCTTAAATGAATCCTTAAATTTGATTTTGGGCAATAGATTAGTGAAAAGTCACTAAAGAGATTATTAAAAGGTAAAAAATAATTGTTGAATTTCACTGAATTTGAGAAAATGTTAAAAACCAAGTGCAACTCCCCCAAATTATTTTAAAATGTATTAATTTTAATGGTTTAAATATTATCTTTTCTTTTTAATCAAGTTTTTTTTTGAAAATAGATACTATTACAGCCTACAATGTCTGTGTTTCCCATTATTTTTGTGTATTTTGAGCAGCTCTATTTGGACTATATGAGCTCAAATTCAGAAATTAGAGTTGTAATATAATCAAATTAAAGACAATTTATTTCAATGTGTAATTTTAATGGAAGAAGGTGTTTTTAATTTTGAACACCTCTACAGACCCCCTAAATGAAGCTATGGGGATGAAATTTTATAAATGCATGATTAGTATCGAGATGAGGATCTCTATCAAAAAAATTAATTTGGTTATACTGATTGACATTCTCTTAAGAATAATTGTATACATATATATTATCACTCTGTGATGATCCAGTTATCACAAACCAGCGATTTTCTCATAGGATTTTATTTTTTTTTTTTTTTCAGCCATTTATAACTGTTTTTAGTTTTATATTAAACCATTTTTAAATAAGATACGCTCCTCCCTCATTTAAATAATATTTCATTAAAAATCAAAGTTATTAATTTATAATCTAAAAATGGATACAAAAATTAAACTTCCCTACTCCTTCAGTTAAAATTTTAAACTTTTATAACCCATAACTAGTATGTCTGATATTAGTGTTATATAAATATTAACATTTTTAGAAAAATATTCTCAATTTGAATCTGTTTGAAAAGGATTAGATTCCTATTTGAAAATCAAGTGTTTATTTGATTAAGGTATAGGGAGTATTTATAAGGAATTGGGGTGAAAAATTTTGTGTTTTTTTTTCAAAATAAAGCTTAAACCATTTTATAAGGTTTGAAGAAAATAAAAATCAAATGTAAAATCCTCGAAATTGCTGGTTTATGATAACTGAATCACTCTGTATTATACACTAAAATTATAAATTGGAAATAAACTACTAAATTAAACTATATTGTGTACATAAAAATAAAAATATTTTTGTTATACTTATTTTTAGAGGTAAACCTAATATTAATTATTGATTTTCAAGTAGAGTAGCAATCTAAGTTCAAAATTCTATCAATATATAAAGTTTTAGTTTAATTTATTTAAAATATATTTTTAAACTAAACCATTTATCTTTGGAATTTTTCATATAGGTTGTTATTTTAAATTAAAATAAGTAGGGGTTCTCCAACAAAAATAGGAGTAACCAAAATTTAAGAGCTGCTTGTTTCTTTAATTGGTTATAAATTAAAATCCTAAAATAGTTAATTATTTCCAAGATTATAAGTATCTTACGCTATGTTGATCACTCTGTATACTTAATGAATATTTACATCATTGGTTTATATTAAAACATTTAATTTTTTTATTATTTTTGATAGGTTATTGATTTAAATAGCAGTTCATGTGTACTAGATGGTTTAGATGTAAAAGTTGAACCAAGAATATGGTTCAGGTTAGACTTACCCGATAGAAAAACTATTAATGTAGATTGCAAAATAGATTCAACAATTGAACAAGAGATTGGTCCTATACTATCAACATATGGTTACAAAACAGAATTAGTTACATTGTGTTGTGTAAGTATTGCTTGCATACATTAAAGTAGAATTTCTCATAGAAATATACCTACCATTTTAGATAAGTGAAAATGAAGTCATAGATCTAGATATGGATGTTTCGCTTGTCGAAGGTCGACGTATCCAAGTTTTAACGCGTAGTAATATGACATCATTTACACAAAGTTTTACAATGAAAAATGGACAAGATTCAACTAATTTAGATGAATTAACTAATCAAGTATTTGAAGATTTATTGCAAAGCAAAAATCCAGAAATATTAAAACTTCCTTCAGATCAAGGATCCATAAAAGTTAGTAAAAATATATTGTATTTATATAAATTAATACAAATAACCCATTTATTTGTATTACTTGTTAAATTATTTATGCAATACTAAATTATATTATTATTTTTTACACACCTATCTATTTTAGTCTGAAGAATGGGGATCTGAACAATCGTCAAGTTTGATCAGTAGATTTTTAAGAAGAGATTCAATATTTCATGAAAAACAGAGAGTGAGAATTTTATTAATTTTAAAATTTACTCATGTATCATTAATTATATATTTTTTTTTTTTTTTTAGAAAATAAAAAAAACTTGTAAATCACAGTGTGTTATACAAGATCAACAAATTAATAGTAGCGAAAAAAAACAAACATTAAGTAAACTTCCACCACTGATTGCTAAATTAAAGCCAATTACGAAAATTCAAACTGATCGACAATCAGAAAGTGATGGTATTTATTTTATTTTAATTATGTACATGTTTTCCGCAGTTTTATAATTTACTGTGTCTTAATAAATTTAACTGTTAAAATATATAACAACTATTAACATAACATTTTTTTTTCTTCTCAAGATTAATATACATTATTTATTTTATAAGGCAAAATGTCTTCTTACTTCTAGCTTTATTTGTTCATAAACAGTTTTATTGATTATTAAATGTTTAATTATATTTTTAGCATTATATGAAGGCTTAAAGCGAGCCCAACGAAGTAGATTAGAGGATCAACGTGGTACTGAGATTAACTTTGAAATGCCAGACTTTTTAAAGGTATATTGGAGTTGTATAAAGGACCTGTAAAGAGTTGATTGAATTTAAACCAAATATTTTTATTTTTATTTTTATTCAATTATTATTTAAATGTTTATGTTGATTTAAATGTGTAAATTATTTTCAAATAAGTACGACAAATGTAATATTATACATGTTGTACACTTTTTTATTCACAATAAATGAATTAAGTAAAATTAAATATGGGAGTTTTTATTTTAAAATATAATTTACAAGATATGTTTTAGGTTTAGTGTCAACTCTTTATAAGCTACTCATAAATATATACTATGAATATAATTTTAATTTTTAAATTATATTTTATACATTTAGGATAAAGAAAATAAAACTGTGGACACTAACAAAAAACAACGTAAATCACTTAGATTAACAGAGTGTAATGGTATTAGGGAATCAGCTCGTTTTTATAAATCTCAGAATGATGGTGAATTCAAACGGCCAAATCCAATAAACGATGATCGTACCAAATTGATGAGACATCTTCCTCCACCTCTTCCACCTAAGCCTAAGAACTTAATCAATGATCATCAGATAAAAAAAAAAGTTGATACTAAGGTTAAAAAACCTGTGTACTTGGATCATCCAACAAGTAGTTTTGTATAAATTTATTTAAGATATTACTTAAATAGTTTTGTTATTATTAATATTATATTACAAAAAGAAAATTATTTTAAATATATATTTTTACATACAGTATTATTGTGGTATGGGTATTTATATTTTTATGTCACACATTTATATGTTAATTTTTAAGTATTAATTGTATAAATATTTATTTATTAAAAAAAATAAAAAAATAAAATAACAAATATCTATATCTTTATTAATATTGTTTTTTTACATCAATATTTATAATTATGCATCTGGAAGTACAATTTTAGATTTTGCTTCATCTGGTTGAGCTTCTAATGCTGTTTCTGTTTCAGTTTCAGGATTTATTATATTCGTTATTATAGCAGGTTCTTTAGGAGGCATCCAATCAGGAATAATTTTACCATGTATCCGCCACAAACCATATTGATTTACAATATGTTTCTCAAATACAACATATTCTAAGACATCTTTAGCAACTACATCACTACCAAAAATTAAGCGTCCAAAACGATCAAAAACTGTTAATGTCTGTTACAAAATATATAATCTTAATTAGTTAAACAAATTAATACACAATGCCATGATATATATATTTTGAATAATGTGACTTAATATAATATAATACAATACCTGTTGTGTGTGGAAGCGTACAGTTAACTGTGCAAATAAATTATCTGAAGTTATAATATCTGTTACTCGTGCATGAACAACACGAGGTGGTTCAATTGATTTTATGAATGACCAACGTAATGTCTTTCTATCTATGTTGTGGATCATTTCCTTTAATGTACATAATATATTTATATAAATACATAAATCAAATTATAAATAAATGATTTTACTTACAATATAGGCTCTTTCTGTAACATATTCAAGTAAATTTTTCTTATCCTTGCTAAACAAATAAAACACAAAAGTAAAATTTATCATAGATATGATTAATGAAATACATTTTTACGCACTTAATCATAGCTGTGTGAGCTTTAATATAAACATCCTGTGCTTTAGTTATAAAATCTGGATATAATTCAAATTCTTCCTCATTCTGTCTTATTTTACGAATAGCTTGCCATGTTTCTCTTTTTTTTTTTAATAATTCAATTTTTTGTTTAGCTCCCTAAATAAAAAATGATTAGTATTATAGTTATAGTTATTGAAATAAATATATTTTGACTCAACTGCTGTACTTAATGGTGAAACTTTGCCATCTCCTTCTGGTGGAACATAAGGTTCAATGATAGAGCCAGTATTATTTATAAATGTAGTATGTTCTATCCAGGGTCTTACAGGCTGAACACCTTTTTCTTTATATCTAGTACGTAATATTTCAGGATTATAATTTTCGGTGTCCCTTTTTTCTTCATTGTAATCAGGTAATGTTACTTTAATAACCTATTCAAAATATTAATTAGTTATTGATAACTATCCTTATTTATATAAAAATATGCAATTGGTACTCCTCTTTAAAGACAAAGAAATAGTTTTTAATAAGTCTATGACCACTTTATAACAGAAATTAGTTATACATTATAAGAGCATAGGGTTACTTAAATACTATCGCTACAGCTGCTGTTGAAACCAATATTTTCAAATAAAAATAAAAAGCTGATACTGCTGATGCGAGTGATATAGGTGGGAAGAGGTAGGATATATACATTTAGGTATTTAATTTATATCTATAAACAACGATAAACCATTCGTTACAAAATACAATTCTGATACAACTACATGTTTTAAAGTACTGTAATTTTACCAAAATGTGATCTTAAAACTCTTAAAACAATTGCACTGAACTTTAAAAAACTAAAATAATGTTTTGAATATTGTAAGACACCTATAAAACATAATATAATAATTTTATGAAAATGTCAGCTCTATAATTTGTATTAAATTTACAATGAAAACCAAAATTGAAAATAATGATCATTATGAAAACTGCTTGGAAAATCAAAAAATGATTTAGTTACTCACCAATAAGATCCAAAATACAAAAAAACTAGATATCTTGGCATTTTTTGATTGGAACAAGATTTCTGGTAAAAAGTTGTTTACAGTCAAAAAAAAATAATAAATAAAAACTTAAATTATAGCAAAACCAATACATTCCTCACTACTCTCAGAATCTAAAAGAAAAATTAACAAAACAATTTTCATAATACTTTATGTGTTTTCAAATATTAAAATATTATTTTTTATTATAGACTATTTTTAGATATATTCATATGAATACTTTTTGTAGCACAATTTTAAGACAATTATAATTCAAATATTATTGCATCAGATATTTATATCATAACTTTATAACTATAATAAGTAGAAGAAATATTTATTTGTTATAATCTACAGGCAAGAGTCCTTACAAACAAAATTCAGAATATAGTCTCAACATGTGATAAACTTTTTGAAATATTCCTTTTTTTCACTAAGAAGCAGTGGTGGCTATTCTAAATAATATAGGTGTAGTGACAGATAAAAATTAACTAACCAACAGGAGGGGTTAACCCTCCATTTTTAAATTGCTTCAGAATATCAATTTTTGTTCAAATCTCAATTCACTGCTATTACAAATAATTAATAGTCCCTTCCAATAAATAATCTATACCTATGACTGCCATCAGCCTCATCAACATTCATCCATGTTACGTCCTATCTACCCAAAATGGTGTACTGAGTAATTAAAACATTAAAAAATTAAAATTAGGACATAAATGATAAACATTTTTTGTAACACAATTAAAAAAAAATTGTGCATTTGTGCTCCATAATAAGGGTTAAATATTAAAGAAGAAAATTTTTTGTTGTCGTGAAATTCTATATTATTCACATATAAAAATGTACAGACTACAGATTCCCATACTCAACAATAACTTAAGGTCAAGAAGTCAATATACCTATATTGTAGGATAGCCGCTAACTGCTAAGAAGTATTTAGTTACCTACCTTTTGACTTCTTAGCTTTTTAAACTCAGGTTTGTAATGTTTGTTGCTTCTCAATCGTATTTGACTCACACAACCACCAATCAATATATTTTTCACTGTACCGTTAAAAAGTTGTAGCTAAAAAACGTAAATTAAAAATAATTTTTCAAATGTGCTGATAGCAAAATCTATATAAATTAAATTAATTTTTACAAACCTTATTTAGGCCACTACAAGCTACATGAATGTTCCTATACATAGTGATTATTGATTATAATTATATATACTTAATAAATAACTAGCAAAAATGACTCGAAAATTGTATAGATTAATTATGTAATGAATTTTATACTTTTTTACAAATAAATCTTCAAATCTTGAGAGTTTAAAGATGTACGTTCCGCTAGCAAAATTTGATAAGAAAGCCTAGTGGTTCCCAAATTTGTATAAAATGTTATCTATTCAACTCCTGTAATTGTACTTTTACTGTTTTAATAAGTTGCCTACATAACTCCTGAAAATTAATTTTTTATCCTATTCATAAAATTGTATTGCTAACGTTCAATTTTGTACCTATGTTGCCTACCTAGCACCTGAAATTATATTGTAATTTCTCAGTTTGTCTATTTATTGCTTAAGTTTTAATAATCTATTATTGTTCAAAAAAATATTTCTATACCTATTTACCTACCAAAATTTAATTTAATACAAATATGCTTAACATTGTAAATATTCCCTAACTCATGAAATACTCTCGAATATGCAAAAATGACTTTGTCCTATGTACTCTTTATTGATTAAATTTTTCACAAATCTTTAATGACTGAATATAATGTAAGAAGGTACCTATTTAGTAGGTAACATTCTGAACGTAGATAATAAAATTTATTCAAATTAGATACATTTAAACATCTGTAATTAAATAAACTACAACAACATTAATTAAGTATTAAATTATAATTAAATAAGTTTGTTGAATTCTTTATTTAAATTAATTTTTGTTTAACTTGTACACAAAATGATCTTAATCAAATTCTAAAAATCTATTGCCAAATTAAAAACAAAAAAATTTGTTTAAATTTTTATCTCATTGTATAATAATGATGCAAATATAACGATTCTCTATATTATATATCTATTGTTTAAGCCATCACTTTTATATCATATGTTTAATTTTATTCAGTGTGTATACAAACTACTTAATAGACCTAGTTACCTATTTTAATTTGATAGTTTTGGTTAAGACCATTTCTCTAAAATACCTACTTTAGTAACAATATTAGAGATCGCAGTCATTAAATCTATTATTATCCATTAATATATTGCCAATAATAAATAATTTTTTTAGTTAATTGAATTCGTTAATAGCGTCAATAGCTAGTAAACCGACAATAAAGCATAATACTTTCTTTTTTTTTTTACTTGCATATAGATTTGAAATATACAAATACACAGTACTACAAGTTAAAATTTAAAAAAATAATAATAATATATGTCAAGTATTATTCATTATTAGTATTTGATGATATTTTAAACCACACATTACATTAAAAATATACTGAACATAATGAATTTTAAAATTAGTTTTTTCTTATAGGAATACAATTTTTTCATAGTTTACTAAAACGGGATTAATAATTTTTTATTTTTCTTTTGTATCATTTTCGAGAGGGTTTAATAACTAAAACTATTTGATAATAATCTTAACCAAACATGTCCATTCTTCATTTCTATTCAATTCAGGAATATACAATTCAATTCATTTACGAAATTGTGCTGATGTCTATTTATGTTGCACCCACTTAGCATTCAATAGTCTTATCTTAAGATATAATTATACTTTTTAGAATTTTCGTACATGTGATTCGCTATTAAACCTTAGATATTCAAGGAATATTATTGGAAAATTACTATGTCACACCTCAGATTACTTAGATAATATCATATATATCAACAAACATATTCATTAGACATCTGCAGACAGTATCCAAAATATATTCCCAGTTTATTCCACTAAAATTCTCAAACATATTCAATGTATATAGAGAAACACATGAAAGATATTAAAGGAATATACATATTGATATTAACATGTATTCTTTTTAATGATTAAATTAAATGAATATTATATATATTATCATCTATGGGTATGGTTTTTTTTAATTAAACGATCAATGTGATAACATTGGATCTAAAAATATCGCCATAACACCAAAGCAAGGTTACGTCACTACAGATTTTAAGACTTTGTCCGGAATTGGAAAACTGGTATTATCATAGAATAGAGATAAGGTATCAGTGTTGTTAATTTTGTTTTTTGAATGTTTGATTACCTATGATTACTTTTAGAACACTGAACAATTAAAGAAAATTAAAAAAGAAATTAACAAATGATCTATCATTTATCATCTATCATCTATGTTCCATATATCCATTCTATTACTTATGTTCATAAATCTTTAGTCCTTAAGTCAATCAACTACATATTATAATGTGTTGCTGAAATAAATATTCAGTTCTTATTAAAGTTTATTCTGTATTTTTAGTATGGAAAGTGATAATAATTCAAATACAGCAGCTGGGTAAGTTTTTTTGAGATGAGTATATTATAATTGTAATATTAATTTGTTGTATGTTTATATTATGTATTTAATTATTTAATATGTTCAGTGTAGGGCTATTGTTGCGATATGCTAGTCAAAATTCATTGGATGAAAGTTCTCAAAAACAAATACCAAGATCAGGAAGACGTGAACGAACACCATATAGGAATTGTTCTCATACAGTTCGTGTATTTGAAGTGTTACAATCTTTACGAAAGTATGCCATAATTTATTTATATCTACTAGAAAAATTATTGATGTAACATTTTGTTTTTAGAGATGGAGTTTTATGTGATATTAAACTAGAAACGGATGACGGTACAGTAGTTTATGCACATAAAGTTATTTTATCGTCAGCTAGTCCATATTTCCATGCAATGTTTACTACTTTTGAAGAAAGTACTAAAGATTGTGTTATCATAAGGGAATTGGATTCCACTGCTTTAAAACTTTTAGTTGATTTCATTTATACAGCCCAAATTATGGTTACTGAAGAAAATGTACAGGTATAAATTACTTTTATTGACTTTATTTGAATCCATTTTTAATTTTTCTAATTATTTTAAGGTTTTGTTACCTGCTTCGAATCTCCTACAGTTACATGATGTACAGGATGCATGTTGTGACTTTTTACAAACTCAACTACATCCAACAAATTGTTTAGGTATCAAAGCATTTGCAGATTTACATGGCTGTATGGAATTATTATCAAGTTCTGAATCGTATATTCAACAACACTTTTCGTATGTGATATAACTACTGATTTTTATAGGGGACTTATAATATTAATTAAATAATTTTTTTCTTTTCAGAGAGGTGGTTGAAGGTGATGAGTTCCTATCTTTGTCTTCTGATCAAGTAGTTAAGCTGATCTCAAGCGATGAACTTACTGTTCCATCTGAAGAAAAAGTAGGAAAATAAATATATTTATTTTTATTGTAATATTTTAATATTTAAATTTATCTGATATAATAAAACTTAAATACATTTATTTGAATATTTGTTTTTATTAGGTATTTGAATGTGTTATTTGTTGGGTAAATCATGCACCAACTTCTAGAAAAGATATTTTGCCTAAACTAATGGAACATGTTCGTTTACCATTAGCATCAAAAGAATATTTATTAAAAAGAGTAGAAGAAGAACCTCTTCTTAAAAATAGTCTTGAGTGTATGTGTATGTTTTTAAAATTATTATTAACATGATTTAATATTTAATAAACTTTTTTTTTTTTTTATTACTGTTATGTATTTTTAGGTAAAGATTATATTATTGAAGCATTAAATTTTCATCTTTTAAAATCCGAACAGCCTGGAACTATTCCAAAAACCATTCGTACTAAACCTAGACAACCAGTCGGTTTACCTAAAGTAAGTTTTCGTTATGATTTATTTAATTATAATAAGTAATTGGTTAATTTCTACTCAACAGGTTATTTTAGTGGTTGGTGGACAAGCACCTAAAGCAATTCGTAGTGTTGAATGGTATGATCCAGCAACTAGCCGTTGGCAGCCTGGTCCAGAAATGAGCACACGCCGTTGTAGAGCAGGTCTTGCGGTTCTAAAAGATAGTCGTGTATTTGCTGTTGGCGGTTTTAATGGTTCTTTGAGAGTTCGTACAGTTGACATGCTTGATTTGTCATCACCATCACCATGTTGGGTACCAACAGTTACCATGTTAGCTAGGCGTGGAACTTTAGGAGTTGCTGTATTAGATAATTATATATACGCTGTAAGTTGTAAAAGACAAATTTATTTTTAGAACTGAATTTATGATGATGTTTGTCTTATATCTAAGGTTGGTGGATTTGATGGTACAAGTGGTTTGAATAGTGCTGAAGTTTTTGATTGTAGTACCCAAGAATGGAGAATGATCTCAAGTATGTCTACTAGGAGAAGTAGCGTTGGTGTAGGTGTACTCAATAATCTTATATATGCGGTAGGTATAAATATTTTAATTTAATTTTGAAGTTTGTATTTAATTAGATGTAATTACATTTTTTAGGTTGGAGGTTACGATGGATTATCAAGACAATGTTTAAAATCTGTTGAATGTTATCATCCGAGTACTGATACATGGACACCAGTTGCAGAAATGTGTGTACGTCGTAGTGGCGCTGGTGTAGGAATCTTAGACGGTGTATTATATGCTGTCGGTGGTCACGATGGACCAGAAGTTCGTAATAGTGTTGAAGCTTATAGACCTAGTGCTGGAATTTGGACTTCTGTGGCTGATATGCATATGTGTCGAAGAAATGCTGGTAATTATTAATCTGGTTCTAAATACTATTTTTTTTATATAAAATGTGTATTCAATTTATAAACATTTTTAATATAGGAGTAGTAGCATTAGATGGTTTATTGTATGTTGTGGGCGGCGATGATGGAGCTTGTAATTTAGCTTCTGTAGAAGTTTACAATCCCAACACCAATACTTGGTCCATGTTATTAGCCTCAATGAATATTGGACGAAGTTATGCTGGAGTTGTAGTTATTGATAAGCCTTCACATTTCAATACTTAATTATTATCCAGGTATCCTACTTTTTTATATCAAAAACTAAAAGAGCCAGAAAAAACAGACAGTGGCATTGAATTCAAAATACATTTATTTATAACATAGTCATTTTTATATTAAGAAATTTATCATATCTAGAGATTACTTTAATAATAATTTCCTCGTAGAAACTTGATCTCGTAGTCAGTTATAAATGAAGTTTTTCAACGCCTCGTCTCTTAAATTTGGTTTTGCTTGTCTCATACACAGTTTTATGAAATTAAATCAGTTGCTAACTATAAAGTGCAAGACACACTGGGGAACAGTTTAAGATCAGAAATGGTTTTATACTGATCAAAACACAATTTTTCATTGATTTTAGTGACCACGCACCTGTAATGATAGATGGTCTGCCATTCCATTTCTCACCATCTATACATGTTTAGCCAACATAAAATTTACAACACTACTTGCTCAAGTGTTGAAAATTTATAACTGGTCCATTAACTTTAACTATTTATCACTACGGGTGATTTCTTTGTAGTTTAAAAACTAAATAAGAACCTAATTGCGTATACCTTATAACCAGTAATAGCTTCTAAAATCTTGTTCACAATGAACACATGTAACTCAAAACAGAATACGATAAAGCAGTTTATGAAATGAGACTATGAACTATATTGAGTAAGGAACCTTATTCTTTGATAATCCCTTGTATGTTAATATTAGATTAGAATTTATACAGTTTATCTAGACTAAGTGCTGTGAATATTTTAATAAAATGATTATACATCATTCAAATTTGTTAATGTAGAATCAAATACACAAGCCATACATTAATTAATTTATATTTTTATAGTATAAACTATAATTATTATTATTGAGATTTTTATTTGTTTAAAAATAATTATATACATACTGTATGATATAAAAATAATAAGTGTTGATCAAAAAAAGTTTCTACCATAATAATTAATTGAATAAATGTTATTTGAACTGTGAAATAATTAAAACATTATGTACATAATTTAGGTTACTTTGTAATTTTTTTCCCCCTCTACTTATGTACAATAATTAATTTATAATTATTAACAAATTTTGAATAATTTAGTTACTTTACTTATACCATCTGCATAAGATGTGTATAGATATGGATATACACATAACAAGCTTATTTAAGTGAAACTTATACAGAGGTAAAATTACTATAGTTGTTCTATTAAATCAAATAGAATTTTATATAAATCTATCAAAAAGAGCGAGTATTTAATAATTGAATTTAACATATTTTATCTTTGTATTTACTTAAAATATATAGGATTGTACCATAGGTTATGTGACATTACTTTCCTAATTAACATAAGAATTTATTAACGTAATAATCACCTTAAATATAATAATAAACTGGAACTCTTCAAAAATCTAATATAATAATTATATTGGATATTAAATTGTTGAGGATTGTAACTTGATTTGATTCAATATGATATTATTTTCTATATAAAAAAAAAAAATATATTGTATAATTCAGAAAAAAATATCAAAATGATTTTCGGGTTTTCTATTGGTATAGCAGTATTAAAACAAAATTATACTCCATTCAAATAAAATATTAATATTGTTAAATAGTGTATTTCAATCTATTATCTAGTTAATAATAAATATTTAATATTACATAATATGATAATGGCTTATTTCAATTTATTAATAATTTTAGTATTTTAAATAGTATTTGTAATTTTTTACTTACAATATGTATTATATTAATTTGTACTTCAATTGTTATGCTGTGTAATTAATTTACATATAATTTTCAAAAATGTTAGCCTTGTATTGGCCTTATATTTGAATTTTATAAGACTCACAATACTGTTATTTATTTTTAAATGATTTAAAACTTTGGTTTTGATTACCTCTTACTACTCTACCTATGTATAATATAGGAATTGAATTGTATGTACGCCATGTGATATTAGTAATTGTAAGCATTTACAAATAGTGTTTATATTAACATTTGTTATGTTTAATTTCAAGGGTAATAATGCAAATTTTTTATGGTAATTAAAATTGTTTTCTTATTTATAATTATTTGTTCTTTATATAATAGGTAAAATAATATAGACAATAATTCGATCAAAAATTATATTAATAATTAATATGTTTTTATTAATTAAACTAACAATATTATAATAGCATGAATATTTGTAATACTTTTTTTAGTACTACAGTTATTAATGAGCTGTACAATATTCTAAAATGTGTACTTATTTATAAGAATGCTATTTATTGCATAAATACTAACTTTTATAGAACAATAAAACTAATACATTTGTTTTTTTTTTTTTTAAACTTTATTTCATAAATAATTTAATAGTATGCATATAATAATATAATATATATATTTGACTAGAGCAAAGGATTAATAAATCTTATTTTGCATTTAATTACAAACAAAACTTAATATGTTACAGCAAATATCACAATGATAAACAGAGAAAAAAAAATACTTGATCAAATATGCTTTTAAGAAATAGTTTGATCGATTTAACAATTCAGAGATAATAAGAAAGATCAATAATTTTAAAATATTGATTCGACTATTTCACAACCGTTGTATTAAAATTTAAACATTTCAAATATTTTTTTTAAAAGCAATTGAACGTGTTTGGCAGCATAAAAAAATAAAGCACAACATTTCAATGGCACATTACTAAAATTGTACCGCAAAACAGTGCTGGTAATTTAATGTGACAAAAATTAACATTTTAGGACGTTCACAAACAAATATACATATATAATAATTAATATTTAAATAATAAATATGTAGGTATTAATTTTTGATATTTATTGGTGTGTGTCAATTGGATTAGACACAAATGCTGGTTTTTGATTTTGTCCATTTGGCATTATTTGCCGTGATGTTTTTGATCTAAACATATTTTAAGTGAATATTAAAATATTGTGTTTAAGATTTACAGAATCACATATTAATAACATACCGAATTTGACCGGCTAAGAGAGGATTTATGGCATACAACCATTCATATACCTCTTTGTCTAATAGTGTTTGCATTAAGTAACCTCTATGTTTAGTGACAACACTGCAAGTAAAGTAAAATAAGCATATTATTTTGTCTATGTTATTTATATTTTAAGTTTTTTATAGTCAATAACCTAAGATATTGATATTGAATAAGCAGACAATTTAAAACATTGTCAATAAATTATAATAATTATTAATTTGTATCTCCAAAATTATGAAGTATGTAGATACTTCTTGATTAGTATTCAATATTGTATATTTAAATCATGTATTACGTATGAATAATTACATTTGGTGGTTAGAAACTTAAATTGTTAGTAATATTTTAAAATTGATACCTTATTACTAATAAGTTATAACAATATTCTAGATCAGTAGCTCCCAATCTTTTAGATAAACTTCACAAATACCCTTAAAACCCTAAAATGCTCTAAAAAATTAAGAAAATGACATAAACACCAATATTTGTCAAAACATGCAAAGTAAACTATCTTATTCTCGTTCAAAAGTAGATGAAATGAATTTGTTAAAATACAAGCTTCACACAGCAAGCTTTAGAAAAAAATACAAAGTTCATCGAAATCCCAGCCTAAAATGACTATTTTTTTTCAACGATGATAATAATTATAATAATTATAAAATTGGTTATGCCTCCCAAACAATATCTACAAAGAGATGCACCTACTTCGTTTATAAAATAATGGTCAAGATTCATTGGGTCTATTTTTCTAAAATAATTACCTGAATGAATTTGGTACTTTGACCATAGCTAATTGATCTTCAGAATATTCAACTTGTGCTGTAGTAAGATTTATCAGAGCTCTTTCAACTGGATCTTTTTCATCTCTGAATATAAATACATAGGGACGCCTTACCGTCTGAAAATGAATTTACAATGTAAGTAATAACAACAATAATAGTACTAGATAAAATATACTATGTTTTCTTATCGTCATATATTTGTTTGTATAATTAAATAATAAATTATGATAAAATATTCACCACCCATCGTTTCTTCCACCCATTAGTTTTATGTTCTAGTATGTTCAGATAACCTTTTCTGGAAACAACAGGGCTAATTCTTATCTCTTCAACTTCCGGTACATAAAGCACAAGTTGTGGTTCAGTAGATGATATTTGAGAAATTAGAGAATCAATGAACATGGAGTCATTTATATTAGAATTTCGCTGAAAACCACGGTCTGGCGAAAATAATCTACAAAACAAATATTTGTATTACAGTAATTATAAATAAAGATTTTAAAATTTAGTTTTAATCATACTCATGATTTGAAATAGTAATGCAGCTAGATGAATTACTGATATTTGATTCAGTTTTATCATCAGTTGGAGTGAGTGCATCAGTGTAAGTTGGCAGTATTAGATTTTCCTATAAACAGAATATATATTTTGTTTTCCATAATATTTAATCATTTTTTAACAATATATATACTTTAGATGGTATTCTTCCTTGAATAAGCTTGATGCATTTGGAAGCCAAGTATCTTTCTCTTTCATTCATTTGCCAAGGTTCATATACACTAGGATCAACATTGCGTATTACTACGGGACTAGGAGGTCTCATAATATCTTTAGTGGAACTTGAAGCTTTAGCAATTATGTTGCATACCTCCTAAGGTAATTAATATTTATATTTAATATAGAATGGCATAGTAAATTATGAATTAAAAACCTTTTCAGATTTGGTAATTGGTACTTTATCAAGTCCTAGTCGTTCTCTAAGAAGAATCATGTGTCTTGTACGACCAACTTCTTCAAGTCTAGTAAGTTTTTCCAATTCCCATTGGTGATCAAATATTAAACTATCACCGCGTGGTTTCCAACCTTCTAGATTTTCTTCACCACGAACATATGTGGAGCTTGTATCCAACACACGTCTTTGTCGCCTTTGAACACCTTTACAAAATATCAATAAATAATTAAAATTATTAATTAATGATTACAATTGTTGAAGCATTAACTACATCTACAAGCCAACAACTCTTGTGTTTTCTACTGCATCTCTTTGTCATGAAAACTACCTGGACTACCTGCTTCTGAAGCTCTTTTCAGCACAAGTTCATAAATGCCGGACAATCTGTTTGCTTCACTGTTTTTGTAATTGCCACTGAATAGATGTTTCAAGGATCTTGGTCCTGTTCTGGCATCTCTACCATATATTACCATACTCAAGTCCTTTGTAATTATAGCTGGACATCCACAATTCTCCAACTATTAATTTATAAATGTATATTTTTTTATTAAAGATGTTTTACATTTAAAAATTAAGTCTTACCTCTAAATAAGCAGATATTGTCATGAATATATGTTCTCCTCCAGTAGATATTCTATTAAGAAGCACAGAATTATGCAATGAGCTATCCCATGCAGCTTCAAAACGGAACATACAACGATCTTCACCAGGTATTTCAAGGTATTCACCGGGAAATAGGCCCAATGAAAGAACTGAATTATCCGTATCATCATCTTCTGATTGTGGTATATTACGAATACGACCAACAACTAGTTCTCGTATTTCTTTCCAACGTAATTCTGGAGCTGTTTCATGTACTATTGTAACACGTATGCGACGTTGTAAGCCTTGATGAAGCATAAAAAGTCCACGACATGGTAAATCTTCACTATGATCAACCACACATGGTACATAATCACCATCGGGGCCTGATAAAAAGATTGTGTTAAAACAAAACAGCTAAAGTGTAAACAATTTGTTAGCTTACCAAGTTCACATATTTCAAACCAAATTAATAAATCATATTTAGCATGTATATGTGATGTGCACAAGGAAGGCAAAACTCCAAACTTAGGAGAACGTACTGGTAAACTTATTGGTATTGATGGAGGTAACATTCGTCTTGGAGGTTGTCGAACACTAATATAAATAAACATAATATATATTCAATATAATTCAATAAGTTCATATTTATAAATAAATATTCAATTTAACATACAAAGTACTATCTTGTTTAGCATCATTGTGAAGTGGATGTTTTTGATAATGACCAAATACTTCAAATACAATTGGTTGTGTCTTTATATACTCAATAAATGAATTTGTAACAGGAACAGTAATCTATTGAAATAAATACAGATTTTAGGAAAATAAAGTACTATGAGTTGAAGATAGAAGATACTAACATTTTGTACATGATAAAATCCCACCGGTGTGCCTTTACCACAATTCTTTACCGGTTCAGTAGAAAATGCATCATCATGTCTATGTAAGAAACTGAAAATAAAAATGTATTAATAATACATTTTTAATAAATCAAATATTTCAATTACTTGAATTGACAAAAAATATCAACATATTCATTGGGAACACCAACAGCTTGTAATAAGGTAACTCTAAATGTGAAGTCTTTGCTAATTAATAGATGACTTGGAACTTCTTCATCTTTAATATCAGATGTTACAGAACTATCCCCACGACCGCTGTCTCCATCATCAGTTTCAGTTTCTAAAATAATAAAATATAGTAAATATCTAAATTATATAATAATAAAAACACATTAAATCTGTACCATCGGTTTTATTGCTACTTTTTCCTGTAATAATTCTTTCAGCAACATTAGTATGTTTCTTTCCAGCAAAACGACCCAATAGATCTTTGTCATTAAAAGAAATTTTTGCAAACTGTTTTACTGTACCATAATTATCAGAAGTTTCATCTTCTATACAAAAATATTATTATTATTATTTTTGTTCTTATAATTATGATTAATTTAGTAAATTATAAAACAAATAATATTTTATTACCTAAAACTGCTTGTATGGCAACACGTAGATAACCCTTGACATCACCTTTTTCATTAACTATAGATACTTTGTGAATCAAAGGTACAGGATACATAAGATTGCTTAAATAGATGAATGCTCTGCCAATAAGCCTGAACCATGGAAACCTGTCGTAAAAAGGATCCCCTCCTGTAATAGCGTCTATATTAAAATCTGGTGATGTCGGTGATAATTCTGCTTCATTTTGATACATTTCTCGCATGAGTTCTAATCTTTGTCTGTAAATTTACAAAGAATAAAATAATATCATGTTGACTATGGTTCAAACAAATAAGTGTTGGCAAAATTTTAGAGAAATGTACAAATTATAATGGGACAAACACCTAATATATTTTCGAAATAAATATGCCTGACGAACCACTCAAACATTATGTTTAGGACTTACATTGGGAACACTAACCTTGAGGGTAATAAATACGAGAAAGACTTGTGAGGGGTGCAGGCAGTCAGACATTGAAAAAAATCATCCTTAACCTTGCAAGGCGAATTCTGGGGGCTTTCAATATCCCCATTATATATTTGGCGCATTAGATCCAACCTTGTTCTAACACAAAGACAAGCGTTAGAATCACCCTTCCTAATTACCTAATGAAATTGGATAACTCATAAATACTTACTTCAACTTATCTAATGTCCAATAATGTGTAGCTCCATTCTTAGTATCAAGTACTTCAATGGCAACATATGTACGAGGAAAAGGCCTATCAGCATAATCATCTTCAGTTAAAAACTCCACTGGTAAAGGAGAGTACAAAGTATCTGTTAGTAAAGTGAATTGGAATTGAACCTAAAATAATTATTCAATAGAATAAAGTCGCATACATTATAATAATTATAAGAATATTATACTTTTTTTTTGAGTTCTACTGATATAGCATTAGCCTCTTTTAAAAATACAGCGTTTCCCCATAGATCATCCCGGAGTGATGTAAATTGGTGATACTTCCATTTACGACAAGTTGTGAAAACTAGTTGATATTCTTTATCGGTCCAATTTGGTTCTGCATCGAACAGTGGATTAACTAAAATTTCTTGATTTTAATAAAAAAATAAAGATATTATATTATAATAATTATTAATAATAAATAGTTGGGGTACCAAAAATATCTTCTTCAGTTATTAAATCATCTTGAGTGTAAGAACTATACATTGACATAGTCATGCTCTGTTCTTCTACTTGTTTCTGAAGAGCATCTATTCTTGCCTCATAGTTCTAAAATAAATATTAAATAAATATTATTGGAAACATTCTATAATATTTGTTTTATACTTTGCGCTGTTCTTCAAATATTTGGTCTGCTGTTTCTTTATCTTTTCGAAATTGTTCTTCAAGAGCATTTAGCTTTAGTTGCATATCTTGTTTTAGATCTATTCCTTGTTTTTCTAATAACTCAATTTGTGCAAAGTTCCAATCAACATACTCATTACTAACTGGAGTTTCAGCAGGAGAGCACTTTTCTGACTTAGATGTGACTAAAAGTATATTGTTTGTATAATAATTCATGATCATTTAAAAATAAATATTATTATTATTACTTTCTTTAATGTTTTCCACTGCTCCTTCTGTTTTGTTTTTATGTTCTCTTCGTTCTCTTACTAAATAATTATAATGAATTTAATAATAATTTTATTACATAAATGAAATATTACTAGGTTTACCTTGTTCAGGGTGGTTAAATCGGAAAACATGATTTTTTCCTAGAATTACTCTTGAACCCGTTTTCAGTACTATAGGTTCAGTAAGTTCTCGGCCATTTACATAACATAAAGCATCTTTTATAGGTAGTAAAGTAACGATACCATTACAATTTTCAAACCGACAATGTTCCCGCTGTATATATGAGCCACACAGTCGTATATCTTGAGTAACCTTAGATTCAGCCGACCCAACGCGTGTTACACCTTCTTTGATGTAATAAATCAAGCATTCAGACATAAATGGATCTTCATTAAGGTTGACCAAATGTGGAGTCTTCAAAAACATAGCATATTAATATATTGTTTAAAATAATTTTAAGAATATATACTTTTTGCGGTGAAAAAACGCCCACTGTATCACCATCTTCTTTAACTGCTACTCCCATTTCGGCAAATACAGCTTCTCTTTGAATTCGTATTTCTTCTGTACGTTTCAATTTTTCTTCCCATGTTTCATTAAGTTCTTTGAAAAAAATAAAACAATTGTTTTGGAAAATATGTTGTACAAAAAAAAAAAAATTAATGATATATATAATGTAATGTATACGTGTAATTTTGATAAAGATAATTGATTTTTTACAAATTAACGGAAACATATTAAAATTATACAAATTATAATATAACAATATTATTTGGCACTCATTTATCATTTTATAAAAATATAGTCATTGAATATAATTATATACCTGAGTTTTTACTAAGGAAAATCATAAATATAATATACTGGTATAATATTTATTTAAAAAATGAAAGAAGTTTGAACAGTGGTTATATTCCAACCAGAAAACTAGTTAATAAAAAATTGAACATTTTCTAGTTGAATTAATTGTATACAATTACTAGGTATTTTAGAATTAGATGAAACAAAGGGGTTAGGTAAAAAACTAAAAACTTTTTCAGATCAATTCATTAAATGAATGAAACGCATCGGATATATTTGTTTTATGTAAATTAGTAATTATTAGTATTAGTTTAAAAGATTTACTTATTAGTGGCATAGGCAAGGGGGAGGAGGTTAGAGATTATATAAATATAAAAAAGTAAGTTTTTTTATTACTTTTTAATACATTGAAAATAAATTAACATGTTTAATTTAGAATATTAATAATATCTAGAAATCAATAGAGTTGTTTATAATATTGGTTACTAATTTCCAAGTTAATTATGGTGAACAAAATGTGTTATCAAGATCAGAAATTTAATTAGAAGTACATGGGCATAATATTTTATTGGTAACCATTTACCACTGAGATGAAATTACTATTACAACCTCTTAAACAATATTTTTTTTTACCCGCAATTAATTTTTCACTAGCTTGAAGTTGATCAACAGCTTCTTCAGCAATCATAGATGAAGGAACATTTGGTTTTTCATCACCATCTTTAAGCATTTTGACTCCATCATCTCCTAAAAATAAGTTTATAATCACAATAGTTATATATATATATATATATATATATTTTGTTTATTATGACAAATTATGCAGATAATGATGGATAAGCGCAGTTATTATTATTAAATTTTAAAGCCAAGCGAGCTTTATGGGGACAGGACTCTGAAAGCATGAAAGGTGACCCCTACTTACGATTTTCTTTAAGTTTCCCATAAACCATTTTACCGCCTGATATTCATAAAAATAAAAACCATTGTCACCAAACTGATTGGATTTAAAATCCTAATTAGATGCTCATAGTAATGTAATATTTACCTTCTTGTACTTCAATTCCTTCAGCTTTTAATAAGTCTCGCAGTCTTTGTATTTCTTCTTTGAGTTCACGAATGAGTTTGGCATTTGCGTCTTCATTAACAATAGCTTTACATACTATTTGTTTAGCTCGATCAGCATATCTATAAAATAATATAGAACCATTCATCAAGTAATCATTTGATTAGTATAAATTATTTGAAATAGTTATATAATATTTATAGTATATAAACCTTAATGTAGATAATGTTTCATCATAGTTTATATCAGCAGGGCTAATAGCGGCTATCATGGCGGTTTTTGAATTTCCACCAAGATTTTCTCTCAAGAGCCAAGTTAATACAGAGTCACGGTAAGGAATAAAATCACCTTTTTTCTTTTTTTTTGAAGCCTTTTTATTAGTAAAATAAAATATATTATATTGTGTCAAAAAATATTATAATGATAAAATACTCACAGACTATTTGTTGTTTGCCAAATGAAAAGCATGAAAAAGGAAAATTATTAATAATTTATTTTATGTGGGATTATTCTTAGAAAATTAATTTTGGGACAAAAAAATGCACAACAATTTTGACCCTACAACTTTATGGGTACTTAATAAAGGGGTCATTCAATTTTTTCAAATTGGTCTGCTAAATATACAACATTAAGTAATTATAAAATTAAGAGAATACACTTCATAGTTCTTAATACAATTAATTTTAGTTGATTAAAAATTTTTTGAAAACATAAACAGTGTTTTATTTAGATGATAAAATAATAAAGTAAAAACAAAATTATTATAATGGTTAATACTCGTAAATAAATATATAAATAAAAAATGTATATACAACAATTTTTTATTTATATGTTTATTTACTTTTTATTTAGAATTGTTTGTAAATATAATAATTATTAAATGTATCTATAATTTTCGCTTTTAATACCCAAAAAATATTAAAAAAATGCAATAACTATTAATATCTAATATAATTCAATTAATGCAGTTAAGATAAATACATTAATTTATGAAACTATGTTATCGGGTAGTATATATTACTGGGTGTAACTTATTAAATCTTTGGTGAACATACCATTTCAGCTAATCCAGATATAACTTTTCCTAGAGTAGTCAAACTTTTATTAATGTTCGCGCCTTCTTTAAGTCTAGTTCCTTTAGCACCAGTTGAATCAGCTCTTTCTGAACCAGCTAAATCAACTAGAGATATTTTACTAACTTTTTCAGTAGTAAGCTGAGTCATTTCATCAAGTCGTTTTTGAGTAAAAAATATGGTAAAGACAGCATGAGAACGGCTGGATGTTTCATTCATATTAGTTGCTGCGACTGTTCTAAAATAAATTAATAATACAAATTAATTATCAAACATGAATATATCAAAAATACATATAATGCATTTTTAAAATATAATAAAAAATATAGTACATAATATAGAATAATAAGAATGTATAGAAGGAATTGGTAGAACTTCCAAAAGGCCTTTATGTATTATAGAGCGCAGCCCAACAAAAAAAATATCCTAATATAATTGACAATGTATAATAATAAAGTATAAAGTATAATACAAAAAAAACAATTTTAAATCAATAACTTTTACCGTGCTTTGTTGCCTTCATCAATAAGATCATGAATGTTTTGATAAGTGGTAACAGCAAGTTTTGATAAATCTTCAACATATGGTCCTAATAAAGGATGTTCGCGAACACGAAGATTACCTTTATTTTTAGGGTTCAACAGATCACGGACACGTTCACAATATATTTCCATATAACTAACCTAAAATTAAAATATAAATATAAATTATTACAATTTTTTAAAAATTAATTAATTTTTACTTCAACAGAGTATTGTAATTCGTCACTAGTAGTTGATCTAATCCTGTGAAATAAATCTTTGCAAATTAATGGGATTATGCCTTCTTGGCCTTCCTCTTCTTGTCGTCCCATCATGGTGTATGATTTTCCAGCTCCTGTCTGACCATATGCAAATATGCATACATTATATCCTAAATAATATAAATGCAACTATAAGTATGATAACTTTAACTCTTATTATGAATCTGATAATAATCACCTTCAAAGGCATGCTGTAACATTTCTTCACCAATATCTCTATAAACCATAGTCTGAGATGCAAAATTCGGATCTGAAGGCTAAAATATAATACAATACAAATATTAAGTATCACAAAGTAACAAATAATAACGGTTTACATACATTTTGAGACCAATAAGAATAGTCAAAATTAAAGCTTTTTGTTCCATCTTTAACATTAGGTGGGAGCTTAGGATTTGTTATTGCTGTAAAATACAAAATATATTATAAAATGTTATTGAATTAATTTAGGGAGGGGTCAATTTTTATTTTGACATGGTCAAAAATTAGGCAGAACGAAACTTACATGTTGTATAGCCAGCCATTTCTATAATGCATTTACTATCTCTAGATATTTCTCTATTATTAAAAGGCCGTACGCGAACGGCCACTTTTACTGACGACATAGTGAATATATTTTCGGATAGCAATTAGCGGATAACGTTATTCAAAAATGATCTTTTCTGTCTACCCTATAAAAAAAATTATAAAAAATAAGTAGAACGTGAAAAAAGTTTGTTTTTAATCATAACGAGTTTTAATGCATGAATAATAAATTACCTGTCATTTAAAAATCATAGCATAGTGAAAATGTCCTTTTACAGACTAGAACTCATCAGCATCCACTAGTAGACTACTTGTGTATCCTTTGAGTTGCGCCTGTGCATGGCCAAAGAAAGCAAGGGTAAAAATCAATAACAAGAGCGACGGGTTGGGGGTTGAAGGGTGACGTCATTTCTAGGCTTCCGCCCACTTTTAGTATTTAGCAGGACTAGGGCAATGGATTATTATCAAAATTCCATAAAAACCTATACGTTGAAATATATTAAATAGTTTTAAATATAATCACGATAAAATAACTTTATACCCAAATTATTTCTATTGATAAAGCATTATTGGAGAAAAATCGGAACTTTTCCATAAAAGTTTTTGGCTAACTATCATAAGGATGACGGTAGTAAAAATATAGTCGGGTAGGCAATCATATTAAAAAGAAGATCGATACTGGTCTGTGTGGCGCCCAGAAAATTGCTCCCCTGTTAGTCCATGCGACCTACCCTCTACATAAAATGTTATGATGTCGAGATATGCACATGCACCGGAAACTGTAAAATTTCATACATTTAAACGTTTCACATGTTCATATAATAGTCAATATGCAATATACGTATTAATGAAAAAAATGTGAAATGTCTAAACATATAATATTACACGCTGTAAGATAGGTATATTACTTAATAAGAAAATAACAATACTAATTATTATAAATTATATTAAATATGTCAGTAAAAAAGTCATGATAATATTAACAACTATTATTAGCAAATTGCGCGACAAAAATCAGTATACCTATAATGGCATATTTTCGACTTGTTATTTTTTTTTGTAGAGCGAGGGGGGAACAATTCAAACAACCAAGTCTACCTAACACATACAGAGCTCATTAAAATTATAGAGGTTGTGTACATTTAGTGGGAAGGGGTGGATACCTCTAACCCCCCGCCGTTATGCTGATCATCCTGTAATTACTCTTGCTTACCTACGTGAAAAATAATAATGATACATTTTAGTTTTAATTGGAAGCAATAATAATTACTATATTAAAAAAATTATTCTCATCATAGATTCAGATCAGAGCCCATTTTTTTTTTCGCACAACTTTTCTACCAGCAATTTCGCCCCAATTTATAATTATAGCCCTTTTTGGAAATAAATATGATTAGGATGGTACTTTAGGGAGATTATTTTTTGATTTTCCCAGGGGTTTTCATAATAAATGGGAAAACCGGAAAAAAATATAGGGAAAACGGGGATATGTACGAAATGTATTATTTTCAAATCGTAGATATTATAGGCTTTTAAAACATGTACCAGGTTATCCATTTGAGTACATTCATTATCTCGGAAATCATTAACTTTTTCCGGAATTTGTTTTTTAGAACATTAATTAAGAAACAAGATGCTCTACAATTTTATATTTATGTTATTTTTTGTCACTATTATTTTTGGAGGTAAATCACTACCTACTTTTGATTTTCAAATGGCAACCTACATTACAAATTTCACAAACAGATGAGGTGTTAGTTCAAATGAGTTTAAATATACAAATTTTTAAATTCCGTCAATTCGTTGACGAGATATTCGACTGAACGGTCGGGAATTGGGCCACATTTTATCTACCTGCTTCGTAAACAATATTTGTGTGCATTTTATTACCCGGGTATTTGGACACAAATAAAAGGTAAATTTTTAAAGGGTACCTGGAGACTAGTGGAATATCATTTATGTGGCGATATGGCGCGCGGAGTGTTAATAATGCACTACTTTCCTCCAACCCAAATTTAAAAGTGGAATTGATAGAACTGCATTTTTAGTTAACGGATTGATAGAAATCAGAAATTTCAACACTAAAATTTATTATAACTTAATACTCCATCTATTTATGGATTTTTAAATACCCATAGGTTGCCATTTGAAAATCAAAAGTAGGTAATTATTTTAACCTCAAAAATAACGTTAATAAAAAATTATAGAGCTGCTTGTTTCTTAAATATTCTAGAAAACAAATTCCGAAAAAAGTTAATATTTTCGGAGATAATGAGTGCACCCACTTAAATGGATCACCTGGTAATATAATATTCTAGACCGGAAGAGTATTCTGGTACTTTAGGTCATATTTTTTTCCAGGAGTTTTCCTCTATGAATGGAAATAAACGTAGGAAAAACAGGAAAATAGGTATAATATTAAACAAATATTATTAAAGAAAATATATAATGTACGTGTACCTAATTATTCTACTATAATATGACATATAGGTACTCGTATATTATTGACAAAGCAACACTATCAACTGAACTCCATTAAATTTAGTCCTTTTTGCGTTCATATTCTGATTTTGTTCAAATTCAAGCACTAGGTTCTTGAATATACAAATAAATATTAACAACCAATTTGGATTGGCAAAATAATTATATTGACGTAAATGGAAAAGTAGGTACATACCTACGCGGAATGACGTGATTTTAAGATTTCTGTTTATCAAAATTAGTATTCAAAAGCGCACAAAAAAAAAAATTTAATTACACACAACTTTATTTTATAGATCAATAAGTATAACTTAAAAAGGACCTAGTGTAAAATGTTAATACATTTCTGACCAGCAAAACAATTTTATTCACATAAAACTTCAAAAATCTCAAACACTGTTAAGAATGGTTCACAAATCATTAGAATGTTTTGAAAATTGTGTCTAAAAAAGTGTGATATAAGTATTCGGTGAAAATCAAATATTTCAAAATTTATTTTAACCGAATTAGAAAAAAATAAAATAATAATAACAATAAAACCGTAACTGCCGTAAATTTATCGATTTCCTACGTTTTTTCCCGACTATTCTGAAAACTACTAAAATTAAAAAAACGATCTTATACATTAACTAAATATAATCTTTCAAAAAATATG